TTTCCCTTATAGGCAGACGAATATACGGCCCACCTGATGGTGAGTGGTTACCGTCGCCCATGGACTTCAGCAATGCCAGGGGCAGAGCCAAGCCGCTGCCTACGGTTAAAGATATTTCATAAGACGTTTACCTCCAAAGTATGAACAGCATAATTTCTTGAAATTCGCACGCCATCTAGCGTACGTTGATGTTACTATGACAGAAATATTACCTGGAGTGCCAACGACAATTGTAACGATTTTCATCAGAATCGGACGAATGAATTAGACGACCAATATACAAATTTTTTTTTTAATATCACGCACACGATCCATCCAAAGTTACCTAAAATTTGTATGCAGCTAGAACAATGCCCCTAGCGGCAAACATAGGCAAACGTTCCAAATCTATACAAAATTGACTTAACTTTTACGCTATCGAGAACGTTAAAAAACTCGCACTAAGCACACCGATCCATTAACACTATTATTAGACGCCTGCCGCTCTAGGCTTAGGGTCCCTGGTAACCGTACTCGTCGAATTCGCCAAAGAGTTCAACGTGCAACCTAATTCATACATCAGCTCGCTGAGTTCCTCGCCGGATCCTCTTCCGGATCCTGTAGTAAATGCATTCGCGAAACGGCTGTGCTGCTAGGTCTCCTTCAGAGGCGATCGCGCAGCTGTCAGCAAATCCTAACCGAACTGGTTGAGCCCGTGAGCTCACCAGAGCCACCGGTAGCCCTACCTTCCCAAAAAAAGAAACCTCCCAATCCAGTGAAGGCAACCATTCCTTAGTTCTCTCAAAAACTTCTGAGAAACGACTAGCGTATGTAAAATGCCATTTCTTCAAATTTGTCATTTTACTATATAAATGAAACTATAATTTCAAGATGGCGGGCTGACATTAGTCGCAGCGAGTTCGTCCACCTCGCCACGATCATGGAGCTGATTTTTTGCGTTAATAAACGGAAACTATACATTTCTACGTATGTTCTTCACTTACAGAAGAATAATTTAACTTACTAAAGTAAAATACAGAGGCTCGGGAAATCTTTCAAATTAAACAAAAACCATAATACAATTAAAATTCAGTTAGGTACAATAAAGTTTTTGTCAGAGTTAAATGCTATCATTTTCGAGAACATCATGGTTGTGGCTTCGACTCTTGTAATTTACCATTAATTATTCACCTGTTTATATCGTATAGAATAATGTATATCCATCGCTTGATTCATTCAAAAGCAAATTAATAGAATTCAAACGAAAATACTCGTATTCCCTGTGCAGACTCACTAGTTTGCTTTCTTACGAAGACTAAATAAGATTGAAAACTACCTTATACCAAACTTAAAAAGTCATTGACGCCAGCATGACATATTAGCGCAATTAATGGAACATAATACATAGTCAGCAAAAAACACACTATCTCCAAAAGTAGATTTTTGATCGCTATATGATTTTAACAGAAAAAGAACGAAGATTAAACAAATAAAACTTCTTTAATGGGCGCCATGCAATTACCAAGCGCAAAGGATTTAAATTTATTACGAAAATGTGGCTTGGTGTTTGTAGTCTTTACAGCGAATTTTTTCCGGTCGTGAAGAATAAGAAAGTTAAAGTTAAATGTTACACATTCAGCAGCCGTGAGATTTTCTCCTGTGTCTTGGACATACAAATACCTACTCCCAGGCCGGAACATCGAATATCTTTAACAAAGTTGCCAAGACACGTACCTAACTACAGTAATATTTTTTAACATAAACAAAAACATATGTTTTACCTTTTCGTCCTTTTCATCTCGACGATGCGATGTTATGAGCATGTTAAATTATGTACAACTGCATTTCGTGCATGCCTTATCTTAAATGAGCCTCAAGAGATGTTTCGTGAATATTGGCATTGGCAATAAATTTTTCAGCTAACTGCATTAAGTGCTTACATTTTTTTATGTTGTTTTAGATTATTACACAATTTGTATGCCGTAAATAAGAAACGTAGGAATACTAAAAAAATATGCTTAAACAGCGAATTAAGCAAAATTATTTGTATCCTGTCGGATGTCCTGTGAGGCTGAGAGTAGATAGGTAGATACCGCCAGCCTGTCCATTAATGCCGCGAAACAGGTGGCGACTTTTATCTTGTTGATATCTATAAGCTCCGATAACCACCTAACACCAGATGGTCCACCAGCTTGTCCGACCATTAAACCAATAAAAAAAGGAGATATAAAAACTAAATACATTACAATTAGCTATAGTCTATGGGCTCCAGTAACCACTTAATATCAGGTGGGCTGTGAGCTCGTCCACCCAACTAAGCAATAAAAATAAATAAAAGAAAAAGTGCCTGTGTTCATTAAAGATGTATTTCATAAAGATTGAATTTGGAATTAATCGAAATCATACAAACGATGACGCACGCCACACATGCCTAATTCTTCGGACAGCACGCGCCGTCAACCCGAGCCCGACGATAACAGAGTCCGGTCGAGCAGGTACGTCAATTAAGCGGCAGATGCAAGCACACGTGCGGTTCTGTACCTGCTTTTAACCGGCATATGGGTTTAATGTAATTAATGGTCTTTTTTATTAGCAAATGTTCAACATGAAAATGTTATAAACACGTACGATTAAAACACTTTTTTGTTTATTGCTTAGATGGGTGGACACACAGCTCACCTGGTGTTAAGTGGTTACTGGAGCCCATAGACAGCTACAACGTAGATGCGCCACCCACCTGAGATATAAATTCTAAGGTCTCAAGTATAGTTACAACGGCTGCCCCACCCTAAAAACCGAAACGCATCACTGTTTCACGGCAGAAATAGGCGGGGTGGTGGTACCTACCCGCGCGGACTCACAAGAGGTCCTACCACCAGTAACTTACGTTCTGTGTGCTTAGTGCGAATTTTTCAATGTTCTCGATAGCGCAGGCAAACGTTCCAACTCCATACAAATTTGTGTTAACTTTTCCGCTACCGAGACAGTAAAAAAACTCACACTAAGCACACTGTTCTCCAACTGAACGACTATTATCCGTCTTCACTACGATAAATAATGTACGATATGTCAGATATTGTAAATGAGTTAAATTACAAACGAAATAAAACTTCATTAATGTAATGGAATTAATACATATGTATGTGAAATATTATTGTACTAAAAAGCCACATTTTAGTAAATTAATGAAGCCATTCGTGAGGATTTAAATAGTACGTGATTTTGAAAGTGGCAAATAACACTTGGTGTTGGGTCCAAAAAGAAAAAAAAAAAAAAAAATAGTACGTGGGAATGCTACTTCATGACAACAACGTGGCACAACAGCTTCCTTATCGGGGCCGCCGCTAACTACACCCCTGACCCGTCACAAGCAGCAACCCGCCACTGTGCTATAGGTGATGCTATAGACACGTCCTGATCGGTCCCCCTGATTGACCCCCTCAAAAGTATTTGGAAAACAGTTGCCATCAAGCTGTTAGACCACGCACGGAGTGCTCTGGCAGCTAGCAAGCCTACCTCCTCCTGATCAGTACCCTCGAGAAGAAACAATGAAAAATCAAAGAAACAATGGAGACTATTCCAAAAACATATTTACCAAATCAATAATTTGAAAGCTGTACAAAAGAAAATGTAGGCTACATTATTTAAAATTATTAATAGGGTTATTATATTAAATAAAATAAAACATGCCAATACCTTCATTTTCGTTAAAACTTTTATTTCCATTCGTTCAACATTTCATGCTCGGATTTGTTGCTGGTGTTCTCGTGATACAATATGTCTTTGAAAATATGCATTATGCTTTGATCGTAAGCAATAACAGAACTCACATACTCATTCATAGATTATACACTTAATATTTCGCTCACTACGTTCAGTGCCGGACAAGCCAAAAAGGAACGCTGGCAATTTTATAAGCTCTCGAAGTTACAAGAGGCATAACGTCGGATATCCACTGCAACAGGATCTAATGTAACATCGATTTATGCGACGGTCTCATAAGGAAATTGCATAAGTAACTAATTCATTTGAAAATAACGGTCATGGGGTCGACGACCCCAACAAAGAAATTAGTATCCATAAAAAATATATTTTTTAAAAGCAGTTTGGAAAATTCTGCTAATGTTATAAAATGCTGTGTAATATTGTAAAATTATATAGAATAGTCATTCAATTATCAACAGCCGCTTCAATCACATCGGACAGAATGAACAAATGTAGAGTACATATTCATAATATACTAAAATATTTTTTTAAGTTTATACATAATTAAGTAGGGTTCCTCTTTGTAACAAATCTAAGTGCCTCTCGTGCGAGTTCTCACCCGTTTTAGTCCACTGTTCGAACAGCTATCAAACAAGTGGTCTTTGACAGTGGTTATAGGCGTTTTTGAACATCATCAATGGAGGTCAGACTGGGTGGGAAGATGACAAACTGTCTTCTTTATTGGTATTGACACGAAAGACGGTCCAGCTGGCAGATTCAAACACAACCATCGCCCGTACCATAAACATATTTTTTTTTGTACAATGTTTCCTTATTAGGAAAGGCAAGGGGATCTAAAGTACCATAAACAATGTTAATAGGCAGCTGACTGCGAGCACTCAAACATCACATACGTAATTTGATTGTTGGATTAATAGTATCGATCGATAGGCCTCAGTTCTGAAGTGTGACAATTCAAAAAAATATGTTCTTGTCGCAGTTAGGAAATTAAATAGCATGGTAGTTTGATCTGTGCATTTCAATGTTACAATGTATTTCAATTTTAATTTCAATATTTCATTTCACTTAATACTAATTTTAGAAAAATATTATCATCTTAAATCATTCCATTGGTTTTTTTTTCATTGATGACAGTCGTAACGTAGAACATTTCTTTTAAAGTCTGGTTTCTCTTAAAATGAATAATATCCCATATTTATCTTAATTGCTGTATAACTAACTGTTTAAGATACTTGTTACTCTGCAGAGCTGAGGTATCGGTTAATGTATATGTTATTAAATAATAAACAGCAAAATTCAATTAATAAATTTTGTATTTTGTTTCATTTTATTATTACAAATATGATTATTGCTTTTTGTACGCATCAATACTTCATTACGATGGTGTTCTCAAACCGCATTTCAAAAAATAAAATATTTACATAACCATGTATTAGAGAAATTAAAATAATCATTAAAATTTTCATAAAGCTAACGCTTAATGTTCAGATATTTTAAAATTTTATGTATTAATATTTATTTATTTATTTTACACAATCCATAATAACAATACTTTACAAAACACAAACAAAAATTATATACTAGAGTCAAAGTTTCAACCGTTTCTTTAATACATTTACAATCCATGTTACTTCAGCATTAAAGGCCCTAACTTACGATGCATATTTACATAATTTACATGACAAAAAGATTACTAAAAATAAAAACAATTGAACCATGACTCTTCTACATACAATTTCATTTATTACGTGAAACGCGTGTTTACGAAATCACAAACAATTCAATAATTTATTTAAGCTCAGCTTGAAAATCTCACAATTTTTATTTATTAGCTTACACAGGTGACAAGCTCAGGACCCAGCTGATGGTAAGTGGTTACCAGAAGCCATAGATATTACAACGTAAACGCCGCCAACCAACTTTAGATGTGAGGTCTAATTCTCAATTGTGCTGCATAACACTTTCTCAAACCTTCAAACCGGTATACATTACTGCTTCACAGCAGAATTAGGCAGAACAGTAATACCTGCCCATGCGGGCTTACATTACGCACTACCACCAGTAAAACATTAACATTAATTCACTACACAGAATATAGATCGTTTAGATCTGACACAGTCATAAAAAAATATTTAGCACACAATCTTAACACAACAAGTCCACGTCAGTTATATTCAACCCCAACTATTACATTACATTAAACTAGTTACATTTAATATAGTATAACAATTTCATTAACTATTCTATTTATAACATTTTTATTGACACAATTTCGATAATCACAATTGACTGACGTGGAAAACCTCAAAATGTCGATTTCAACAAACCTGTATCAAATCGACACAAGTTATAAACTCATTAGTTATGTGCACTGTGAGATTTTCACACCGAGAGTTGTCCCACACTACGCCACACACATATAGTAGTGTCAATAACGTCACAGATGAAAGGCACGATTCCCAACATTCACAGGATCCACTACGGCAAACACTAGAGATCAGCTCGGCCTCACCGTGAGCACACGACTAGTTCACACCGACTCACACTCGCGCACAGTACGTCTCATCGCGTTCGCCGCATCGGCATCGACAGTTCACGTGACAATCGCGTCGTTTTCGATCATAACAATACATATCTTCTGCGGCACGAACGACGCCACGGCCGAGCCTGCAGTTAGTCGTAGTCGATGTCCATGTTGTACCGGTCCGAGCCGAGCGACGACGACGAGGTGTCGGGCCAGCCGGAGCCCGACGAGCCCGAGTCGAAGCCCGACAGCGTTACGTGCGCGCCCGTCGCCTGCATCATCTGCTGCAGCGCCGCCGCGAAACCTGGTACCACCAAATATATTATATAATATTTTACACTATGAATATTGTAACTATAGATAGGAAATTGTTTAATTATCAAATATTTGAAATTAAACTGATTAGTAATCAAAAATTTGTAGCGATTTAAAGTGTTTAGATTTTTCATGAAAAATGTTCCATCACCATTCTGTTAATAAGTATAAAATTGTAGTTTTAAAAAAGGTTTTTTTATTGTCCTAGTAGGCAGACGAGTATACGGCCCACCTGATGGTGAGTGGTTACCGTCGTCCATGGACTTCAGCAATGCCAGGGGCAGAGCCAAGCCGCTGCCTACCGCAAATAGTTTTTATTTATTTTTAGAGAGTAAATAGTTTTTATTTTGTTCTAATGCAAATCCTATTTGGTTTTTGCATAATAGTTTTATGCCGCGAATTATAATCAGGAAAATGATACACACCAGACCGAGCATTGATTGAAGCTATTGAGGGAGTACTACTGGCCGTAGAGGTGGGCGGTTGCGTGGGCGGTAGCGGCGGTTGCTGGGTCGTGGCGGTGGCTGTGGTGTCTGTGGTGGTGCTTGTGGTATTGGTGATGGCTTCAGTATCGGCAGGCGGAGGGTCTGCAGGGAGCAGCGAGCGCCGACAGATGGGACAGGTGGCGTGTAGCTGCAGCCACGGGGAGATACACGACGAGTGGAACAGATGCTCACATTCTAACCGCGATACTGTCTCGCCTGAAATGTGAATTACATATTTTGTTAACTTATCTTGATTAGTCACTGTTGATAGTTGTTACAAATGGCATAGCTATTAATTCTAATTCATTCCTTAATCATAAGTAATATGAAGTAAAAAACATTTTATGCGTTACTACAAAAATTGTAAAAGTTTCACTCTTAATTATGTAAATTGATAAAAATATATTCATATATTCATGATGGTAATAATCAGTTCAGTAGGTTATTTATTTATTTTTTGTTAAATTTGTGAATGAGCTCACATATCATTCTAGCTATTTCATGCTATAGGATCTTAAATTGAGATGCTTGTGTTTTACTAACCTGTCTCAAAATTTTCCCAGCAAACTGAACAAGCAGTCCCTTTAGCAGCATGATCCTCCGTGAGTATCTCCTGTGGTAATGCGGCTAGCTGATCCCGTGGTAGAGGAGGAGGCCCTGAGTTCTCCAACTGGCCTAGAAGTTGTGTTACTACTGCGTCTAAGCCTAATAACAAATTTAGTCTTTTAATCTTCATAAAAGCAATATCTAACAAAGTATTAAAACTTTATTTGTTAAATCTTTTCCATCTTCATTAAAGCTGTCTCAAAATGTTTTCTATGAATGTAACAATTTAAAACCTTCCTTAATGGATGTCAAGGCATTTTAGTTTGAATAAAGCTAATAAAAAAAAAAACAACACTATAGATCCACCAGGTCCATATTTTTAACAAAAGGACAAACCCGAAATCCATACAAAATTGGGCCTGGCGTTACAGTGCTAGAATTTGGGCATAAGTTACAATACCTAAGAAGGTTTCATGAGCCCAATTTTCAGGTCTCCCAGCAATGGCCAAATTGGTAAAATCAGACAATGTTTACATTTTAGGTTATGTTTATTGTTCGAGATATTTTAATAAAAACGATATTTTTGAGGCTGTTTCCTACTAAAGATGAGTAATTTTTTACGAAACCTGTTGCAGCAACAGGTTGCTTTAAAATAAAAATGGAACCTGTTACGAGAAATCGCGCGTTAGGTTGTTTACGAAAACGAACGAAAGCCAAAAATTAAAAACAACGTAATGCGAAACGCGCTGCGCACGAAATGATTTTTTTAAGGGATTTTATGACCTGGTAACTAAGACCTTTAGGTCAGTCTTATTTTAATTTTAATGAAAACTTTTTTATATGAAAAACTATATTTAACTGATAACTTTTTTATATAAAATATAAATCATTACGTGCTCCCATAATATTATCTCATCACATTTCATTTCATTTTATTTCATGCCTTTTTTATTTTTATTTTTTATTGCTTAGATACCCATCGACGAGCTCACAGCCCACCTGATGTTAAGTGGTTACTGGAGCTCATAGACATGTACGACGTAAATGCGCCACCCACCTTGAGATATAAGTTCTAAGGTCTCAGTATAGTTACAACGGCTGCCCCGCCCTTCAAACTGAAACGCATTACTGCTTTACGGCAAAATCCAAAATATCTTCAGTTGGCAACATTAAAGATAACATAACACGATTTGATACATTTGTGTTTTTCTATGGCATAGTCACATTAATATAAAAATGCAAAACTACCCTTTCATGCTATATTTAATGTTGTCGGTTGTAGATATTTTGAATTGCCGCCATTGTAAGTAGTTGTGTCACGATTCGATGGCCATACTCTATTTACATTGATTAAAATACCTATAAAAACAGTCATTTATCCTTAAGCAAAAGAGTATTAATTATTTTTTACACTTGATTTCCACTAAATCGATCCTATTTTATGGATGTTCTAATTCTAATCCGCACGTTTGTGGAGCTAGTTACGTATATTGAAATAAGTGTTGCAGATGTTTACAAAGATTGTTTAAAACAAAAAATTGAATTCAACTTATTTTCTACACTTGGCCATTGTCAATGAAGCTAAGATTTCAATAGGTTAATCAAGCAAAATAGACGAATTTTTTGGTACATATCCCATTCGTGTAACGCTTAGGCCCAAAATGGGGTTTCTCCTTTATATATAATAAGATAATAAAACGGATAAAATTTTTACCTTCTCCTCCGAAAACATAGTCTCCAGGTGCTCCGACAAGTACAAATGGTGCACCAGCAGTTGTAGCACCAGTGCCCGGCCTCCCGGCTCCCATCATCCAGAGTAACTGTTCGAGGATTGTATCTCTTCTACCTGTGTTTCTGCAAAGACAATGAGTTTTATGCAGGATATTTTTTTTCTACCTAAGCTGAGAGCCTGAGAAGCTATATCAGCGTAACCTTAACTAGTAGGTGAGCTCACGGGGCTCAAACCTGACGACGTTGCTAACACGAACCCTAGCAAGGGCCGTGCTTCGCAGAATCTACCACCGGATCAGAAACGCGACCCACTGAGAAGATCCGGCGAGAAACTCAGTGGGCTGTGTCTGAGGGTTAATTTATTCGTCGAGCCCGTCATCGCAAGCGACGGGTTCGACAAGAACGATGACCGGTGCTTGAGGTACCTAAAAGCACCGTTAGTGGATCGGGAGGATCCGAATTGACGTGTTTGGGGCGACGTCGACTGCTTGCCATTCTGTCCGCAGGATCGGGAATGTTGTTATCAGCGGCCACGATGAGAGTATCGTGCCGCTTTATCGAAGTAGTGTTGGAGATAATTATACATGAACCACATAAATCAGGATGTGTACAACAGACTCCACATAAGATATTTTTACTATAGACTGCAGAGAGCTCATTACTATCAGATCATCACTACACAACATTAACTGCCATCCAATTTAATTGTTTAGAATCTTTTAGTGCAACAATCTATTGAAGATTATCTTCTTCTCAATAGTGTCTTGACAGTTCTCTTGACTTGACTCTTGCCAGTTTTTTTTTATTGGCCTTGTAGGCAGACGAGCATACGGCCCACCTGATGGTGAGTGGTTACCGTCGCCCATGGACTTCAGCAATGCCGGGGGCAAAGCCAAGCCGCTGCCTACCGCTTAATACTCTCCACAAGCCTTGTTTGAAGAAGGACATGTTATAGCGCTCGGGAAACACTGTGGAGGGAAGCTCATTCCATAGCCAGATGGTACGTGGCAAAAAAGACCTCTGGAAACATTCTGTCGACCATGACCATCATGTAATGTGGGAAGGAAGTTTATTTATGAAGTATTATTAGTATTTTTTTATATTTGGAATTGAAGTTATCATGCTTACCGGTACCGACCTCCCGTCATCAGGAATGCTAAATCGTTAAGCATTGGTGGTGGTGCCTGGCGCTGTAAATTACCAAAATATTCATTTGAATAACTTTTTTTTAACTTTAAATTTTAACATTTATACAACTTAAAGGGTTTTTATAATTGATTCGGTGGTAATCCTTTATTATAACATTAATAATAGAAAAATGGGCAAGCAGACCCATAAATATGATAATTTTCCTCATTATTTTTTTTACATTTAGTTTGGAGAAACATGACTGTGTGTGGCTGGCAGGAAGTTACCACATTGTTTTTTCCTAACTAAGTAGCTGTCCGTACAAAATAATAATACTTATTATTGCAGAACATTTCTGCTACACATTAGTGTATTTGTAAAATATTTGGACTTACAAACACCTGGACCATGCGCAACTATTTTATTCTTTAATCTATTTTAACTCATTCTTCAATTCATAATCTATCTTTTAAGCGATTTCTTTTCGACACAAACATGCAATGTCATGTTATTGTTTTTATCTTACATTCTAAGAAGGCATGTAGTACATAGCATATGATAAATGCTTTATCAACCCATGACCACATGTACTGATAACAACATTGTAGTTGTCACAAATATTGCAACAAATAATTTCAATTTCTCTTATTGATGTTTTATTGTACACGATTTTAAATAACAATTTATAAACCAATTATGTACAATTAATGACAACATATTTTTATGAAAAATGTTTCAAAATTGTTTAAACAACGTCATCACGTGAAGCGCAACCAACACTAATTGTATGAGGCGGTACATCCCATATGTGGTATGGTTACTGGAGCCAAATTAGAATGGTGTTTAAATAATCTACATTTTTACATATCATTTAATAAAATATCTACTGGTATTTTTATTCTTCTTCTTCTTTTAGATAATTTGGCTCCAACGCCTTCGGCATTGATTTTGCCAATGTCAAAGTATTTACAAAAATGACAGGTGCTTAGAGAGGGAAAAAATTACTAAATCTAAATACAAATAAATTTGGTCGGTTTTTCCATACACGAATCTGTGGTTTTAAGAACAGCACAAACAAATATATGTTAGACTAACTACTTTAGAGATAAATATTATTAGCAGATAAAAATTTACACAGAATATTTACATGTTTAGAATAGACTAAAGTTAATAAACAATTAATATTAATAGGCCGGGGAATGTCATTGGGAAGGATATCATAAAGAGGGGATACGATATTGGGGCAGTCGAAGAAAATGTGATCCAGGGTACCCTTATCTAATCCACACTCACAAAGAGAATGGTCACGGACTCTAATTTTGGCAAGAAAAACAGGGGAGCAAACATGGGGTATTTTTATTGGTATTTTAAATAGCCAGCTAGATCATCTGGTAGTTAAAACAATATATCAATGTTATTTTCTTAAAGATCCTGATGAGCTCATACCCTCTTTGGTATCCAATAGCCCAGAAACCATAAAAATAAACATACACACATTACTACTGAAAATTAACAAAAATTGTATAGTGTTATTTTTAAAGAATGAAACAAAAATGAGAAAAAATTCAAGTCAGATTATATTTTATGGCAGCAAGATCAGTTTTGTATATTATCTTCCATTTCAAAGGTTAGTAGCATCCATTAAGTTATAAAAAATGTGTCATAACTGTTATTTATACAGTTAGTTTGATTAAATAGATAGAAATCTTTAAAATGAATGTTCCATGGGGAGTGCTCTGAGGAATTGTTCGAGATGATACCGACATCTCGTTTTTACCATTACACCGCTCGCCACCGGAGTAGAGTTCATCCATACTACCTGGAACCACTACGTTCATCCACAGTGCGTTCCCAGATATCTTTTTGGCCACATACCATCCAGCTATGGAATGAGCTCCCCTCCACGGTGATTCCCGAGCACTATGACATGTCCTTCTTCAAACGAGGCTTGTGGAGAGTATTAAACGGTAGGCAGCAGCTTGGCTCTGCCCCTGGCATTGCTGACGTCCATGAGCGACGGTAACCACTCACCATCAGGTGGGCCGTATGCTCGTCTAGTTATACGGCAATAAAAAAAATATATTGTAGGTTGTAATATAAAACAATACTAATACAAACAATATACTTCTAAACACACAAAATACTCTACACATGTATCAACAAAATATAAAATTGCAACATATCTACTCAACACAATTTCTTTCACATTGCAAACTCCTATAATGTTATTCTTACAAATATCAGAACTGTTCTTTCAATCTATTACCTGGAGTAGTGTACCAATGTTAATGTTTCTACATTTTACCATATATTTCTGTCTGTATGCTTTTTACTATATTTCAATCTAATCAATTGTATTCGTCATACTTGTGTAGAGTTTTGTGTCTCATCTGTATCATCACTAGTGCTCACATCATCGTCCAAGTTGCTCATATCTGCATCGTCAAAATCACCATCCGCTTCACTCTCCAATTGCTCTATAAAACCACTAGCACAGTATGGGCATGTATAATCCTGAAACATTAAAATGCATTTATTTTGTGAGAAAATATGTTTTTTTTTTTTATTTTTTTTTTATTGCTTAGATGTGTGGACGAGCTCACAGCCCACCTGATGTTAAGTGGTTACTGGAGACCATAGACATCTACAACGTGAATGCGCCACCCACCTCGAGATATAAGTTCTAAGGTCTCAGTATAGTTACAACGGCTACCCCACCCTTCGAACCGAAACGCATTACTGCTTCACGGCGGAAATAGGCGGGGTGGTGGTACCTACCCGTGCGGACTCCCAAGAGGTCCTACCACCAGTTTGTACTCCCTTGACTGGCATAAATGGGCAGACATACTATTGTCATTAAGCAGTAATTGGTACATATCGATAGCAATCAGTATGCAGTGCACCTATGTAGTGACATCAAAGTCTCAAGTATTTTAGAATAGTGGTTGTTTTGTGACAGAGCACAGCATGAGATTTTTTGAATTTTTAAAACAATAAAATATTTAAGAGTATTAAACAGGTTTTATTTTGGTTATATCTTGTATTGTGTGCCAGATAAATGAAGTACATATAAATGCTTTATTACTATCATCATCATCAATTGAAAACTTTTATATTTACTTGAAAAAATAAGTATTAAGTGTATTAGCACTATCACAACATTTATTTTAACATTCAGATTTCAAAGGTTGCATTAAAACTAACTTCAAATTCAAAATACCTGACGGAGGATAACATAATATTTTTTTAGTCTGATTCATACTGAATTTTTTCACATTTGTTTTTAACAAACACAAAATACCAGTTCAGAAAGGTTAGAGAAGGTCATGTGCTTTAAAAATCACGTTTAATGGTTGTTCCTAAGGTCATTAAACTGGGTTAGGATCCAAAAGTATGCAAATAGCAGAGATCTCATCAGAACTAACATAGTAAGATTTATAAATTGTTCTTATTAAAAGGAAATTTCCTAAAAAGATAAGTTCGAGGGCTGTAAATCAATTGATGATGTAATAATAAGAAAATTTTGTAATCCGACATCCCTTGAAAAGAGTTTTCACGGAAATGACACGCAGAACACCCGGTATTAGCGAAAAAAAATTGGAAATAGATTTCATCAAAAGAAAACTGTTGCGCAGTTTTCCTAGAAATTTTATAGGAAAAATATGGTTTCACACGGAGCGATATCTCCGACGTCACAGATCAATGTGAAAATCAAATTTAGTCGCAAAAACAATACAAAATATCGATCTTTACCTGCAAAACATCTTCAAATTCTATATCACACCTGTGGCAGAAAAACCGTAGTGTTGGTCTTCGTTCTACCATTGCGTCAGCCATGTTAAATTAATTAATACAACTGCACCAATAAATACTTATTATTTAAACTCAATTCCTAAAGATTGTGCTTTAAATTTTCAACAAAAATTTAACAATCGCCATTTTTTTGAGCATTCACAATCTATGGATTTTTTAAACGAAGCCACAGATTATGTTCATGTCGTAACCCCTCACCATAGCTGGTTTTATTTATTCATTTTACTGGGCTAGCAAATGGAACAAGGCCCAAACTATTTGTCCTATTTTCGAAATGAAGAACAGGTTCTCTTCAAAATCCAAGTAAAATTGTGTAGTCAAGTTGCATCTATAGACGAAATGTCCCTACAAACTTCAAAAACCACGCCAACGAAGCTGTCTTGGTTTTTTTTAAAGTAATCTTCAATTTGCATAGTGAAGAAATTGTAAAAGGTGAAGCCTAGTCTTTTATTTCACCAGTACCTCATAAGATTTTGTGTAGAGACCCAAAAAAAATGAATGACTTTTTGGCCTACCTATTGCCTTGAGGGGCTGTCCTAGCTTCACTGAACGTGTAGGCGAGCTCACGAGGTTCAGCCGGGAGACTCTGGTAACATCTACTAGGAAGAGCAGTGCTTCGCTGAACCTGCCACCGGATCGGAATCGCGACCCACTGAGACGATCCAGTTTTTAATTGGTCTGTGACACACAACACGCTCCTTATTTTGTACTTGGCAATATTTATGTATCTGTCACTCCACTTCAAACTCCTAAACTTCTGAAGTTTAAGTCTTTGCTGATATTGCTGTTTTAAGTCAAATAGTTCTTCGAAAGTGTTAGATCTCGTTATAATCTCACGTGAAATGTGCTATTTAAGAACTTTAAAATGTACAAACTAGTAATCCACAAATACAAATCTACTACGACAGAAACTTTATAGAATGAAATTTATCTATAAATTTGTGTGCACTATGATGATTGTTATCAAATAATCATAAAATAGAGATAAATCATGTGGGCTATCCCTTATATAAACAATAAAAACTGTCTACTCTACTCGAAAGACTATTAAACTTGTGTAAAATAAATATTTCAATCGTAACTATTCTTTAAAAGTGGGTCAACATTGCGTGAGGAGCAAGTTGTTAAAAATGAATGAGAAGAAATTAGTGCAAAACTTCAAAAGCTACATCAACGTGTCGTCGGTAACGTTAACAGTTAACTTATCTTGAAGATATGTTGTAAATCACAGCATGTTATACCCTAAAATGCTAACAGTTGTACACTTCACTACGGAAATAATAGAAATTCTCTCAATTTGAAATTTAATAGAACTGTAAAATGATGTCATACAATAAGTTTACATGATTACTTGTTAACGAATCAATAAAAAAAAGCTGGAATTTTCAAGCATACCGATTCAAAAGTTTATTTAGAATTTATTTACAAAATTACACAGTATGATTAGATTTTTTTTTGTTCATATCGAAACTTGTTTAAATAAACGAAGCATAACATTAATTTCAATACAATTATTTTGAATTTTTTAAATGTACCATAAGGTGACACACAGCAAGTATTCTTTCCTCAATTTAACTGTTGTAAAAATATATACAACAATGCAACATAATATGTTGAGAATTGAAATATAAACAAACAAATGTTCCCCATTCATTTACCCTAAGCTAGGGTTTCCCTTTTGTAATGGTAATGGAAATTCATAAAAGACAGAGGCTGCATTCAGAGTGGAATACCAATGAATATCTATCATAAAGGGATTGACTGAGAATTAAAGCCAGTAATTGTTCTTTTCAAAATATTTGCCACTAAGACTAGGAAGGATATGGAAGGATCTTCAGTTTTTATGAATTGTAAACATAAGTAAATGAAAATCACAAAAGTGAGATTAAACTTTAAGAGTAGTTGTAATTATGTCAGTGATGATATTGAATAAACAAATAATAACAAATACTAAAATGCAGTAATATTACAACTAAATTGCAAATAATCTGCATATAAAATGCTATGAAAATTTTATTCCTACCAAAGTATTTTAAATGTATTCTACATTTAAAAATTCATTTGTATTTTTTTTTATTTTCCCATCTATGTTAGTGTTAAGTAGTTATCTGAACCCATAAATATTGACTTAATTGTTGACACTCACTTAGAGACATGAGCTATAAGCCTCAGTTCTATAGTATTCTACAGTGTCCGCCTTATCTTTTGAATCAGACCAAATTACTACATGTCTTGATTTTATTAAAAAATAATCTTTCATTGGTCATTTTCCTTCTAAACAGAGCAAAGAAGAAAAGAATGGCACTATTCAAGAGGTGAAACCGAAATTATTGACAGGTAAGAATTTGAGTTTTTTTTTTTATCGTAACAGTGTGTAGCTGTATACTCAAAATTAAGGAATCTGAGAATCCAATAATTTTTAGAATAATCACAGATAGAGTAGCCGCGAAAGTGTGAAACAATGTTATGGTTAAACTATGATAGTCAAGTATCTTACTCCGACTGGGAGTAGAAGCCATGTACTGTGTAACTGCTGAGCGGGGGTTGGGGTTTGTAGGTTGGATTCCCACATTGGACAAACATTTGTATATGATGAACAAGTTTATTTACTCTTTGTCTGGGTGTATATTATATTTTAACATACATAAGTAAATATGGATATCAGTCTCTGGTTCTGAAAATACAGGGAATCAAAGTTGTATCCAGATAACTGTATGTGACTCCTCTGTTGTTATTATTATTATTATACTACAGTTATTAAAATATTATTAATTATAGAATATTTAAAAAAAAGATTAAAAATGCAATTTTAAAAAAAAACTATTTAATAAGATCGCTGTTAATGGCAGTGTCCACTATACAAGCCACCAGTGGTTAGGGCTCTACAGTGAGAAACCTTAGAATACGCGCCGTATCAAGGAATATTATTATCAACATGTACCTACCACAGTTTGCAAAAAGAACCATAATCTTAAAATTAAACAAGACTGTTTTGACGTTGTACCCTTTTAAACAAATTATGTTTTAGTAGGAAATGAAAATTTTTATCCTTAACTAGGAATGACTCATTCATTCCTTGAAATGAAACGCCTATGGTGTCTATAGTAATATTTTGTTTTAGCTAGGCAATAAAGCACACCTTTTACTGTGGGTAGGACGTCTTCTGAACCCGTACGGTTAGGTACCACCACCCTACCTACTTCTGCAGTGAAGCAGTAAGCCTCGTAATGTAAGATCAGTGGCTACATTTAAGTCGTTGATGGGCTCCAGTAACCATTTAACACCAGGCGGGCCTTGACTTCGTTCATTCTTTTAAACAAAAAAACCCCTACATCGGTCAATGAATATGACCAAATGCGCCGTAACTATCTGAATAAAAGCATGTCTTTTTTTGTAGTCCTGACAATGTGTAATAGATCTCAACAGCGCAACAACCTCACTTTCGCATTTCGCTTGCTTAGCCCACTGAGTTTATCGCCGGATCTTCTTAGTGGGTCGCGCTTCCGATACGGTGGTAGCCCATAGACATAACATCGTGATTTTTTTTTATTGCTTAGATGAGTGGACGAGCTCACAGCCCACCTCGTGTTAAGTGGTGACTGGAGCCCTTAGACATCTACAACGTAAATGCGCCACCCACCTTGAGATATACGTTCTAAGATCTCAGTATAGTTACTACGGCTGCCCTACCCTTCAAACCAAAACACATTACTGCTTCACGGTAGAAATAGGCAGGGCGGTGGTACCTACCCGCGCGTACTCACAAGAGGTCCCCCCACCAGTAATAATAAATAAATAAATAAATAAATAAATAAATAAAGGTAGGATAAAAAAACATATAGTGCTTCTTAATACCTCTTTGGTGAGGTTCATAACGCTTCCTTTACTCTCGGTAAATATATATATATTTTTTAATGAAATTATTAATTCAATATATGTAATTGAAACAGTTTCCACTGGAGACTGGCAGATATAGTTGTTATGTATTGAATGACGTAATTCACAATAACAGAGTCATTGCGTATGCATATACGATTTCTGTTAACTGTACATACGACCGTTTTTGTACAGCGAACGATAGGAAGTGGTGGCCCATAGAGTATTTATTGTGTGGCTCGGCGTGTGTTGATATGGTTGCTTTGATAAAAGGTGAGATTTATATTTTTCGTTTTTATTTTACATATATTCTTCGTATATCCATACTAATATATAACTACTCAACCGTGCATCCGATTGACTTGAAACTTAGTATCCATGTAGAAAATACATGTACTTAATGGATAGGCTAATATTTATATGAGTGTTGGACTTCCTACACCTGTTGAGGGGGCGTTAATGATGAGAATCTTTGTGGGGGTGAGAAATAATATTGTTAATTTTAAATGCCCAGCGAAGCGGACGGGTACAGCCAGTATATGTATAAACGTATTATTAATGAAACGTACATTAAAATTGACGTCTAATTGAATGTAAATTGTAGATCTTATGGACCACCTAAACAACGGTGGCTCGATGACCTATAGGGATCTCTCTAGACTTGTGAAGACATATTATATACACTAATTTTTTATGAACGGTTGAGCTGTGGCGGAACAGCTGCAGCCCTCACATTGGCCCAGCAGCACGTCATCAATGTCAGCTATCACAGCTCATATTTTATTTTTTATTGCTTATATGGGTGGACGAGCTCACACAGTTTGTTAAGTACGTATTTCATTAGAAAAATTGGTAACCGCCTGCGGGATTCGAACACCGGTGCATCGCTCAATACGAATGCACCGGACGTCTTATCCTTTAGGGACCGGACGTCTTACTTCAAATGCATGCATTCCCGTGGCGCAACAAGTCATTACCATCTGTCACCGATAGTAAGTCAGCGTCGCAGTCACAACAAATTACGCTAGATCATCATTAGTCCGGATAACATATCTCCGACGGAGCCGTTCTGAACCACGTGTACTAACTAGTCTTGGGATTGATGAAAAACTTATAATCAGTTTGTTGGGCACTTGCAAGCTTATCGTCACGGACATCTTTTATTTACTTCGGCATCCTCGAAGTGATGTAGCGGTATCAATTGGTATATCAAAGAAATTGCTATGAAAGTGAGTCGCGTTAATAATAATCATAAGAAATCTTTCATATTCAAGTTCCAAGCAACAACCATCTTTCTTTAAGAGGCTTTTCTATGTGGTGATCGGACATGCGATCCCGGTTCCCCTCGAGTTATTCGTACCGTTGCTAATTAGGTACTTATTATGCACAATATGCAGCTTTTACTGGTGTTAAGACCTCTTGTGAGTCCGCACGGATAGGAACCACCACCCTACCTATTTCTGCCATGAAGCAGTAATGCGTTTTGGTTTAAAGGGTGGGGCAGCCGTTGGAGCTATACTGAGATCTCAGAACTTACATCTCAAGACGGGTGACGCATTTACGTTGTAAATGTCTATGGGCTCCAGTAACCACTTAACAACAGGTGGGCTGTGAGCTCGTCCACCCATCTAAGCAATAAGAAAAAGAAACGTTCGTCCGTACAAATAGTATTAAATTAATTAAACACCGCCCCTACGTTTGTCGCTAGGGGCGCTGTTCCAACTCCATACAAATTTGCGTTAACTTTTACGCTATCGAGAACGTTAAAAAACTCGCACTAATAGCACTAGTGGTCTATGACTATATTATGTTTTTCTCGGTTACCATCATCGTAGCTATCAGCCGCGCAATAATAATGATTTTCTGTTTAAAGCACGGAACAAACCCTACTAAAAAAATAGTACTGATGTATTTAAATATTTTTGTGTCAAGAAAAGCGGTGTTCACATTACCGTTTGAATTGGCTAGTGACCTCAGAATAAAGCCAGGTTATTTGTATGCGTGCCTAGTGCATAATTCAATTTGTTCGACAAAATATTCAACAAAGTTTTTTTTTTGCATTAAATATTGTAAGGAAATAATTAGATCGTTTCAAATAATTGCGTAGTTTACCCTGTTTGTTGAAACGTTTGGTATCAATAACAGCATATTCACGGTCAATAGAGATTGCACAAAAACTGTTTTAGTAGTGCGAATCGTAAATAAATAAATTGGATAGAACGTGACTACGAAGGTCTTACTTTGATACCGACTTACATATTAACGGTAGAGCGTGGCTTTTATTTATTTATTGCGTTGATGGATGGATGTCTACAACGTAAATGCGCCACCCACCTTGAGATATAGGTTTTAAGACCTCAGTATAGTTACAACGGCTGCCCTACCCTTCAGAACGAAACGCATTAATGCTTCACGGCAGAAATAGGCAGGGCGGTGGTACCTACCCGCGCGGACTCAACAGGTCCTACCACCAGTAAGGCTTTATGGACCACAAGGTGGCATAGGCTGAGATAGTTATGTTTTATCTAGACGCTGTTTATATATGCTTTGTTGTATGCGAACATAACTTTTGGGCAAAGATGCGTAATTATTTTTTTTGCCCGTGTATGCAGATGAGCATACGGCCCACTTGATGGTGAGTGGTTACTGTCGCTCAATGCCAGGGGCAGAGAGCCAAGCCGTTGCCTACCATTGTAATGCCGGTACCTTGGTTGTTAGAATGAAGTATGAAGAAGAGTGGTAGACAGAATTAAAATCATTTTTACGTGACTAGGAAAACTGTAAAGAATTCGTATCGTCCTAAATAACGAAATGACATTAAGAAACGCAAGATTAAACCGTAAAAGTATTTTTTGTTTACAAAACATCACACAAAAAATGGATTGCCTGCCTCTGTTTGCGGAATCTGCGATCCAAGCCTTCCAATTAGGGTTCTAGGGTGTGGAATCTCCTGACAGTGAATGCTGGTTTAAGAACGAACTCCTTTTTACCGAGCTTTTAACGCAGTGAAAGTTACTTAAGGTGTTAATCGAAGTTTGCCGCTGTCATACCGTCTAAAGCACAATATTGATAATATTATCATTTAAGTGCGCAATTCTGAGGAAAATGTAACGGTAAATCCCCGTGCTGTTAATTACCTTATTGTGTAATAACAGAGATGAATAACCTCTAAAATACACGGTATTGTTCATTATTTTCGACAAGTTCACGTTATCGAATTTAGATAACAAAAAAAAAATGATATTATTAGTCAATTACCTAACGAAACGTGTATTATTGATATTAAAATGAGGATAAAGGATATTATATTGCATTAAAAAGAGGGTCGATAGATATCGCAGTTTGAATGTCGCTACAAACACCATAAGATGTCTAGGCTGTTGGCGTTCGAAGGCCGGCTATTCTCGACCCACGCTGGTTCTAACCCAGCGGGGTATTCCGTAGGATAAGTCACTCTAACCGGCGCCATCTAGGCGGGCTCCGGATAGCCTGCCGACCGAGAGGGCTGGTGGTCGTAGCGCCGACGACCTCAAGACCGTCCCGAGGGGGAGGGTGATGGGAGAGATGTGCTCCGCACTAAACACTTCACTTTCCTCCCTTTGCCTTTTCATGAGTTCTGTCTCATGTGAGGTTTGGACGTTGGTTGTTGAGCGACAGGAGGTTTTAGTCGGTTCGACTCCGACATGCTCCGCCCGCCGTCCCCAGTGGAGGGCGGAAGTCCGGCGATTTCCTACTGACCAAAAAAAAAAGTCTGTGATATCGTCCACCCATCTAAGCTATAAAAAAAAGTCCCTATGTTCTTTTATTGCTTGAGGAGTTTAGCAACATATAACAACATAATATAAGACAATATTAAGCAGTGGTTTCGTTCTTTCCCTCGCATTACCGACGTCCACAAGTGACCAACCGTGACAATGGCAATAAAAAAAACAAATGAAAAAAAAGAGCTCAGATTTTACTACATTACACTTCACCTCGGCAACCTCTGCGTCCGCGATATTATTATATAAAACATTATATACACTTGTCCGACCTTGAATCGTCTGTGTTTACACAAACACGACCTTGAATCCGTTTAATCATATAAACTTTTATAAATAAACAAAGTACGTACGTAGAACGCTTTCGTTAACACTAATTAGAGCGTTTGTTTCTCGTTACGTATTCATATTATTATAAATGTTACGTGAGTCATAACTGTGTAGGTCTTTAGCGTTGGAAAAAAAATTATGTTCAAGTAAAATATTTTTTCCGTATAAAGTTTATCAAAGGATAACGTGCACTCGCGGTTTCAGTCATCGATAAGTTTTGAGGTTGGATGAAACAGTCACAAATACTCACAAAAAAAAACAGAAAATAAAATACTCACAAATCGAATGTTATTCCTATTCGTACACTCTTAACAGAGTGGTCGTGGTCATGCATCAGTCGGATCCTGCGATACAGATGCTCTCGCGATGCGACGCCATGTGGCACGATGTTTCGCAGAGTGAGAGCAATCATTTATGTTGGAGTGAGTCACAGATTTTATGAGGTAGGTCCAAATCGAATGTACCGTCTAAAAACTTAAAGACCCAGGAAATCATTTTCACGAAATTGGTTCTATCGGTTCGTGGTATTGGGTTGGTTTTATCCAATAAGCCCCACCCCGCCTACCGCTCCCAACGTCTAGGCGAGAGTCCAGCGAAATCCACAGGATATCGGAAACCATATGTGTTCTTAGTGCGAGTTTTTTTTAACGTTCTCGATAGCGTGAAAGTTAACTCAAATTTGTATGGAGTTGGAAAATTTACCTACATTTGCCGCCATGGGCGCTGTATCGCGCTATCGAGAACATTAAAAAACTCGCACTAAGTATTAAGCACAACACTGATGGCCGAACAAATCTTTCGCATCCTGGGTATTCGAAGTGCAATTTTTATGGCCTTCCTCGATGCCCCGTACTAGCGAAGAAATTCAGTGGGGCTGTAGATAACTTTGGCAGTAGTAGAAATATTTGTAGGCCGGTATAACCACTCTTTGCCCGCGGATTGACCTTTAGTTTTTTCGATCTTTATTAAGAAAAGAGAGCAAGTTCTACATTTCTCCCGGATCCTTCCGACGACAACCATTCCAGAACCACACCGACTAACATTTACCTACTGTTGCTTCAAGCTTCGCTTGAAACAAATATAGAGTTGTTTTAAAATGATTACACTGTCTGCCGAATTACGCTAATAAATTATTGAAAACGTTTATGGTAAGATTATCATGACACGGTCTTCGCGTTTCTTAGGTTGAACATTTTGTACCGGCCGTGCTTACTAAAGTATAGATTTATTAATTACCAATATGGTATCTCTAAATAGTATAAAAAGGTCGTTGTCTGTCTGTCTGTTTTGCAGCTCGACTCTTTAAAACCACGTATAGTCACCGGCAAACATCGTGAGCAAATGACCTTGACTGCGCAGAACCGAATTTTAGATCACTTTGGTGGTGAGGGTGAGGCACGACGGCAGGGGAAATCGTATCGAGCGCGTTATTGGTAGATGAGTCGAACCTTGCGTCCCGCACCGCGCCTTCGTTCCGCTTGCTCCCAAAAGTACGCTTGCGTACAGTGAAAAGTCTATCGTTATTAATCGTTAAGTTATATTTTGTTATAATTACTTGTTGACTTTGTTGCCATTGCTATTTGTTGAGTGTTTGTTGATTTTTTTATAAAAAATACACTATGCCGCGACAAACTGGTGTAGTATTCAAAAGAAAGGGTAGAAAAATTGTGTACGACGTATATTGCTTCATTATAAAACAGGGGAAGAATGATATTATGGAAAAAGTAAAACAAACTTCGGAAGCAACAAAAACATCAGTGAGTACTGTTAGGTGCATTATTAACGAAGCTAAAGGCTCTGGCTTGCTCATCGTGCTTGGGACTCCGGGTAAGAAAAGATCAGGGAAGAAGAAAGTTACCGGAATGGATAGTTTCGTTCAATCTGTAATAAAAATATGTAATCATAATAACTACATAACAAGCAGCGAAACTCCGTACCGTAGAAAGGCTTCGAAAATTTTAAAGAAGATATACATTTTAATGGCTCGGAATGAAGTTTACGACGAATTATGAAAGAGCTAGGCTTCAGATGGAAAAAGAAAACAGAAAATAATCGGAAGCTGGTAATTGAAAAAAGTAACATTCGATTACTACGAATCGAATATCTTCAAAAAATAATTAATTATAGACAAAAAAGAAGATCGAACCGACCGAGTAACCTACACCGATGAGCCCTATGTCGACTTATCACGATGATGGCGACTCGGGTGATGAAAACAGTGATGATGATAATGGTCAAGATTATGATAACAAAAAAAAAATTACAAATACCAGCTTCGCTTCAACTGAACGAAGACCTGGCAACAGCTCTAGTTTTGACTTAATAGAAGGAATATCTATTTTACCCCAAGATTAAATTATTACAATTATTAACCTATATTTTTTGTTGATGTTCTAATAAATATATAAATAAATACATATGTTGATTTTAATAATTTAATTGCATTATGACGCAGAGTAAATAATGTTTTTGCACGTGAGTGTACCATGCGCAAACTTACCCCCACTACGTCAACAAATGCTCAAGAAGTTTGCCGGCTATAATCGATTTAGATACGCTTTTCAAGAATAAACGAGGAAGGTTTGTGTTATGTTTGTTTTTGTTGTTTGTTGTTTGTCTGACGAAGTCTCAGGTCATTATGATATTCCGGTCTTTACAACGCCGTAGAGCCAATACTACACCAGAAAAGACTGAGAAACAGTTAAAAAGTGAATGCAGAATCAGAATCCTTCGTAACGAGAAAACAGAAAAAGTGATTTTAATATGTTATAATATTCTATAATAAATTCTAACATGATAACTATAAACTGATAAAAAAGCACTGAAGTCCCTATTTAATTTAAATACATTGATTAGGTAGGAGGTAATTATTTATTTAGTTTTTTTTATTGCCCTTGGAGGCAAACGAGGCCCACCTGATGGTGAGTGGTTACCGTCGCCCATGGACTTCAGCAATGCCAGGGGCAGAGCCAAGCCGCTGCCTACCACTTAATACTCTCCACAAGCCTCGTTTGAAGAAGTACATGTCATAGTTGTACTTTTTGACGAATCATGTTGCTGATAACTCTGTTTCTATAATCCGACGAAGCGTGTTGCGGATAATAATGACTTCTAGGTTATTAAACTACCTTGCATTTTGATTTAATAAAGTTGTCACTATAGTCAAATATTGTAAAAAATTCGCGAACTATGGAGTACATACATCTGTTAAGGCTTTAATAAACAAGGATTCCACTTGACCACGACTGATCTGCCAAGAGTAAACGACTATGATGATGAATTGATAGAATATTTTTGTTTCGACAGGAGAGTTAGTGACTGGTGTAGCTCATAATGTGGTGATGCTGACTCCGCTTAGCGAGAGGGATCATGGTCGCTTGGGATCCGTCTTCGTCACCAATTACAAACTTTCATTCGTACCTTTAGAACGATCTCAACAGGATGTGAGTATTTTTTGTTATTCAAATGAACTACTGTTACAGAAATGCTAATAGAAATGTTCAGACAGATATTTATCTTCAGACTACGATTATGAAGGCCATTTTTTTTATTGCTTAGATGGGCGAACCAGCTCACAGCCCACCTGGTGTTATGTGGTCACTGGAGCCCATAGACATCTACAACGTAAATGCGCCACCCACCTTGAGATATAAGTTCTAAGGTCTCAGTATAGTTACAACGGCTGCTCCGCCCTTCAAACCGAAACGCATTACTGCTTCACGGCAGAAATAGACAGGCACCTAGTGGCTAGAGCCCTTGGCTTTTTTTGCTAAGATAACATAAACTGTAGAGTACCAGACTACGTCGGAAATAGGTGCTTTAACTTCTATATGAACCCAAGAATCGCTGGTTGGTTGTGATAAAGACGGATATGAAGGAGAATAACCTCATCTAACCTCAGAAGGATGCCAAAAACCGGGCAAAATGGAGGAGTTTAAGTAAGAAAGCGAACCCTGGCACTTGACCGGGAAAACGCTAGGGAGAAGAAGAAACTAAGATGGGTGGAGGAGGTGAAGGCTGACAGACACCAGCCACTTTGAGACATGAATTTTAAATCTCAGTTTTACAATAAGACGCCTGCCCATCTTGGAAACCGAAATGCATTACTGCTTCACGGTAGAAATAGGCAGGATGATGATACCTACCTGCGTCAGTTCACAAGACGCCATTAGGCAAATTAACAATTTTGCGGTTATAAAATTCCAAGATCCCACTTCGGGTCTGTCTTTCCGATCATAAATCAAGATGTTAAAATTGTCTGTTGTTTACATTAAAGTGAATTGTAATGAACCAGGAATGCAGTCAGCGGAACCACCTCCTCGGACCTCACGATGTGCCTTTATTGGCTGTGGGTGCAGTGTGGCTCACCGATGGCGGCCCGGTGCGGCGGCGACGGCTCATGCCCTGCGGCGATATGCCCGGAAAGGTTAAAGGGCTCCAGATAATATGTAAGGTAGGATATTTTTTGAATTAGTTTGCATTATTAATTTACATATTTGTTTTTTTTATTGCTTAGATGGGTGGACGAGCTCACAGTCCACCTGGTGTTAAGTGATTACTGGAGCCCATAGACATCTACAACGTAAAAGCCGCCACCTACGTAAAACTCCAATAATGTAACCCAAGGTGTAAAAAAATTACCTAAAATATTCTTTACATCGCGTGCCCTTCGAAAACTATTGATGATAGAATAAAATAATGTAATACGACTTTGTACAACACATTATTATTTACAAAAAGTGTTAGGACAGCATATGTCTAACTATTATAGTTATGCCGCAATAAGTTTTATTTTATTTAAAAAAATAAAACATTGTTAAGTATGGTTGAAATTTTTGTTAAAGAACCGAGCGGAGCCGGAGCGGGCCGCTTGTAAACTATAAAACAAAAAATTGTAATTGTAAATTGTGTAACCACTTGACACCAGGTGGGCTGTGAGCTCGTCCACCCATCTAAGTAATAAAAGGAAGCGATTAATCTATAAGCGACATAATAAATACCAACCAAATCAGTGGAACTAAACATCATTCCTAGATGTTTCTTACTATCCATTGTGAATGCTTGAAAACAAACACTATATTCTCTTTGAGAAAATTTAAATGAATTAGATAAATTCCTTTATCTATCTCTGATATCATAATGTTTGGAACGTAACGTAGAGACAGAGGTTTTGGTTTACTTGCACACAGTGTAAAGTGAATCAGAGAGCCTACATAATACAGGTAAAAGATAAAAGATGTTTCAATACAGGTTTATAAAAACTTACGATAACACAATTTTAAGCTACTTAGCTTCACTCAACTGTGAGGCTGTTTTTTTTATTATTTCAAAACTTATACAGTTCTTTTTAAGTAATACAAAATTACCACTACTGTCAGCGGACAAGGTCACAGCCCACTTGACGAAACCCCCAAATATTTGACCCTTTGACATCACTAAAGTAATACAAAATTACCACTACTGTCAGCGGACAAGGTCACAGCCCACTTGATGAAGCCCCCAAATGTTTGACCCTTTGATACCACTACATGTCGATGACGTCATTGTAGCGTCGATGCAGCGACTGCCCCACCATTTATATCAGAGCGACTTATATCTTCCCACCACCACCTATCACTTCTTCCCTATGTTCAGTCGATTATTTCTGGATAACATTCAATCTGTTCACGGGAAGAGGGATTAGGGCGAAATATAGAATGGGGTTTGGCGAACTGTCTGCTTTAATTATATACTATATATACCTCGATGTGAATGCTTCGAGCAATCACTTTCGGAGTGTTTTATCTAATCGGATCACGGCTGACTCACTGTGACAGATTCAGCTTGTCCGTGTCGCGCGGTCGCCGATAACGACTACAGTTTGCTTTTTGTGGCAATTTCACGAGTTATTTATGAACCTGGGAAAAATGATTGGGTTCGTTTGTTGATTGGACCATAGATACAAGAACGTAAAGAATTACCTAAGAACTGACATCTAGTGATCAGAGTATATAGATGTTGTAATACTGGTTTTACTGGTGGTAGGACTTCTTGTGAGTCCGCGCGGGTAGGTACCACCACCCCGCCTATTTCTGCCGTCAAGCAGTAATGCGTTTCGGTTTGAAGGGTGGGGCAGCCGTTGTAACTATACTTGCTTGAGACCTTAGAGCTTATATATCAAGGTGGGTAGCGCATTTACGTTGTAAATGTCTATGGGCTCCAGTTATGGATATTATATGAATATTAAATGTGAGCTAGTCCACCCATCAAAGTAATAAAATATATATATCTGAAACTTTGAAACACAAAATTTTGTTGTATAATTAGTAAATTGTAGTATGATTAAAAAAAATATTTTTTTCTTCTCTTTAATGTGAGGGTACTGCTTTATTCCCTTCACTATGTCATTGAAGTTACCATGTCTCATTTTCAGAATATGAAAGTAATAACGTTTAGTTTCACGACCGCCCCAATGCACAGCGGCAGGAAGATTGCCCTATCCCTAATGCACCACGCGTTCCCGAAACGGCACCATCTACTGTTCGCCTTCGAATACCACGAGCCGTATTATCCGACTCTGCCGTCCGAACTGAACATGTTCCAAAGGCCGGGCGACTGGAAGCGTGAACTGGAACGATGCGAATGTCCCCACTGGCGGATAACCTGCATCAACGGCACGTCGGACGCCTTCATGCTGACCGCGGGTGAAACGCTGATAGTTCCGAATTCGGTCCTGGATTACAACCTGGTGGAGTCTGCGCGACACTTCAGGTCGGGTCGCGTGCCGGTGTGGGTGTGGGGCAGGCCGGAGGGCGCGGCGCTGCTGAGGAGCGGGGAGCTACTCCCCACGGAGCAGGCACCCACCGCCGAGAGTGTCTTATTAGAACAGGTTTGTACGAGGCCAATGAACTTAAATTAGATTCGCTGTTGTTTTATGTCCTTAAAATTATTAAAGTGAAACTTTGTATTACATCGTCTCAAACTTTTTCGTCTGTGTGTCGCGCATGTCGCGTGACGGTCGTCCGCGGAGTAGGGATAAAGTGAAAGGTGCTCGTCAGAGTAGCCAAGGCCAATATGGCGGCGCCTATAGCTCGCAGCAGCTGACCGTGTAGTGTATAGACTGTTACTCATTTGTGCCAGTGCTCCACGCTATTTTGTTTGTTTTTGTCAGTGTTTAATGTAAATGTTGTTTGTCAGAGTTAAATGTCTATAATGTGAAAAAAAGTTTCACTTTTACCGTGGTTTCATAAAATCACACAATCCTTTTTTTATTTTACGTTTTCAGATCCGACGTTCCCATCCAAAGCTGACACCTCCGCAAGTCCTATATCTGTGCGGGAACAGCTTCACCACTACTGGTTCGAACGCTAACATTCTACCTCCGCTCAGCAGTCTGCAAGCGTCTTTCAAGAAACTGATGGATCTCTGTACCCCTACGAAGTTGTCAGGGTTTTGGGTGAGTCACTGCTGTTTCAACTGCATTAACAAATTTCCTAAAGTGAATTTTAATAAAATGCCATCTAGTGGTGACAAACAAAACTTATTTCTTCCGAAGTTCGTAAATAGATGGCATTGTTTACAAAAATATTCGTCAAACATTGAGCCCCTTTCAGAGACGCTCACCAAGTAAGTCGCGATGGGAAACTTTAAAACGATTCTATCGTCACGACATAAACGTGTTCTGGGTGAGTTAATGTCACTTCGTCGCTAAACTCCCATCGACACGTCACGCGGTTTTAACGTATTCAATTCATGGTGTTATCTGTGGCTAATCAATCATGCATATCCGTTTGAGTTGTTCAAAATTCGAAAAAGATTTTTTAAATATGACAACACTGAATGTATCACTTCACTTGTAAATAAATCCGTAGCTGTCACTCAAGCATGTTATCAGAAACTTAGTCAAAGTTAATCAGCCCTTCGATCATAAAGGGTGATAATGAAAATATGTTTTTTAATGGTACACTATAGAATTTAAATAACGCATGGTTACGTTTTTTATAATTATTTAATTAATGTGATATTTAATATGAATGTGAAATGTTATCGTATAAATAGCGTTTATCTAAAGATTCATTCAGCTCTTCTGTTTGTTTTTCTGACATTCTATTTGCAAGATATATTTATATTAATGTATTTTTCTTTAGAAATTTACAACGAATAACGGTATATTGAAATGTGAACAAATATATATAATATACATCTACAACTATAGATGAGAATCTCATTGAGTTTCTCCCCGGATCTTCTCAGTGGGTCGCGATCCCGATCCGGTGGTAGATTCTGCAAAGCACTACTGTTGCGAGGTTCGGCCTTGTTTTGTTGAGCGACAGGAGGTTTTAGTCAATTCGACCCCAACATGCTCCGCCCTCCATCCCCAGTGGAGGGCGGATTCCGGCGATTTCCCTTTGGCAAAAAAAAACGGTTCTTATGGTCTAGTGATGCCTTTAGAAATGGTAAGTCCTGGATACGTGTCAGTGAAAATATTCAATACGTATTTCATTAGTAAAATTGGTACCCGCCTGTGGGATTCGAACACCGGTGCATCGCTCGACACGAATGCACCGGACGTCTTATCCTTTAGGCCACGACGACTTAAAGCATGATCATTCGTCCTGCCGTATCCACTTCATTAAGGGTAGTGTGGGCGCAGGTGCAGGACGCGCAGTACCACTCGGTGCTGGAGTCCAGCAAGTGGCTGCGGCACGTGGCCACGTGCCTGGCGCTGGCGGACGAGGCGGCACACCACCTGGCCCGCAACGTCACCGTCGTACTGCAGGAAGGTGCGTCCTCACACACCAGACACACTCTTTTTTTATTTAAGGGATTTTATGACCTGGTAACTAAGACCTTTAAGTCATGTCTTATTTTAATTTATATTCATATTTTTATGAAAAACGATATTATGGAGTGAAATGAAATGAGGTGAAATCATATGGAATGAAATATAATTTGAGTAAAATGGTGGTCATTTACTGAGATTTTTTTCAGTGGACTTTTGGAGGATCCTGAGAGCTTACGTCAAAGCGGCTTTGTTTCATTTTCCCACATTTGGGCAATTTCACAGATATTAAACAGTTAATAAACCACCGTTATTACACATTTAAACCTGAAGAAACACCAAATAAACAAAATAAAACAAATCACACAACTTCACTCCTCGCGTTCCCGCCAAAAAGTCCCAGACATACTCACTGCTGCATTAACCACTGATGCACTCGGAGAAGTAGTTTTTAGTCATTATGTTTACGACTCCTCGCGATAACTCAAGAGAATGCTAACTTTTTTTTTATTGCTTAGTTGGATGGACGAGCTCACAGCCCACCTGGTGTTAAGTGGTTACTAGAGCCCATAGATATCTACAACGTAAATGCGCCACCCACCTTGAGATATAAGCTGTAAGGTCTCAAGTATAGTTACAGCGGCTGACCCACTTTCAAACCGAAACGCATTACTGCTTCACGGCAGAAATAGGCGGGGTGGTGGTACCTACCCGTTCGGACTCACAAGAGGTCCTACCAACAGTAAAAAGTAGATGATATGTGGCTATTTGGAATTGATTTGATTTGATTTGATTTGGTGGCTGGCAGTAACTCGATGAGAGAAGCCGAGAATCGTGCTCAGTGGTGAGCAATTGGAGAGGCCTATGTCCAGCAATGGACTGCTTTGAGGCTGATGATGATGATGATTCTTCATATTATATTTTATTTTTATGTGTAATTTATAATTTTGTTTTCAATAGCCAAACAAACCTATGTACATGAATACGGGTTTGCTGAGTGCATATACTATTTAGACTGCAATCCAGATTAGATTTAGGTACTACTTGTACCATATGTACTGTAATGATTGTGATTTGTTTTGTGCATCAATAAATCAAAAACAAAAAAATATATTGTTCTCTCTGTATTGTTACACAGCTCATCGAATTGTAATGACATTTGGAGTAGTAATTGTCAGTCCGTAGGCTGTACAGTAACAAATTGGCAACAGCAATTCTTGACACTTTCACAGATAGATTAATTTAAAAAAAAAGGGTTATTCGTTCTCGTTTAAAATAATTTACTGAAACGTTTATTTTAAATAGATTTTTTATTTTAATAATTATTTTATTTTATTTTTATAACACTTTGATGTCAAGTGTTACTTCACATTATGTTGTTACATTTGTATGAATGCAATCAACTCTGATTTGGGGGTGATTAAAATAGTGAGAACGAAGGTGATACAAAAGGGTGGTCACGACTAGAGATGAAACGGATAGTGGTTTGGCCGGACACTGGATACCGTATATTCGGCCCTTTCGGAAATATTCGTGCGCGTTCGGGTGTTGTCGCACGTATGCGGAGATCGCGACGACGATTTGGTATTCATTCACCACAATTTGCCACTGGTTAATTTTGAGTATTAAACAAACTAATTAATAAAACAATCACTTTTGACGTGCGATTATAAAAATAAAAGTTGTCCATAGCCTATTGTGGTATTATTTGCCTTTTGTATAATCATGAGATTTTCTTAAATTTTACTATCCTAAATCCGGTCGGATACTGATTTACTATCCGGTATCCGGCCGGATAGTATAAACATGGCCGGATACCTGATAATTACCGGATATCCGTTTCATCTCTAGTCACGAGCCTCAGTAGTGAGGAATACGATGCAAGGAGGAGGGAAATATCGAGAAGTTTCAATAGCAGTATTGTTGATTGTACACGTGCTTGGCGCAGGCGAGGGCGTGGACTACAGCGCGGTGGTGTCGAGCCTGACGCAACTGCTGCTAGAGCCGCACTGGCGCACGCTGGTCGGCTTCCAGTCGCTCGTGCAGAAGGAGTGGCTGGCGCTCGGACACCCCTTCTGCGACCGGTTCGTACTCGTAGCTCTGCTCTCATAAGCACGATAGTAACATCCGTGTAACCAAATACTTTAATCTAATTGTTAAAGATTTAATTATTTTTTATTGCATAGACGGGCGGACGAACTCACAGCCTCACAGCTCACAGGTATTAAGTGGTGACTGGGGCCCATAGATATCTACAACGTAAATGCCGCCACCCACCTTGAGATATGAGTTCTAAAGTCTCACTATAGCTACAACGGCTGCCCCACCCTTCAAACCGAAACGCATTACTGCTTCACGGCAGAAATAGACGGGGTGGTGGTGGACTCACAAGACCTCCTACCATAAGTGATTACGCAAACTATAATTTTGCGTGTTTGATTTGCCACCTATTTCTGCCACGAAGCTGTAATACGTTCTAGCTAGAAGCACGGGACCTCTGCGGTTGACGCCCGTGGCAATACGATTGTTATTTTTTATTTTTTTCCTACCTAAGCTGGTGGTGTAAAGAGACCATATCAGCGTAACCTTTAGCAAGAGCCGTGCTTCGCAGAATCTACCACCGAATGGGAAACGCGACCCACTGAGAAGATCCGGCGAGAAACTCAGTGGGCTGTGTCTGAGGGTTAGTTTACTCGCCGAGTCCTTCGTCGGGTTCGGCGAGAACAATGACCGGCATACGCTTGTATCAGCAATATCAAACCTCAAACCACTTCTAAGAACTTCTCATGCGTTATTTCAAGAAGACTTGTTTCGGTGTAGGTACGGCCTCCCCAGTCCCGGTAACCCGAAGGAGACCCGGGAGCAGAGCCCGGGCCAGGTGGCGCCGGTGTTCCTGCTGTTCCTGGACTGCACGTGGCAGCTCACGCGGCAGTTCCCGGCCAGCTTCCAGTTCACGGAGACCTACCTCACCACGCTGTGGGACTGCACGCACAACCAGATATTTGACACCTTCCTGTTCAACTGTTCCCGGGACAGGGAACTTGCCTATACGAATAAGGTAATGACGATTTTAAATAACCGCTTTTGTTCGTATACAAATAAGATGTGTTTTTCAGTAATAACTTTTGGGTTTTATAGCCCTGCTACTAGTCGTCGATCTCGTCGAACCGAGTATATTAACCCACAGACACAGCCCCCCTGAGTTTCTCGCCGGATCTTCTCGGTGGGTCGCGTTTCCCATCCGGTGGTAGATTAATAAGATACCAAACAGCATAAGAGATCTTCCACTAACTCAATTTAAAAGAAAATTATATTTATGGCTAATAGATAAGGCTTATTATAGTGTGCAAGAATTTTTAAATGATAAGTGTTGTACATAATAAAATATTAGAATAAGAAGTGATAGAATGTAAAAATAGATAGATTTAGTAAATTTTGTGTTAGAATTAATATAAAAATAAGTTAAATTTTCGCATGCCTAAACAGGCGAAATATATGAAACTATGTCCTATATCCATAAGATCTTGTAAACTATATTTCTGGCGAATAAAGATTTTCTTCTTCTTCTTCTTCTGCGAAGCACGGCTCTTGCTAGGGCCAGTGTTAGCAACAACGTCAGGCTTGAGCCCCGTAAGCTCACCTACTAGTTCGCTGAATCTAGAATAGGAAAAATAAAAGGAAATGTAGCCCTGCTAATAGCTATATTGTGGAAATAATTGTGAAGGTGATCTTATGGCGAGTGGTATTGTCGGACCACACCCTACCTTTTGACGGACTGACAATCTCTATGCCCAGACTACTTAGATCTGGCCTCTGTGGGCTTCGATAACTGCAGTGACAAAAGAAAATTAATCGATGCACATGTTCTATCAGAAAAACCAGCAGAGCTTCGTCCCGGTGTGGGATTGGGGGGAGCAGTTCTCGGAGCAAGACAAGGCCCTGTTCTACAACCCGCTCTACGCGATGTCGGCCAAGCCTTCCAACGTCACGCCAAACAGATCCTGTGAGTGTGACGTAATCAACAATAGTACATCAATACCACCAGCTCTAGGTGACCCCTTACGCGCTTACAATACTATAGCACGCTCGTAGTATCAATTTCAACGTTTTACTGGACTTCCTCTGATAATTCAACATATTTTTTTTTATTTCAATACTTACAACTTTTCACTATAATAAATAAGTCTATGTTGTACCATAAATGTGATGACATCACAGACCACGATAATTTCAAACCATAACGATCACACACGCGATAATTACGTACAAACATGACGCACCCGCCGCGGACTCGACCACTACTTACGTGTATTGGTCTCGTAGTTATTAGCGATTCAAATATGACGGTATTTTGTCACATAAAAGTGTCGACAGATTTGCGCTGTAACTATTATAGTTAAGAGAATATCAATATCGATGCAGTGAGTTGGGTCCTTAAGATTTATGTAGTACGTCAACATTGTAATGAAAAGTCAGGAATTTGTGTCCAATTAAAATTTTAACAAGACATAAAGGAAAATTAATTTCAGTTTATCGATACGCGCATCACACGAAGTGCCAACCGATTTATCTCTTGTTGATTTGTTTGATTCGTCACTGTCTTAGTAATGCTTCTGATGGAATAATTGAAAAATTTTCTCGTAACATTAAAATATTCACTTTATTTGTTATATGGGTGAACGAACTCACAGCCCACCTGGTGTTAAGCGGCTACCGGAGCCCATAAACATCTACAACGTAAATACCGCCACCCACCTCGAGTTAAAAGTTCTAAGGTCTCGGTATAGTTACAACGGCTGCCCCGCCCTTCAAACCGAAACGCATTATTGCTTCACGGTTGAAATTGGCAGAGCGGTGGTACTTACCCGTGCGGACTCACAAGAGGTCCTACCACCAGTAATTAAAATAATACACGTTTTGTTTATCAGCAATAATTTCGTCGCCGAACAAACAAGCCGTCGAGCTGCCGCGACTAGAACCCTGCACTTCGGTAGCGGGCACCGAGCTGTGGTCGCAGTGCTACGAGCGCTGGCTGCTGCCGCTCGACGTGCCGCACGCCGGCGACGTGCAGTACCACGTGTTTCACTACGCCGTGCTCAAGGAGGTGAGGCTCTTTATGTTTATGATTCCCTGGTACTTCAAACGTCTCTCACTACGCCGTGCCCCAAGGAAATGAGGCTCTCTATATAATTAATTATATCACACCATATTTTCTCTTCAAGGCTTTGGTTGCCTGGTATCACAAAGATCGCTGCTTGTTCCTTTCAGTACAATTTAACTCTTTGCGATTTCATTGTTCCTAGTGTCGAGATTTTAAAAATCATCAATTAAAGCAATAAACGCTTTAAATAAAAAGTATTACTTAATAACATTTATTGAATTTTTTAATGCCACTATCGATAGACGCCTGTGTGGCCTACCTGATGGTGAGTGGTTCCCTACAATGTCATGGGCACAGCCAACACCGGCGCGGTCCATTGGCGACTCGTCCATTAGTGCCCACACTGAGTAAATCCTTTGCTCCCGTTCAGACACAGCACACACTGAGCTAATCCGTTTCGTTCGTTCACAGATACAGCAGTTGAACGAGAAGCTGAACTCGCTGTCGATATTCTCAAACAGACAGTCGTTGGGCGGCAGCTCGGCGTCCGGCGCGGAAGGGCCCGGGGACCGCACCGCCGTGTCGCGGTTCTACCCGTTCAGTCGGTCGCGGGGCCCCGCCGCGCCCGCGCTGGACGCCATGCAGCTCAGCGCCATCGACGCCGCCTCGCTGCTCGACTCGCTGTCGCTACTCAACGCGCCGGACTAGACCCCCCCAACCCCCCGCCCGCGTTACATCCCCTTCGAACAATTGTGCCATGCGAACTTACACACGAACAAGATATACGGAAGCGTCAGACTAAAATCTGCTATGTGCAAAAACTCTATTTTGAATTAACGAGTAAAAATATTTTCGTGTAAACGTTTATATGAAGGTGAATTTGTAAGAACTGTATCAAATGAAAGCTATGGACACATAACAGTTTTTTTTTATACACGGTAGATAGGGCTGTGAACTATACGAAAAGGTCAAAAAGTAAAAATCTCAAAGCAGATTTGCACATAGCAGATTTTGGTTTGACAACGACGATATGTCATGTTAAAAGGCACCTTCAAGCCGATCGCAAGATTTTTGTAAGCTAATATTCTTACACTGGAATTAGTAGAGATTCGTTGTCACGTGGTTTTTTTATTGCTTTGATGAGGACGAGCTCACAGCCCACCTGCTGTTAAGTGGTTACCGGAGCCCATAGACAGCTACAATGCAAGTTCGCCATTCACCTTGGGATATAAGTTCTAAGGTCTCAGTATAGTTACAACGGCTGCCCCGCCCTTCAAACCGAAACGCATTACTGCTTCGCGGCAGAAATAGGCGAGTTGGTGGTACCTAATCGTGCGGACTCACAAGAGGTCCTACCACCAGTAAAATACCACACTGAACCCTCATGTTGCCGGCATAATGCTTCCTGCCCCTATATTTTGTACATTCGTTTACATGTAACAACAGAATATCCTTTATAAAAAAAAAATCAAGGACATCTGCCATCTCTGTCTCGCATCGTAATACCGGTGATATGACGTCACCACAATGCGCGTCCTTAACGACCGATTTAAAAATAAAGATCCCAATTTCAGAATTTAGTCAATGTTTAGAATAATATTTTTTTCATCTAACATCAATTGAGTGAACATACGTATTCTAACGACATAACAGTATCAGCGACTATTATTCACCTGGTAGACCGTCTGCTAGTCTGATTACAGAGGCAATAAAAACAAAGACCCAAACGTCACGATTATTTTCACGTATACGTCTAACCACTTGTGAGCTTCACTGTACCGAACTGTGAATAACGATGTTAATTACGCGTCTCCCATAAACTACTGAGTAAATAACACATAAACATTATTAATTAAATTACCGTCTGTTCGTGGAACGCATATGAGGTTTTAATTGTAATATTAATAAATCTTATTATCTCCAATGCATGTTTAGATAAAAAAAAAATCATACACACTTAGGTTATAATGAAGAGTTGTAACTGGTGACCTCATAGTAAATAGCGACTGCATCCCGACAGCCCAAATCCTAGCTAATATTATAATTCTAAAGCTACTTCGTGTGTTTGTGTGTGACAAAAATTACTATTACGTACTGAGGGATACGTATCTACTTGCACATTAACGCGCGTTAAGCCGCGTGCAAAAGCTAGTGTGTTCTATAAACTTCTAGTTATGAATAATTAGAAGTATGTGTTATTTAATGTAAAAAATGATTTCGTGTTAGCGAGTAGAACAGGATATTAAAAATTGATAGTACAGTAATAAATAGTGTTAATGTCCGTTTAAATTCGTGGTGTCGACAGGCCGCGGTCACCGCTTAGCACCAGCCGGGGTGTGATGCACTCACGTACCCGCCTACGCTAAGTACAGATTATCGGCTTAAGATGACACAAAATGGTACAAAATAACCAAAATCAAAAAGGCGTACTTGTATTATTTTATGAGTATTAGTGCGGAGTGAAAATAAATAATCGATCGTACAACACTAATAAAACGAATAATCGACTAAATCGATCGATCGTGGAATCGAATTTAAGATCGCGTTAAAAATTATTTTCTTACGAATTAGTCGCAATGCGGAATTGATTGAGACTTATATTTGAATGCAAATTGAAATATTTTTTTATAATATTTAAAATATAAAAAATTAAAAAGGCGAATTATGGTCAGACCATGTTACGTAGACAGAATATTTCTAAAATATTATATTTTTCAGTAAAATGTCATGTGACCATTCCTAATATAAATATTTTGTTTAGAACTCTGTTCTTTTCGAAATTGTTTAGAACTTAATATCGTATAAGAAGTAAAGAAAGTGTCCATTTATCCCAATACCAAATTTAAAAATTATAATAAAAAGCTATTGTAATACTTGAAAATAAAAATATTCGTTTTTTGAGTTAAATGCAACAAAATTGAGTAACTATTAAGTTCCAAAGATGCCAAAAAAAACTGGCATCAAAAATTATTAATATCTCGATATCTCAAATCTCCACCCCCGATTATAATACTATAAGGATAACTGCGTACCGACTGACTGATAATAACTATATAGAAGCCAGTTGTCTGGTTTCATTTACATTATCTTCCTAATCAAATATATTTAGGATATGTGACTTAGTTTAATTTCGTAATTCGTACTTCAAATGGGGAAAACGAAGCAGGGATAAGCAGTAAACAACAACAACAAATTACTCTGATGTTATCCAGTCTGATGTCATTACCCAGACGAAACAATATAGATGACAAAATGGAATCCGGGAATCTTTTTGTTTGCAACATCTGAATATAAATATTTGAAAGTTAATCATGGTTTGTAACTGTAAAATTTGTCTAGTTTCTGTCACCTTTTAATTTTCCATAGCCAATGAAATTAGTAATAACAGCATATAGATATCCGTGATCAGTTAAACGGTAGGCAGCGGCTTGGCTCTGCCCCTGGCATTGCTGAAGTCCATGGGCGACGGTAATCACTCACCGTCAGGTGGGCCGCATTCTCGTCTGCCTATAAGGGCAATAAAAAATATAAAAAACCTGCATATATAAATTGCGTCAAAAATATATTGTTTATATTAACAAGAAATACAATAAGTGAACTTAACAATAAGTGAAAAACAAATAAAGATATACCTAATTTCAATAGCTTCTGTACTGCAGGGAGCTAACATCGAAGTTTTTATGTACAATATACCAAAATAATAGTTATAAAAAGATACATTTTAATTTTAATAACGTTGTGTTTTAATGCGGCAGCTTTGTTTCGGAACAATCTAGAAAACAATTAATGTTAATTAATAGAGTTACGTTTTAATTATTTATTTCTTAATACTAACGCGAGTCATTTATTTTGTAAGCCGTTTATGAATAATGATAATAAATAAAATAAAACTTATTATGAAAATTAGTGTACGGATTATATCATCACATTAACTTTTTAGGTGGTGACGTTAAGAATACTTTTATTATGTAGAAAATCCTGCCAGGTTTAGATTGTTTACGAGAAAAAAAAACTATATTCGCATGGCTGACCGCGCGTAAAATACGCGCCTGCGTCATGTAACCTCACTGGCTTTACATCATTGTATAGTAACGACAGCAAGGTCACTGTTAGTCGATAATTAGTATAACATTCGGAACGTAAAATCGATTTCAACTATTCGGGAGTACTGAATGAATGAATGAATGATTTATTTTATTTCAGACAACAAGTCCATATGTGTAAATAGTATCATTGAAACATACTTAAAATTAACCAAACCAATCAAATAAAAAAGATACATTTATTAAAAATAATTATCAGTTGAATACATTTCAAATATTCCATTCAACTGATACTTACCAACCATTATTATTATTTAGTCCGCAAGTGAACCATGATACAATGGTTCAAGTACAGACAGTCATAACGGTCTGTTAATGCCTGCAAGTAACATGTTGACTATATTAATGTATGTACATTAGTAACGAAACAATATAATTTTTAAGCGTATTTAGTTATGATTTTAAGAATTGTTATACATATATACTAACCGAAGCCGGTTATATATCGGATTCTTTGCATATTTTCCGTGTTTGAAGTTGTTACGTTTCCACTTAATTTATGTAACATAAGGTACGATGTAAAATTTAATTAATTTTAAAGTACATTACAATTGTAAGTGCGTATTAACAAATTGAAACGTCAATATATTATATACATATATTATCAATGTTGTAAATTTAATAAAATTTTGTATAGAAACATAATTTTGCGAGGAATTGGTAGCCAAATGACACCAATGCATACATCGATCGCAAGTTAAGATTTTAATGCTGACTGTACCAAATTATGTTGTTGATTGTACCTGAAAAGGTGGACGTAGGAAATGTTCAAGAAATAAATAAAAGATTTAATTATTGAAAACTGCATTTTTTTTATTATTCCTTCGCCCACGAAATGTTTATAGTTGCCGTGTTTGCTGAATGACGCGGTGGTGGAACCTTCGGACACAGCCCACCGAGTTTCTCGCCGGATCTTCTCAGTGGGTCGCGTTTCCGATCCGGCGGTAGATTCTGCGAAGCACGGCTCAGGGTTCGTGTTAGCAACGTCGTCAGGTTTGCGCCCCGTGAGCTTACTTACTAGTTAAGGTTACTTGTTAGGTATAGCCTTTCAAGGCTAGGTTCAGATTAGGTAGGAAAAAAAAATGGATTCTCACGGATCGCTTGGAACCTCTGGGTCTGCGGAGGGACTTCGGTTCCCTCTGTATTTTGTACCGTATGTTCCATGGGGAGTGCTCTGAAGAATTGTTCGAGATGATACCGGCGTCTCGTTTTTACCATCGCACCGCCCGCCACCGGAGTAGAGTTCATCCATACTACCTGGAGCCACTGCGGTCATCCACAGTGCGTTTCCAGAGATCTTTTTTGCCACGTACCATCCGGCTATGGAATGAGCTCGCCTCCATGGTGTTTCCCGAGCGCTATGACATGTCCTTCTTCAAACGAGACTTGTGGAGAGTATTAAGCGGTAGGCAGCGGCTTGGCTCTGCCTCTGGCATTGCTGAAGTCCATGGGCGAGGGTAACCACTCACCATCAGGTGGTCCGTATGCTCGTCTGCCTACAGGGGCAATAAAAAAAAATTTGCGTCCCTGACTGGGCGCCGAGGGTCGTGGGTTCGATTCCCCCATCGGGTACATTCGTGTGATGAATAGGTCACGTCAGGGATGGCTGAGCGGTAGGTTCCGTCATCGCTTGTATTCGATTGAACTCAGTTTAGTCAATAAAACTTTTCAGTAATAATTATTGAAACTCAACACACACAACTTTCACAATGACAGGGTAAACCGACAGTTTCGTTGCACATACCGACAGACCGACTGACTGACAGAGACTCACTGACTGAGACGGACAGAATTACTGTCTGACACGGAATGCTACGACTCTGTCCACGTACCGCCATTTTATACTGTGGCGTTACGGAGTCTACCCTTCGTTTTGTGATATTTATCAAAACAACATTTCATCATTTAAAATAATAATCAAAACCACCGTCTTAATATTACTAAAGTCGTTATCCACGACAACTAAAAGTCGTTATCCACGACACGGCCATTCTGACATGTCACACGTCCCTGTGTGACGCTCCTGTCGTTTTTTTTTTTTTCTTTTTTTTTTCGTTGCATTCGGTTTGAAATCACAGCGATTCTAAAGAAGTTTTCACTTCAAAAGATGTACGGCTTCTAGCACTTCTTGTCAAGAACAATTCCACGAGCTCATCGCGAGCTTGGTCATCAATAACGCAAGTCAGATTGTTCTTATTTACCAAAAATATCGATATTACGCAGCTACCGGCACGTCGCTCTGCTCGGCCGGTGAATAGTTGACCCATCGAGCGCCGACAGACTGTGCTTGCGTCCCATATCTCGTATTGGCTGCAGCAATCACGTGTTGATTGCGACATGGTCTTCCTGATTGTACATGTCCTCGTGTGATGGTTAACCTACAATCAAAAACATCCACGAGAACGCTTGTTCCGCTCGATCACTCCTGACTACACTTTACGACTTATCGGAAACTTTAAAGTCATCAAAGCTTTAAACTGTTTTAATACCATTTTAACCAAATCAAACAATAGGGTATACAAAGTTCACTATTCAGCAGCCAGAGCACGTACCACAGTCGTTCATCAAACTTCAAATTTACTCTGTACAAATCAGGCATAGCTTACAGGAACNTGCGGAGGGACTTCGCTTCTCTCAAAATTTTGTACCGTATGTTCCATGGGGAGTGCTCTGAGGAATTTTTTGAGATGATTCCGTCATCTCGTTTTTACTATCGCACCGCCTGCCACCGGAGTAGAGTACATCCATAACTACTTGGAGCCACTGCGTTCATCCACAGTGCGTTTTCAGAGATCTTTTTTTGCCACGTACCATGCGGCTTTGGAATGTGCTCCCCTGCACGGTGTTTCCCGAGCGCTATGACATGTCCTTCTTCAAACGAGGCTTGTGGAGAGTACTCAACGGTAGCCAGCGGCCTGGCTCTGCCCCTGGCATTGCTGAAGTCCATGGGCGACGGTAACCACTCACCATCAGGTGGGACGTATGCTCGTCTGCCTACAAGGGCAATAAAAAAAAGGAACTTAATAGAACAAATTTATGATGTCTGCAAAGTTACCACTTACAATATTTTAGGGTAAACCTTAATGTAGATTTTTCAAAGTAGTTTATCTGTTTCTCCTACTGAACAATTATGGCATTAAGTACATTATTTTCATAATTTTGATAATTGACTGCACATGGCTTTCACAATTATAAGACCTGTGAATGGTAGTATATTTTGTCAGTAAGTGAACATGTCAGAAGTACACGCTAATGGGAGGAAGTCCGACGTTTGTAGGAATGAATTAAGTATACGGAACAATATACAGAGTTCCAATTTATTTTCAAAAAAACGGTAGACTTATCTGTAGTGAATTGATTAGTAATATATTTAAATATACGCGGATGGGGTAAGTACACCAATGTGGTTTGGTGGTCGAAAGTACTGCGAAGAATATTGATATTAGTATATTAGTATTTTCCAGGATATTGCGACAAGGTGAATTTCGAGTTACATAGTCAGTTTCATATTCGTTAATACATTAATATACATGATTCATTTTGCTCTAAGTTTATTAGAAGTGGTGGTTGTCAGAAGGTTGGAAAATGAAAGGTTGCCAAAAGAGTTACGGGATTTATATATATATATATATATATATATATATATATTTAAACGTTTAAAAGTATATACAGATAACACAGAGAATCCTAATTTGGGGCCGATAATCGAGCGTTATTTGTTCCTAATTATTTATAATTATTTATTTAGTATTGTTTCATTTATCCAGTCTTTAAACAATACATCTACAGCAAATATTATAACGACTTCTATGTATGTTAAATTAAAAGCCAATAACGAAATGTCCTTAATAAAAGAGAACACAATAAACAATAAAACTCAGTTTCAACGTAACCATTTATTTAATCGACGTAATAAATTAAAACATCAGTACATTCTACAGTACGAAACAAAACTACAGCGTGCAACAAGTACGGCCGGCCACAGACTACACAACGTATAGATGCGGCGACGTCGCCAAAATCTATCCGCAGTATCATAACGAGTCTGTACCTACTCGAATATGAAATCATGGACATCGCAATACGCAATACACTTGCACAGCTTGCCGTGAACAAATAACCATAATAACGAATAATCGAACAGGACCGCAAAAATTTAATACTCAATACACATGGAAACATGTTTAAATGCACTAAAATACAAAGATACAGAGACGAACGTAAATCGTACATCTCGTAACATGGAATTTATAGTCTAGTCATTTGTTAATTCAAATAATTTACGATTATTTTCTATCTAGTCTTTCGTCTTTCAAACTATAACAACTGCTAACATTCTGCAGCGCACGCAATTTGAAAACACTCAAATCTTATGAAACAGAAACAATGTAACTACCAACAATTACTCAACAATCAAGTCCCAAAGCACTAACATTATTTAATCATCAACAATATTGTAGCCTATAAATTTATCTTTTTATTCGATGCCTTTTATCATTAAAGCAGCTTTTACTTTCGAAATCATACCAAACTTTCATTTAAAAAAAAAATATTTTACCTTCAACCAACACAATATCCTTATTATAACTTCGTAAACAATTCAAGTAATTGAAATAATGAAACATAAAATTTACAAACAGAATACCAATGAAATTTAAAACTATATTTTTTTAACATTTATTTTTAAAACTATAGTTCAATTATTTGAAGACGATGCGATGGATGTAACAGAAACATTTGAGTGTTTAGATTGATAGAGATGGACATAACTATTACATTCTTTGTCTTTCATGTGCATACATATTTCTAGTACGTGTTGTGTTGATAGTAATTATTACGAGAAAAAAAAAACGCGTGATTCAACCGTAAAAGTTTTTCATTAATTTAATTTTACTATACCTCGTCCATTGCGGCGTGACTGACTGTTTGTTTAGGGTATAATTGAAAAACATAAAAAAAAAATATGTGTGTATTTTGACGTATATTATAACTTCAAATAGCTGAGAGAAAAGTTCCACATATTGACTGTAATTAATTTAAAAAAATATTATCAGGCCCGTTGTCGGTGGTAACTGAATACTAAAATGACTTCGAATTTAATGTTATATTTCTATTCTATAGGATATAGACTCTGTGTTGTTTTTATATATTATATGACTTACTAGAAACAGTGTAGGTATACGAGGTAACACAAAAACTATGCGCGCGCATTGCCGTCCGAAAGGTACCATATGTACTAATAAAATAAAGCCGTAGTTGAAAAAAATACTCGGTATATATTAGGAGAAAGAAAAAATAAAACCATACATAAATTTCTTAGAAAGAAATGGGAGTGCATTAATTATTTTACTATAAAGCTAGTACTCCCATGTAAATGTATTGCTCTACCATTTTAATTTGTGAATTTTAAACAATAATGACATCTTTATTTATAATGAAACAAAAAATATTTTCAGGGCTTCAAGAGAAATCACATAATGTTCTCCTGTTATGGTCGATATTTAAGGTATTTTGCATAAAATGGATTTGCCCATGCATGAGATTTATATACATATATTGTAAAGTAGTAGTACTGGCATGAAAGCACAGCCCGCAATGTAATATCGAATGCGCGAGGTTAGTGAACTCACACGACAAGGGTTCATCAACCTAAAAGGCTTATTACACTTGGCTAAATTTAGTCGACTGAATTCAGAAGCAAATTTAGAAGCAAGTTAGAAGTTTCTGATTACACTGTTCTTAATTCAGTTACTGAATCAATTGCCAGTTTAAACCCGACGACATTGGACGTGTTGTGTGTGTAAGAGGATAGCCCCAGTATTGCCTAGACAACAAAAATTTGGTCTTGGTGTAGCCCTCGCTGTCGGCTCAATTAAATAAAAATAATAAACGGAAGAATATGGGTGAAGAAATATTTATTGCTGCACGGGAAGTTAGCAAATATGAACATTATGAGTGATTTAGAACCCGCAGACTTCAGAAATTATCTAAGAATGGATTCGATATCGTTTGACCTAATATTAAACCTTGTGACACCGTTTATTCAAAAGCAGGATACTATCCTACGAGATAGTATAAGTCCAAAAGAAAGACTGGTTCTAACATTAAGATTTCTTGTAACAGGAAATTCGTATGAAGATTTAAAAATTAGTTCTTTAATATCACAAACCCTGCTGACAAAAAATATCACTGAAACATGTTGAGCTATTTATAAATGTCTGGCACATTAAATGAAGGTAACTGAAATAAATACTTTTTATTCGGAAGTAAAAAACAAGCTAAAACGTCCTTACGCACGGAGAGCTATGGGACGACTGAAATCATTAAGTAACTAAATGCGATTACACCTTCCTAAATGCATTTCTAATTAGGCTTCTTAATGATTTAGTCAGTCAGAAACCATCCTTGCTACTGAATTTACTATGCTAGCTTACTGAATGCTATTACACTTCACTGAATTCAGTAGACTAAATTTAGCCAAATGCAATAAGCCAAAAACATCAATCTTATGCATTGTCTAGACGGTTAAGTAATGTGAATTTATCCCTTCCTACATAAATTTAGGTACCCACAATACCTTTGGACAGCAGTGTATGTCATCAGCTGTGAACTTGGTTAAGTTATAAACTTCAGTTACTATCAGTTGTCCTCTTCTTCATTCTCAAACATTTCATTGTAATCTCGCGAGTGCTCAAAGTCTTTCAGCTCCTAAACAGAATATGGATTGTTAAATTATTCTTCATTATGTAAAACAGTATAATTGGTGCAAGGACATTTGTGAGTCCACACGGGTAGGTACGACCACATTGCTCATTTCTGCTGTAAAGCAGTAATGCGTTTCGGTCTGAAGGGTGGGGCAAGCGTTGTACTATAAAAACTAAGACCTTAGAGCTCATGTCTCAAGATTGGTAGCGGCATTTACGTTGTGGATATCTATAAGCTCCGATAACCGCTTAACATCAGGTGTGCCGTGAGCTCGTCCACCTATCTAATCAATAAAAAAATACTTTCAATAAAAAAAAGTTTAGTACCTAATAAAATTAATTTATTTTTATTTCAACATTTATTCAAGACCTTATATTTACTAAGCTACGATATCCTGCACAGCGGCATGTTTAACCTTGCACCTTGGTAGCGACGCAAAAAGGGGCATAGTACACTTAGTTCTAATAATATTTTTCCCATTTTTTTTGTATGTAAGTGTATAAGCAAGCTTCTATCCTTTAGTTTGTATGTGCTGTAGTTGGTAAATCAGGGTACTTATTCTAAAGTGTACAATTGGTAATGGGAATGCTAATAGTTACAAATTAAATAATCATTATTAACATAAAAATTACATACTTGAAACATTCCGTTAGCCACTGCATACCCCGTCATAGCAATAGCAGCAAACAGGGCTGCTAAGATTTTATTTCGAGTCTGATTGGGAAAGTTTGCGGCTTCTCTATCAGACTGCGAGCCTGTGGACTGTTTCTTTGCATTCTGTTTATTATATTCTGTAATTTGTATACTAATTATTGAGTTTGAAAGAAACAACATAGAAACAGAAAATTTTATTAAAAAAATACAAAAATTTTATTATTGCAAGGCACTGCTATTTTTGATAATGCAAATGATGTCTGTTTTTTCTCACAATCTTCTGCTTCTCTTCACATTCTCACAATTAGTATATAATAAAACCCCTACTATGTTTTATTATTTAATTAATTGAATTGTGAGCTTAAACACATGTGTTGAGTAACACATACTAATAATATATAGATATATTGTAACGATAGATATATTGTCCACCTTATGGTATAAGATTTGAGTCTCAATTGCGTTGTCTCATTTATAAGTTCCACATATAAATAAATATTGTTGTTAACATAATGCCAAATAATGAGAAAGAAAACTTTCTAACAGCTTTTATTAAACNTGAATTGTGAGCTTAAACACATGTGTTGAGTAACACATACTAATAATATATAGATATATTGTAACGATAGATATATTGTCCACCTTATGGTATAAGATTTGAGTCTCAATTGCGTTGTCTCATTTATAAGTTCCACATATAAATAAATATTGTTGTTAACATAATGCCAAATAATGAGAAAGAAAACTTTCTAACAGCTTTTATTAAACCTATTTTCTTGTTCAAAATCCTCTTTATTCATAAATGTTGAGTAGACATATCCACAATTAGTGTGGTTCAGCCTAGAAAAGCACTACCTCATTGCTTACCCCAGGTGTCATAAGAAAAGTCACTTCTTCAGTAGATGTTCAATAGAGATTGTACAGCAGCATTGACTGAGTGTTCGATGTGATATACATATTTTTAATAACCTTTATTTAATTTACATTACTTACCATCTGTGACGTGTCTAAAATTTTTCTGATTGATCCTGGCCACAAATCTTGCCAAATTTGCAGTGCCTTTGACATGGTTTGACAGAGTCCCATTAGGAAATGGTGCTTTCACTAAAGGAGCTAAGTAAGCAAACACAATAGCGTCAAACGATGAAGGACGGTTTCCAAAGAAGTATTCACTCTCACCTAATCTATCTGATAATGTTTTTAGGCACTTCTCAGCTTCACTGTATATCTGGAAAGTGTTTTATGCAGCTTGATTTGATTTGACAGCAGCAGCATTTTGGATAACCAATATTATTTTTAATTAACAATACTCAAGATAAATTGATCAGGAAAATATGACAATCTCCAAGGATCAAAGCAAGGGTATTTATTTCAACATAACCTATATACAAATAATTTACCTTTTAGCATGATTGATTATTCTGACTAACAGTAACAATAGTGACATGAATGTCATATTACATAAAGTTGATTTAATTTAATAGTCTACAAAAAATATATATTTACAAGCTCAACTTACAGTTTTCTCTATTTCTCTAAGATCAGTATGTTCTCCATACAATGCGTCTATCATTTCTTTGGCGGCATTCTGATACCGTGATGGATAAAAAAAATTAAATGGAATTCTCAAACATTTTGCAAATGTTGGCCTAGTTACATCATTGTAATTCTTTTCATCCACCCACCAAGCGTACTGGTAAGCTGGGTACAACTTGTCTCGGAGGTATTGTGTGAATGCACTCGCTTCCGCTGCCTCTTTGGAGTTTAAATGTACATCTGTGTTGTAATGCTGAACATAAAAAATATCAACTTTTTTTTCTTAACTTGGAGAAATCTAGTGGTAACGAGAGCTAAGGGAAACATTTTTAAGGGAAATGTATTAAATTTATAAATCAGTTTCGGTACGTACTAGAGATTTCAAATGTTCTACTACTTCTTCAAAATTTGTAAGAACGGTCCGTCCATCTCTCATGACAGGAAGTCGACCTTTGGGGGTGAAAAATGGGTTATTCGACTCTCTCACTTTAACAGGCACACCGATAAATTTCATGTAAGTCTGAAAATATGAACAATAATGAGATATTTTACCATTATTCAACGCCGGTTTGATTCATTTCAAGGTTATGTTATGAAACTTACTAATACTTTTAAACATTCTAAATCGATAGATGCTAGACCCCATTCTCCTCTCCAAATGTCTAATTCAATGTTAGCCATATTCGTTTTAAAAAAATTTGTACATTAATATTTTCTAACAATTCAAATCCTAAACAAAATACCTTTGACACTTCATTTGACATTGATTCGTCCATTGGACAGGCAAAGAAAACTTAGCTCATAGGGTGAAATCTTTTCTAACAAAGGTTAACGCCGTTTCTATTGTACTTATATAAGGGAGCCGGTAATGTAATTGATTGCATAAGAAATATAAAGCGGTTATTTAAGTCTGACAAAATAGCTCTCAGGTCATCTCATTATATTTATTTTATTTATTAAATTCAACGTCATCCCAATTGATTAATATTTACAATAAATAAAATTCATAAAATCCATTCATTTTTCATAGGACAAAATATAACAAAAATGTAAACACTATTCACAAGTTGATTTTTAAATTGTTAGTGCTATCGAATAATAAAATTTAATTATTTCCTAAGTCTCCCAAGTAGATCGTTAAAATAATCAGAAGATAAAATGTGGCGAATATTTAATCTAATTAACAATTATTTTTTTATCGTTGTGCCTTCAGCACTCAAATTATAATTTGGCAACATTTGTAATTCGGTAAAAATCATGGAGTTAATAAGTAGAATAGTAACTTTATGGTAAAAATGCTTTCACACGATTTGTTGAATCTAGATCATCAGAGTTCTATCACAAAGGCATAAATGACCTTCCTATTAAATGGCAGCAATGTATAGATAGCAATGGTACATATTTTGATCAAATAAATAGGTTAAATGAAAAAAAAAACAAATTTCAATTTTGCAGTACAAATTATAAGTTATATCTTATTACTTGACACTGGCTAATGCACAAACCGAGCGAGCCACAATAAAAAAAAATGTAGATGTAAGTACCGTAAAATGGGGCGATTAGGGACAAATTCCAACTTTATGAGCAATTTTAAGGTAGTTGTTGATGTATATAATGCTATATCAGGATCAAAATGATTGAGTCTTGGGGGCATCTTTGTTGTATAATTTAAAATTATGCAAGTAGCATTCCAGTTTAAACAAAAAATGCAAAAATAGGTGTAATCCCTATTTGCCTGAAAATTGCGGTTAATTGGGACGAAATGAGAAATTTGCTAGGGTTGGCACTACTTTTATTTTTATATATAGTTTTAATTAATTTATTTATTTAGTTGCACCAACAAAGTGATCATCAATAAAAAAAATTGAAAAACTGACAAAAGTACACGGCAGACATCACCTCAATTATAGGTGCAATATATATACATATATAGTGGGCTTTCTTAGAAACGGTTTATAATTCTCCGTTCTTGGTAAGTACTTAGGGGCTGATATTTCTATCTGGGTTAAGAGATTAGGTGTGTCGGTTATTCCATGGATTAATCAGATGAATACCCCCACTCTGAACAAATATTAAATATTTTATTATGTATTACTTAGACATTTTTGTCCACCTTGAGATTTTATTGATCTTGTTACATGTCTCTGCAAAATCGACTGACTTATATTAAATTGCTTATCTATTTCAACTAAAGACTTATTCCCAATTTCGCTTCGATAAACCAGATTTTTACCAACAAATTTAAACAATATTGTTATAACTACATAGACAACCCTACAAACCTGTACCTATTGATACTTAGGTCGTTTCCATTTCACGTATTCTCATCCCAATTGACCCCTTTTTCGTTGTTATTTGTACCTAAGACGTCCCCAATATCCCCAAAAACAACAGATTTTTACATGTATTTTTATTTAATCAAATACATTAAAACCAATAACAACTGAGACTTACCTTTAATATATATGCTGGTTCAAACACTAAATAACGTTTATAAATCANGCTCCCCTCCACGGTGTTTCCCGAGCGCTATGACATGTCCTTCTTCAAACGAGGCTTGTGGAGAGTATTAAGCGGTAGGCAGCAGCTTGGCTCTGCCCCTGGCATTGCTGAAGTCCATGGGCGACGGTAACCACTCACCATCAGGTGGGCCGTATGCTCGTCTGCCTACAAGGGCAATAAAAAAAAAAAAAAAAAAAAAACATAGTAAAATATTTAATATTTGTTCAGAGTGGGGGTATTCATCTGATTAATCCATGGAATAACCAACACACCTAATTTCTTAACCCAGATAAAAATATCAGCCCCTAAGTACTTACCAAGAACGAAAAAATATAAACCGTTTATAAGAAAGCTTACTCTCCTTTGGGACTACAATAATGTCCACGGTAGCATGGTCTCCGTCAATGTTCATTCGGAGTTGTCCGATTACGCTGAACTAATTTTAAGTGATGAAATAGATTTTTTTTAATTGTATCACAACTTACAGGACAAATCTGTCGCGGATCATTTCCCAAGTAAATATAAATTAATCATAAGTAAATAAATGTAATCAAGTTGATGATCACTTTGTTGGTGCAACTAAATAAATAAATAAATTAAAACCAAGTAGTGGCAGCCCTAGCAAATTTCTCATTTCGTCCCAATTAACCGCAATTTTCGGGTAAATAGGGATTACACCTATTTTTGCTTTTTTTGCTTAAACTGGAATGCTAGTTGCATAGTTTTAAATTGGACAACAAAGATGCCCCCAAGACTCAATCATTTCGATCCATAGACCTATTTCGATCCTGATATAGCATTATATACATCAACATCTACCTTAAAATTGGTCATAAAGTTGGAATTTGTCCCTAATCGCCCCATTTTACCGGTACTTGTAAGTTGTAAGGTTTTAGTTTCATACCTACTTCAGTGTTTTTTTTTATCACAATCTGTTTAGTAAGCGTAATTTACCGATTTGATTACTCTATTTACCCGCAACCATACACTTAATATTACTGCAACAGTGTTTGTTAATCGTTAATCATAGATAATATAATAATCATACTGCGGTGCTATTGTGGTCAGTTTAACTGAACAAATAATAATTTAAGAAATCTCCAAAAACTAATAACTAAATATGTCCATACAGTGGACCTTCATTGCTGGTTATCTATATTTCGAAATTGCTTTAGTGATGCTGATGATATTACCTATATTCAGTCCTAGAAGATGGAATCAATTTTTCAAATCACGTCTGTTTTCAATGTTTCGAGAAAACGTAGCTGTATATTTCTATGTGTTCATCGGTGTGTTGGCGTTGTTTTTGATTGATGCAGTGAGAGAGATACGGAAATATTCAAATGTTACGGACGTGAGCCACACTCATTTAGCTACCGAAATGAAAACTCACGTCAAGCTATTTCGAGCCCAAAGAAACTTCTATATTATAGGCTTTGCAATTTTCCTGACATTCGTAATACGTAGACTAATCACAATGTTGATTATACAAGACGAATTAAAACAGAAAGCCGAAAAAATAATAAAACAGGCAGAGGAGACAGTGAAACAGGCTAAAACAAGTATCCTAGCGAACACTTTACAATCAGAGGAATTACAACATTATGATGAATTAAATAGTAAATTAGAGGAAACTAAAATCCTATTAAAGTTGGAAAAGGATAGGGTGAAATTACTAGAGGATGATGTCAAAATGTGGCAGCAGAAATGTGAGGAAGCCATTGCCAGTAAACCCGGCAAAGGAGATGAATAATTACGAATCAGCCTTACTTCTTGAGACATTTAATAATTAATGAAAAATGTGGATAGCTACTAATTTTTTAATAATTATGTCAACATTCTTAGCTTACAGTTTCAAAAAGAACTGCATTATTATAACAATACAATAACCATATTATTATCTTTCGGCTTGTAAATAATTATTAAATTCTGTCTAAATGATCCTGTTAAATGACACACAGCATATACCAGAAACTTTTCTTAGTTTTTTAAGCTTGACTAACCTAATAATTCAAAATGGTGAGTATATTATAGTCACAATGTGCATAACTTGTAAGATTCAATATTGCAACCAAACATGGTAGATGGTAAGATTCTTTTTTTTTTTATTAGTGAGGGATGGTCTTGCATGCTTCTTTAATTAAAATGTGATCATGATGCTCAAATGAAGCCTAATGAAAAAAGTTTTTACATTAATTCAAGGTAACTCCTTTAAAAGTTACAGTTATAAATTTAAGTTTTTTTTGGTGTGGATATTGGTTAACCATTCGTGGACTCTGATCTCTAATTTATCAATTTAATCTCATTATTAATTTTCAAGTAAAAAAATCATCTAACATTATTTTATCCTTAAGGATTTCTTTGTGCTAGTCTACAATATGAGATTAATGGCCATGAATTCAGATTTTTTTATGTTTAAAATTAATTGATTATAATTAAATGTAGAAAATGCTAGTTCTATATTTAAATTCTGTTTATTATAATGATAATTGTGTTTTTATAATGGTTTTGAAATAAAATCTTATCAAATGGTAGTGAATTGTATTATTAATACGCTTTTATTAGCTTCAGTATGTTAGTATGTAACGGAATCTTTGAACATAATTTTGACCCCCTTCATAATGTCGGATTAACTCGAAATTTGGTACTTATTAAGGTCCGATGACAATTTTTTACAATAAAATCATTTTTTCTTACACTATTTTTAATTTAAATTTATTAAAATTTATTTTCTATTTTTTAGTTGGATTTTCTATAAAAGCGTATTATGTTAGTTTTTTTAAACTATTACTTATTTTTATATTTTTTCCTGTTTCTGTCTGTATCCGAAATAATGACTTTTATTAGTAGATAAATTGTTGAAGTTTATCTCAAATAATGAAAGAAGTCATTGAAGTTGAAGTTGAAGTCGTCATGCCATAAAGCAGTGATTAACTTTCTTTTACCGCCCCCATTGAAAATCAATTATTTTTCAGCGCCCCCCATTTTTTATACACCCCTAAAACTTAAAAACCATAATTTCATTACTTTAATTAATTTAGTTATATTAATAGGTTCTGACGTATAAACTTACATTCTAAACTAAAAATTTTCCAATGAGAGCAAATAAAACCCAACTTTATAATATTAATAATATATTTTAATCAAATTAAAAGAAACTATAAATATGTGATCAGTTTTCGTTTTTATACTAATCTAACGAGATGGATCAATTTGATGATATTTAATAAGTTTGTTGATATCAGGTTCGATTTTACTCAAAAACAGTCGTAATTCGTCGCATTTGTAAATGATTTCTCTTTTTAGTAAGCAGCGTTGTCATAGCGCTAAATCCACATTCACACAAATATTATGACGATGGGAATGCTATCAAAAATAGTTTAACGATAGACCACAATCCAGGATACAACTGCAGAGTTGACTTTTGTAGCCAAAATTTTTGGTAGCCATTTTTGATTTGATTTTTATTTCCTCGTTCGTTGTTAGTTCTGTAAGTTCTTCTTCCAACTGGGGTGATATTGCTATGTTGACATTTGAAAAAGGATCTAACACCCAGTCTGGTATTTCCCATTTCAATGTCTTGGAATCTTTTAATGAAATCACTGTGAAGATTTTCCAAATGTTGGCACTAGACGAGCAAGTCGTCGTTGTTGCAGTATACTGATAAATTGGGAAAAATATGGAACTCACGTCTGCCGATATTCTTTTTGTGTAAGAGCAGCTTGGCTACGAAAGCAGCGACGACATTTTTTGTTTTTATTAAGTTCAAATCATCGCCTTGAAGTTGGAGATTCATATCATTAAGCAATGTATAAAAGTCTGTCAGGTATGCGATATCATTCTTTGATGTTATGAGGTTTTCGTGCAATTCGGTGTCTCTTTGTTTTCCAAGAGCTCTATGACAGAGTCAAACATATTGTAAAAACGAGTCAGACAATTTCCTTTTAATAGCCAACGCACTTCTGTGTGAAAGATCAATCTGTTGAAATCTTCGTCATTATTAACACAAAGCTGATTATATAAAGAGTTGTTTCGTATTTTATTGACTGCTCTGATGATATGTTGCAATGATTGAAATAGTCGTTCACTTATATTTCTGGCAACTAAATGCTGTCGATGCATACATTGTATGTATGTACACAATGTACAGCAAGCACATCATGAATTTTGTTTTTGAAGTACGATATGAAGCCTATTTGATACTCCGTCATAGCTGGAGCACCATCTGTAGCAGCTGATATAATATTCTTCAACGGAATTCCTTTTTCCACAGTGAAGGAATAACATATTGTAATAAGAAACAAATCCGCAAAATTATAATTTGCGTAATTACATACTGGCGGTAGGACCTTTTGTGAGCCGCACTGGTAGGTACCACAACCCTGTCTATACTGCCATGAAGGAGTACTGCGTTTCGGTTTGAAGGGTGGAGCAACCGTCTGTAGGTAACCGTATTAACATTTTAATGGGTAGGTTGCATATTCTATTAATCCACTTAAGTAGGTAACGACTACCTACGTATTACGGCCGTTTTCAATAACCTCTAGTTTCGGTTACTAAAGATAGACAAATCTATATTTTTGTCCTTACTTACGTTCCAATAACCTATCGACGGGCAGCAGTTCCTATAGGATTTATCTATCCATCGTCGGGAGGACGGATAGCCTGCTAAAGATAGAACGCTCATACAAATCGTGCTTACTTCCGTTTCAATATGAGTTTTAAGTAACTCTCCGGTAGGCGGCGCTATCTCTAGTATGGGCATTCGCTTATCTGTCAAAATCGGCCGGTTACATGTTTATCTTTCGAAAGTAAATCGCTATAATTTAATAATTGTTNTACATATGTTTTTATTACTTTTTGTTATAAACAAATGTGTTTATGATAGTCTACAATATGCTGGTTAAATTATAGTTATAATTTAGAATAAAATAAAATAAGTCTTGATCCTGATGTTGTTTCGTATCTGTAGTAGAACGAAACGTATCAAGAGGCTCGGATAAATCGGAGGGAAGAAGCTATCTACTGTTGGTTAAAGCGAGATAGCACTTATCCGTGATTGTGAAACGCAAACTAAGGGTAGATACGCTCTTGCTGATATTCGGAGATAGCTATCTATCCGAAAACTCAGATACGTTATTGAAAACGGCCGTTAATGTTCATGGGTGATTTTTTTAAGGGATATTATGACCTGGTAACTAAGACCTTTAGGTCATGTCTTATTTTAATTTATATTCTTATTTTTATGAAAAATGGTAATATGGAGTAAAATGAAATGAATATGATTAATTTGAGACATTAATCAACGGGGGTGAAATTAAATGAAATGAGATGAGATGATATGAAATGGGATGATATATAATCTCAGTAAAATGGTGATCATTTATTTACTGAGATTTTTTCAGTGGACTTTTTGGAGGATCCCGAGAAGTTACGTTCAGCAGCCTTGTTTCATTTTCCCACATTTGTGCACTTTCACAGATATTAAACAGTTAATAAACTACCGTTATTACACATTTAAGCCTGAAGAAACACTATTTTACTACTTAGGTACCCTTATTTTTTTAAATATTACATGTTTGTATTATACTGTTAGTTTTCAGATATAAATAAATAGAAAACTTAAATTGCACTTCCCAAAGAATAATTCTAATAAATTTAATGGCTTAGATGCAGGACCAAATCTTCATTATATGTCTGTATTTTCGTTTAATTTTGTATTCATTATATACAGAGCTATTACGCCACGCGATAATAACACTCGGTGCAAATCATCATTACCTTAGATCAATATATTTTGAGACTGATTTCTTTCGTTCGATAGAGGTTCAGAGTGTTTGATATCAACTCCAATTGTTTCCGGCGCGGACTTATTTGTAGTAAACCGCACAAGCATGCGGTTTATATCTTCGTAATCATTACATGTTCAACAGCAAGACGCCATTGTATATCCTATAGTTATAGGCATAGAAGAAAGATGAGAAATTACGTCCAGCAGCTTTGTTTCATTTTCCCACATTTGTGCACTTTCAAAGATATTCAACAGTAATAAACTACTGTTATTACACATTTCAATCTCAAGAAACACTAAATAGACAAAATAAAACAAATCACACAACTTCATTCCTCGCGTACCCGCCAAAAAGTATGTGATTTATAATCAAAGATTGCAACATAGATGATCACTTGATATTTAAATGTTACACTCAGACATTTAACAGAGAATTCAATTATCAAATACACTAAACATAAGCAGAAACCTGGTGGCTAGAATCATAGAGCATCATTTATTACTCACAAGTGGAAATTTGTGCTTTTTTAAATCACAAACACAATACTTGTGCAAAAACGAGAAAATCCGCATTGCTCTCTTAGGATTAAAGGGCTCCCAACAATTTATTTCGAAGCCAATTTGAACTGGCCTTTACCTTCTTTGACAGTTGACAGCTGACAGCAGAAGACACCAGTGTTTATTTACTTACCTACATTTATTTTTATTCAAAGAAAAATACATGTTTTCTGATCGATTAATACTGAATCCAAATTTCGAGATTTGTGATTCTTTTTGTAATGTAAAAAAAATTTGGAATATTAAATTCCAAAACATATGAGCAGCACAGTTGAGTTATGCTATCCATTTGAATAATATTGTTATTGTTGCGAGCAGTGACCCCCCGACAGGGTACCGTTAGTATTTCCTATATGAATGTGGGAATCTTCAACAGAGTTAATCATAAAGTGAGTTTAATTCGTATTTTGTTGAGCCTAGTGTAAATCTTATTGATTGATGAAAACGTGAAATTTTAACATGGTAAATTAATGGAATATTGTTATTCGAATTCTATTATGGTGTCAAATCGTTAATCTATATCATGCATATTTTATGACACATATAATAATATTTAGTAACAGTGAAATTTGATATTGATAAGCTAATGTAATTATTGCAGTGATTTCAAAACTTATCATTCAAAAAATGTAACACAACTTAAATTATTAATATTGAATATATTAAAATTTGGTTGTTTATAAAATAGCATAATATGTAAGGTGTTTTAATGATTACTTTCAGTTTGTCTATTTCAATGTCCTCTGGTTTATTTTCAGTTTGTGATATTTTGTTCAGAGGTATAAGATGTTATTTGGGCTCCGAAATGTCTATTTTTATATTGGTTTTGTCCTTTCTTTGTAGCACTAAGTGTTTGACACTTTGTTTGAGCACTATTGATCTCCAGCTTATTAGCTCTGTTATTAATTTTTGTAAATTTGTTATGCAGTTCTCAGAGCAGTTGTTGTCAGTGGAAAATTCTGTATTCTTTTTACAAAATTCGAAAACAAGACTCACTACTAGAACGGCTAGAGTCTGCATGAGAAAAATAATTAAATTATTTGAATGTTAAGTTAATATTTAAATCGTTACATAATATTTTATTAAATGTGTTAATAAAACTTGAGCCAACCTATCAATCTTTAACTTCTAGTGTTATTTGAAATATTGTATATGTGGGCCTTGGTTTTAGTATCATTACAAGGTAGAATCAAGCGGGAACAAAAGGAGCAGTTGCACATCTTTAACTTTAAACTTTAATTTTTATTTGTTTATGTTAATAATATTTATGTTAGAGTGGTTTATGGTTTTCTGCCATAGTTTTTCCATTCTATGACGGAGCAACCTTTACACAGTTCAGAAAAAAAAAAAAACTTTTAATCCATTTCATGAAAAGGATCTTAATTTATTATTATTATAATTAATGGCTTTAATTGCATCAAAAGAGAGAGCTCTTTTTTATATCATAGTATAACATACAAGAGTTCAATATTGATTCCATATGAATACTAATGATGCTAAATGTGGCCAGAGCATTTTTTTTTATTGCTTAGATGGGTGGACGAGCTCACAGCCCACCTGGTGTTAAGTGGTTACTGGAGCCCATAAACATCCACAACATAAATGCGCCACCCACCTTGAAATATAAGTTCTAAGGTCTCAAGTATAGTTACAACGGCTGCCCCACCCTTCAAACCGAAATGCATTACTGCTTCACAGCAGAAATAGATAGGATGATGGTACCCACCCGCGCGGACTCACAAGAGGTCCTACCACCAGTAAACTCACAAGAGGTCCTACCACCGGTAATTCCCTCTAAATCACCATAAAAAACAACCAGCACTTATATAATTTTTTAGAAATTTTCTAGCCAATTTGAATTATTCCTAGAATACTAACTGGGAGAAGAATTTATTAGCAAAATAGCAAAACATTACTATTTCAGTGGAAATCACTAAACGCATTAATGAGATATGGTAAAATGAATTGAATTTTCAGGATAAAGATAGTGACGGGATGTATGCAGAATGGAGCTCAATACCACTTGAGGGTGGGGGACAAGGGGTACTGGGAGCAGTTGGAGGCCGAGACGTTGTACTGGCAGTTGTGAAACAATTGAGCTCCCCTGATCCTAGTCCTTTAACTACTGATGCTGAGGTATTTATCATATTTCAGCATGGTTCAGTTTAAAATAGACGTTATTTCGGATTCTCCCTATCCACTAACAGTGCTTTTAGGTACCTCAAGCACCGGTTATCGTTCTCATGAAACCCGTGGCTTGCGACGAAGGGCTCGGCGAGTAAATTAACCCACAGACAGCCCACTGAGTTTCTCGCCGGATCTTCTCAGTGGGTCGCGTTTCCGATCCAGTGGTAGATTCTGCGAAGCACTGCTTTTGCTAGGGTTAGTGTTAGCAACGACGTCAGGTTTGAGCCCCGTGAGCTCACCTACTAGTTCGGTGAATCTAGAATAACCCCTCAAGGTTACTAGAATAGGTATGAAAAAAAAAATTTATAGTATATTGTTATTCACTCTCTAGTAAAACAGGAAAAATAGCTATGTAATAAAAGCCTAATGTTTATTTTTGAGCAGATTTTTTAAACATATGTTATGTGTATTTTACGTAAGAAACAAATCTGAAACATAAAATAAAAATTGAACATCTTTAAAGGTGGAGTGGGTTCTAGAAGTGATCAGATATGGTTTGTCACTGCCACTGAGCGAGCACAGTGCTGTACGGGATTGCGTGCGTGTCGCGTGTGCGTGGTTGACCCCACTACTGGCTCCCACTCCCGCCGCGCAACCCACCCCCCCAGCTCTTCCTCCACCCGTAGTCGCCGAGCCTCACAGATACGCAAGGAAGATACTGCGCCACCTACAAAACTTGTTTGTTCCAAGACCAGACGAAAGTAAGTTTACCAAGCTATCTACCTTCTTAGTATTGATATGTATACACAAATCACTGGTTGGTTTTCTGAGAATAGAACTATCACTGAACTGGCATAACAGAGTTAAGAAGTAAATATCAAAATTGCAAATATTGCAATTTGCATAATGACCAGTGGTGGAGCTTATTCTGAAGCCTTCGTCAAACAGAACGCGTACTTAGCGCCGCGTACCTACTTAACGTCGCGCTCTTTTCATGTCACCCCATTTGACTAGATGAGTCTAACGCTCCTTGACGCAACGCATTCGCCAAATCATAGTGCCTTTCGATAGCAGTGTGAAAATTTAAAAGTATTAAGAAATCGAGTGATTCAGATGTGGCATTGTATATGCATGGGTATTTTCTAACTATTTATATAATTTTTTCGGGCATTATCTAGTATTTTAATACAGATTCACACGGACGCTAAAATAAAATTTGTAAAAAATTACAACGCCTGACGTCAAAGCGTCCTAACGCCGCGCTGCGTACTTATAGCGCTGGGGCTCTGTTTGACGGTATGTTAATATATTAGTACAAAACCTCGGCGTCATAGCGCGGCGTCATTTTAGCGCTCTGACGCGCGCTAATTACGCGTTCTGTTTGACGAAGGCTTTAGTGCGGAGGGGTAGGTAGGCACTATTTATTATCAGCCTATTTCTGCTGCAAAGCAGTTTTGCCTTTCTACTGTTGAAGCATTTATGTCTCAAGGTGGATGGTGGCATTCACATTGTGATGCTTATAGGCCCTGGTAACCGCTTAAAACCAGGCGGGCTATGAACTCGTTCACCCATTTATGCAAGAAATTAAAAATATGATTTTTCTGCTTGTTCCTAACTTCAGAGTTCATAAGTCTTGAAATTGACAAGTATGTGAAGAAAGACATCAACATTATATTGTCATTTTATAAAGTATGATTATAACAAGTTGGTTTTTTTTTGTGAATTTTCAAGCTCTCGCTTTCATTTATCAATGGGAATTGGGTAAGTTAATAGTGATCGCCGAATTAGTCAATAGCGATAGTTAAACAATTGTATATAATATAAGACAAGACAAGACAAGACAAGACAATGATATGGTCATATCAGAAATAGCTAAATCGCCACTAAAATACGTTGTTATTTGCTTGCTTATTACTTAGTTTGAGATTATTGAGTGTCAGAACTAGCACTGTATGATATTGTACCGTAAAAAAAAAAAAATACGTGTAAATCATTTCCTGGGTTCAAGACATCCCATATCAAGATAAATATCAAATCGTCGTCCTTGGTTTGCAACGCCTGAAGTGCAGATAAACGTTACAACAGTTCGCTCGCACACGCACACTAACAGTTGCCATACATAAAAATTCAGCAATATATATGTCAACACAGAGTTATGGTACCCTTTTTATTTATTGCTTAGATGGGTGGACGAGCTCACAGCCCAGCTGGTGTTAAGTGGTTACTGGAACCCATAGACATCTACAACGGAAATGCCGCCACCCACCTTGAAATATGAGTTCTAAGGTCTCATTATAGTTACAACGGCTGCCCCACCCTTCAAACCGAAACGCATTACTGCTTCACGGCAGAAATAGGCAGGGTGATGGTACCTACCCGTGCGAACTCACAAGAGGTCCTACCACCAGTACCCACGAGGGCTCAGTACTAGCAGTACATTTAAATTTAAGGTGGCGACTTGATCAGCAAACAAGCAGTTCTGTGTCACCGCGTGCTCCGACTGGCGCGTGCCCTGGCGGACGGGGGCTCGCTGGGCGGCGCGGAGTGGAAGGCGTTGTTATTGCTGCTGCTGGCCGCCGCTGCAGCCCTACTGGCGCCGCCGGTGCCTCCTCCGCCCCCGTTCCACGCCGCAGCGATCTTTCAGCTCTGCGACCGCGTGCTCTCCGTTCTATTTGAAGTTAGTTCATAAATTTTTAAATAAGAAAGTATTTTTTAGAAGCGTCTTCGTTAAAATTTTAGTGGTAATAATCAAGCCCAGGATAATGTTGAGTAGATTGGTCTAGAGTACAAGAATCGAAAATATGAGAGATATCCAGTTTAGATCTATTAACTTCAAGATATTGACTTTTTATAATTTTTTTATTGCTTAGATGGGTGGATGAGCTTACAGCCCACCTAGTGCTAAGTGGTTATTGGAGTCCATAGACATTCACAACATAAATGCGGCATCCATCTTGAGATATAAGTTCTAAGGTCTCAAGTATAGTTACAACGGCTGCCCCACTAGTAGTGCTACTTACCCGCGCGGACTCACAAAAGGTCTTACCACCAGTAATTACGTAAATAATAATTTTGCGGGTTTAATTTTTATTACACGATGTTATTCCTTCACCGTGGAAGTCAATCGTGAACATTTGTTGAGTACGTATTTCATTAGTAAAATTGGTACCCGCCTGCGGGATTCGAACACTGGTGCATCGCTCAACACGGATGTACCGGACGTCTTATCCGTTAGGCCACGATGACTTTAATATAGCGATATATTTTATTTGCGTGTTCTAAATGATTTTCATTAACTTTCGTTTATTTTTCGTATGTGATAGGTATACCTTGTTTACCTCTACTATCTAAATCACATTGCCAGGTTTGGTTGGTGGCGTGTCACCGAAGTTTCCCGGGCCCCGCGCTGTGGCGTACATTGCGCGAGCAGTGCCTGCGTTGGCGGCACCGCGACCTGCTCACCAAGCATTGGACGCGCGCCTCGCTGTGCCTCACCGCGAGACTACTGAACAATCTGTACGGTCCGCACTTCCCAGCCGTGCCCATCAGTACGTACACATCTATAAATAATAATATTAAGCATTTTATTATAGCTTAGATGGGTGGATGAGCTCACAGCCCACCTGGTGTTAAGTGGTTACTGGAGCCCGTAGACATTTACAACGTAGATGCGCCACCCACCTTGAGATACAAGTTCTAAAGCGGCTACCCCACTCTTCAAACCGAAACGCATTACTGCTCCACGGCAGAAATAGGCGGGGCGGTGGTACCTACCCGCGCGGACTCACAAGTGGTCCTACCACCAGTAGGACCACGGGTCGTGGCGTGCAATCTCTCTGACAGGACATGCGACCTACAACATAGACATAGATTAAGACAGAGACTTGACAGGTGTGATTGAAAAATAAATAAAAGAAAAGGAACGAAGACGACTGTTTGGAGTTTTCATGTCAAGTTGGGGTCACCAGTTTGGTGGTTTTACGACAAAGGGAATATCTTCCACCGAGTGGGTGATATGGTTCGGAATGATAATGTTGATGTTAGGAACTTGTATATATGCAAGCTCATATTCAAAATATCGTAAGCGAGATTCAGGCATCTGTCAAATATCTTGTGTGCTGTGATGGCTACACGCCACAGATTGTGCACGGGCGGTGGTTATTTTTTCGATGCCTTCTTAAAAGTCCTACAAGAAATAGATAACAAAGAACGAACCGACCGTTCACCACGAGTGTCTGGTTGATAACATAGATACTAACCACGGGTACAATTTTTTTTTCAATAAAGTGACCTTAATTTTTAAGAGTAAATTTCAGGCAATATTTTACTCGTTATCTTACTAAGTTATAACTTCACTAAACAGCAATTTTCGGAAATTCCATTCCTAAAACAATGATAAAGAAAACTTTAGATTTAATTGTATACTGGTAAAGAGGTGACCATAAAGTACGCTTATCGTTTAGATATTTATGGAACTCATAGATATCAAAATGTGATTCAGGATCTTGAGATGTAACGAAGGTTCAATAGCACAGAGAAAATGGTGAAACCTACATTTAAAATCTGAACACACCATATCGTTTGATTGCTTTCTCGACAGTAATGATGAAGCAATCGTGTGGCCACACCACATACGATACCAATTACTAATTCAGCTGTGACAATCATTTTTGAAGTTTTTTTTTTCCTTAAACTTTTTTTATTTTTTTTAAACGCCTTCAAAATTATTTATTTATTATAATAAAAAGAACATAATATTCCTAAATAACCTAAAAGTACAAGTAACCCAAAAGTTTTGAAGTTATCTGAAATTATTTAAACAGTCCGTATACTTCTAGCTACATAATACTAGGTACTGTCACTTTTCGGTTATCTCTTAGGATATAAAAATATATGCATTTTGTATTGAATATTGAAAGCCTTGAAATATAAATAGATAAATTATTTTTTACGTACCTAATTACGGTCGTACGTACCTATTTTTTACGGTCTTAAGACCATGTTCATTCTTTGCAGGCGAAGAAGACGCGAACCTGGTCCCCGCGGACATGAGTCCAGAAGCGGTAATGCAAAGCTGGTATCGGATCTTGCACACGATTGGCAACCCTGTAGACTTGTGTCGACCGCGCGTCATCAGTCAAACTCCAGAATTTTTGCAGGTGAATAAAAATATTTCTATAGTGTGTGCTTTTTTGGGTTCGTGTAGCCTACTTTGTCGTATATCTAATTTTTACTATATTATGATATATCAAGCTGTTGTTATACGTCTCAATGTTAGAACGTGGATCGTGTCAGTCGAAGGATGTCCGTAAACGGATAATTACTTCAAGTCAGTAACAGACCCTTGCGAGGGTACAACACATAATTCATATTATTAATAACATAACTCATATTATTACAACAATATGAGAGATATTTAGTTCTATCACTCGTTTGACAGTACTCAATAACTCAAGAAGAAGGTGGTCGAGAGCCTAGTCAGCATCCGTGCTTGGAAGTCCTCCCTCACATCTTTCATCAAGCAATGAAGGGTGTGGCAGCACATGTCGATGCCTTTCTAGGTGAGAACGATTACAGATCCCTTTGCATGCTTTGACACAATAGAATTAAAGAGCAACGGCCTAAGTTCATACAGCCAGTTGTATGAAGTAATACTAACAATATCTCTTAATTGACTTTGCTGTTGAATTGTCATATTATATTTCTTTTCTTTTTGTTTGGACTAACATGAAGTATGATAGATTCAGTATTAAGATAGATTGTTAATTTTGAGATCTTGTCCCTTAAGCACTAAGAGGAGCGGCGGAGTTTGTGTTTTTTATTTGAATGGGCTCACTAGGGTAAAACACTTTTGCCCATCTACACCATTTCTTAATCAAAATGTATAGTATTGTTATGTTTTTATTGTTATATAGTTGCTCTTTTAAATTATAAATAATTTAAGTACTGGTGATGGATACTCGAATATTTTAAGTGAAATTAGTCCTAAATATGTATATATGTAATTATGTATAACCAATCTCACAGCTTAGGGACACACGTTGCTATGCTATCATGCACTTACCTTCCTAATGTACAAGATACGAGCTCACACAAAGGCTGACTTACATGACTGGAATCTGGTTAGTGCAAAAAGCGATTTAATTAATCCACTAGGTCAGGAACGAGCTCGTCCATTAGTAAGTGCAAAAAGAAATAAAAAAATAGTGTACACTCAATATTGATCTGTTGAAATCTTATCATCTACTGTTAAATAACTTTTTTCGGATTTCGTTTGGTGTTTTTTATCTTTTCGCTAGCTGTGTTCGCTCTGTTTAAAAACAGATATTACAATTTGATCTAGTATTTATTTTGTTTCCTATATACTTGAAGAATTCTTCATCTTCAATATACTATATAGTAAATACCCACTGTGAAAAATAACGGGAGACTAAGCCATCTGTTTTTAATCGTGTCTTTGTCATACAGTTTATTTCTTAAACTTAAAAAACGGTGCGCGTGTAACTTGGTGCACGTGAATGAAGTGAAACTTCTTTTTCGATGTGTAGTATTGTGGTTTTCTTCATTTTTCATCCTTAAATCAGATTGCTTTTGTAATAGGGAATGCTGTGTATAAGAGATGCAACATTTTCAACATTTATGTTATATATTTTTTAAATGATAGATAGAAAAGTAAATATGTATACTTTTTTAAATACTTCATTAAAATATTGGACGCTACTCGATGCTAACGCTCGCGCTGGCCTGTAACAGTATACTAGGCGCGTGCGTTCGAGTGCCGTGCATTCACTCTCGCTCTGTCTCTTTCTATTCCCCCTCCCAATTAGCGTTAAACGTTTAACGCAACCTTGTTGGAAGTCGCATTAGAAGTTTCACTTCAAATATCCAATATATTTAAGACTAAGGAATATTGTAATTGGATCACGAGCGCTTCGTTCTAAACTATCTTTTAACTGTGGGGCTCGGTCACGTACCTATTAGTCGGTTGGCTGTTGCTGTAAGGGTGGACTGTAGTGTGGTTGTGTGGGTGTGCGGGCGCAGGGCGGGGCCGCGAAGAGCGCTGGGTGTCGGGGGGCGCGGGCGGGGCGGGCGCGGGGGAGGAGCCGCCCGACGACTTCACGCCGCCCGCCCACCGCCGGCTCGCCAAGTCGTTCAGCGTCTCCGCGCCCAAACCCAAGGACAGGATACCGGAGAAAAGTAAGGCTTTATTATACTTACCATCTGAAATATTTACTGTAGATGTGATGGAAAAGATTCGTTTTTTTTTTTATTATTTTCATTTTCTTATTATTTACTGGTGATAGGACCTCTAGTGAGTCCGCGCGGGTAGGTACCACCACCCTGCCTATTTCTGCCGTGAAGCAGTAATGCGTTTCGGTTTGAAGGGTGCGGCAGCCGTTGTAACTATACTGAGACCTCAAAACTTATATCTCAAGGTGGGTGGCGCATTTACGTTGCAGATGTCTATGGGCTCCAGTAACCACTTAACACAAGGTGGGCTGTGAGCTCGTCCACCCATCTAAGCAATAAAAAAAGGCTTTGGATCTAATCATAATAGGTTTAAAATTGTGTTTTTTTTGCATTGCACAACATTCGATTTATTTTTATTTTTTATTGCTTAGATGTGTAGACGAGCCCACGTGGTGTTAAGATGTGGATTCTAAGGTCTCAGTATAGTTGCAACGGCTGCCCCACCCTTCAAACCGAAACGCATTACTGCTTCGCGGCAGAAATAGGCAAGGCGGTGGTACCTACCCATGCGGACTCACAGGAGGTCCTACCACCAATAGAATTACAACAACTTGTCAGATTATTGTAATATTTTAATACATAGATGTCACTCTACTATGCATATAGTACATAGTGTTTCAGCAGTTTCCGAATTAAATATTCAGTACCTATTCGGAATCTTTTTCAATATATCTACATACGTGTTTAACTTTCTGGTATTTTATAGAAAATAACATTTTTCTTATTATAGTGCAGCGACTCACGAACGTGATGTAATGTTTTTTGCAAATGCTTATTTATTATATTTTGATTTTAATTGCACATGTTTTTTGTTTTGCACGTAGTGGTATTATTGCATTTTTCTTTTTTTTTTTCTTTTCTTTTCTGTAGTGTAGTTATGTACATTGAAGCTTAGTAGTTAATACAAAATTAAATAGTTGAGCAATACCGTGGAAATAAAACAATTGATTATCGCATACCTACTCTGCGCAATTAATAACATCGTAGGCAAATTTAATTGTTTAATTAATATGTTTCCTTGTTAATTTTTAATATGTTTCCTATGTAAATGTGTAATTATTTGGCAGCGTCGGACGATTTGATTTCAGTAAGATCCGCGATATGTTGCCGTGAACTATGAAATGGACATATGAAACTATTATGTTTATATTTTTAAAGAATATTCGCTGACTTCGCTTTGATTGATTTAGAATACACTCTCCGTTACCGCCTGAGCCCTCGAGACGTCTATCCGTAATACTGCGTAAGCAACTAGGACTTCAGGAAACCACGATTCCTCCATAAAAATAATATTTAAATAGGGCTGTCAAACCTGGTGGTAGGACCTCTTGTGAGTCCGCGCGGCTAGGTACCACCACCCCGCATATTTCTGCCGTGAAGCAGTAATGCGTTTCGGTTTGAAGAGTGGGGCAGCCGTTGTAGCTACGAGTATACTGAGACCTTAGAACTTATATCTCAAGGTGGGTGGCGCATTTACGTTGCAGATGTGTATGGGCTCCAGTAACCGCTTAATAACCAGGTGAGTTGTGAGCTTGTCCACCCATCTAAGCAATTAAAAAACTGCTGGTTGCCTGGAAGAGATCGCTCTTAGCGATAAGACCGCCAATTGCAATTTTATTTTTGTATTTAATGTTTCGCATTGCTTATTTTGTTGGTGTACAATAAAGAATGCTCTCTCTCTTTCTCTCTACAGTATCTCTTCTTAATATTTCAGGTACCCCTCGTACCTCCCTCATCGGCTTGAGTAGTTCGAGCAGCCGTCCACCGAGTATCGCGCCCACCACTCCGCCCAATTCTATCACTTCACAAGGTTCATACATTTTCTGTTAACTCTAATACTCATACCCCTGGCTCTTAAGTTTGACCTGTGCAAAAAGAGACACAGGAATGACTACTCATTACTGGTGGTAAGACGTGTTGTGAGTCCGCACGGATAGGTACAACCACCCTGCCTATTTCTGCCACGAAGCAGTAATGCGTTTCGCTTTGGTAAGGGCAGCCGTTGTAACTATACTGAGACCTTAGAACTCATCTCAAGGTGGGTGGCGGCATTTACGCTATAGATGACTATGGGCTCCGGTAACCACTTAACAATCAGGTGAGCTGTGATTTCGTCCACCCATCTACGCAATAAAAAAACACACATAAAAATATTACAACGCAAGGTACGAATCAAATGGTACTATACAAAATCCGATCAAACGGTTTATTGGGTTATCGGTTTCTGATTGAAAGACAATTCAATTGAAAGCAGTACAAACTTATTTATTCTCTTCAATTACCTACACAGCAAGAACACTCAATTACAATGTATTCACTAAAGTACTACCATCTAATGTCTATGTCGCAGGGCATTTGTATGAGTGGAATCATACAAATTTATGCGTTTACAAACGGCGTCGTCATTATAAAAACGCTCACCGGTATGTAAAATGCCGAAGGCAAAATGTAAACTGCCGTGTCACTTTATAATATGCCACAACATCACAACATAATATCGACAATTCAAGCGCCGTTTTCATAATGCCGCGGCGAATTGAAATATTTAGTTAAATTTTTTACCACGCGCGCCACTTTTTTTTTTTTCTACCTATGCTGATAGCCTTGGACGCGCCACTGTTGGTCAAAATAATAAACAACGGCGTCAAAAAATAACTGAAAACAGTGCAAATATTTCGCGTGGAGGAGATATTTTAGGAAATAATTCTTATTATATAGTTTAATTTTCGTTTTATATTTCGAATACGGTTTAATTGTTCCTTTTCTTATTCCTTTTTAAGTGGCCGAAACGGAAAAGCCTCCCCTCACACCGTTACGTCCCAAAGTAAACTCCATCTTCCATTTATTCGGCGAGTGGCTCTTCGAGGCGGCCCTCATAGGAACCTCGGCTAACTACAACACGCAGCGTGAGTTATTTTCATTTAATTTTAAAGCAGTTTTATCCGTACTTTTTTTTTCCCTAACTAAGCTAATGAGCTTGAGAGGCTATATCAGCGTAACCTTAACTAGTAGGTGAGCTCACGGGGCTCAAACCTGACGACGTTGCTAACACGAACCCTAGCAAGAGCAGTGATTCGCAGAATCTACCACCGGATCGGAAACGCGACCCACTGAGAAGATCCGGCGAGAAACTCAGTGGGCTGTGTATGTGGGTTAGTTATCCGTACTAACATGGCAGCTTCGGTCATAGAGGTTAACGCATATGAGGCCGTCAGCGCAAAAGTCGCTTAAACTTAGCATAGTTCGCATGGAGATAATGAGGTTTGAATTTACTTTTACACTGCTTTGTAGGCAAAAAAGATGTGTGGTGTCGCTGGACACCGGATAGGAACGAAGTTCCTTATCATAAAAATATTAATTTTAAGTTCTATTCGAGGTATAAAGAAAATAATTTTTATTATGATTTTGTAATAACAATATCATCATTAGATAAAAATAAAACTACTTTACAAAGTTATCAACTTTATTTTATTCACAATGATTTATAAAAAATGTATAATAATAATATACAAAGAAACAGCTATTAATATGAATAATAATAATAACCGTCATCACGTAGACTATAACATTAGCCACTATATAGCCACCATACTAAGACTATACATAAATAATAAAAATCTTACGTTACGGACGTTCTTTCCCGGTCAGGGTACCCCTCCTCATCGTCCCATAAGGAACTTCGTTCCAAAACAATACGCGCAAAAATAATATTTACAAATCCATCTGCTATCTGTTTAACTTATGTTTTGCATCAAAATTTATTTATGTTTTAAATAAATTGCAGTATAGTGTAAGCACGAATATAAAAATTGCGGGCTAGGCCACTTCTACGCTAACGGCCTCATATTATAGGGGCAGATCTATTGGCGTCTTCTGCAGCGTGAGTGGATATGTAAATACAATCAAGTATTTTCTTTGGATTCCACGAATCGTAGATAATCAAAATCAGTTTTACTATTGAAATATAAATAAATATTTACAAACAATGACGCCACGCTAACTGGTCCCGTGCTAAGTTCGTAAAGAACTTGTGTTACAGGTACCAGATAACGGAAATAAATTTAAGATTTTTATTATACACATACATATATTTAATATACATCCATAACCCTGGAAAAGACATTTTATATTTATCATACAAATATCTTCCCTTGGCGGGATTCGAACCCGCGACCCCCTTGTATAGTGACCATGTCACTTACCACTACGGCCACAACGNTGCTAAGTTCGTAAAGAACTTGTGTTACAGGTACCAGATAACGGAAATAAATTTAAGATTTTTATTATACACATACATATATTTAATATACATCCATAACCCTGGAAAAGACATTTTATATTTATCATACAAATATCTTCCCTTGGCGGGATTCGAACCCGCGACCCCCTTGTATAGTGACCATGTCACTTACCACTACACCAGACGGCCGTTAATTTAATCCGTTGTTTTTTATTTGTCGTCTCACTTCAGACTTTTCTAATATTATTTTCATAGTCACGGACGATTGAGGTGTTATTGTAAATTTTCTGCTATATTAATATAAACCATAGTCGGGTTTGTTCGAACAGCTATGTTTTGTTGTATTTGTCCCGAATAGCAGAATAACTATTATTAACTATGTAATATAACTATAAGCCGTACTCGTCCGCTTCGCTGGGCATTTAAAATTAGCATTATTATTTATTGTCATTATTATTAGGAAGTCCAACACTCGTATAAATATTAGCCTATCCATTAAGTACATGTATTTTCTTAGATGTGTGGACGAGTTCACAGCCCACCCAGTGTTAAGTGGTTACTGGAACCCATAGACATCTACAACGTAAATGCGCCACACACCTTGAGATAGAAGTCCTAAGGTCTTAGTATAGTTACAACGGCTGCCCCACCCTTCAATCCGAAACGCATTACTGCTTCACGGCAGAAATAAGCGGGGTGGTGCTACCTACCCGTGAGGACTCACAAGAGGTCCTACCACCAGTTTCAAGTCAATCGGATGCATGGTTCAGTAGTTATAACGGAACATCCGTAAAAACCACTGTAGATTTATATATTAGTATAGATAACTATTAAGACGAGACGTATAATATAAAATATATAGTTTCTCGAAAACTTGAGTGGTTTTAGTAAAAGAATTATCGTATCTAAGGACGAAATCGTTGACATACTTTGCCTTTTCTGCGACGATGGGACTTCAAGAGGCAAGGCTCAATGATAAATGTGTAATTCTTGTAGAACGCGCCGAGGGAATGCCCCCGCAGGCATCCGCATCCGATCCTACGCATTCTTATCACATGTTTAGATGTCAAGCAGGTAAGTTAATTAAGGTCCAGTCGCGCAGCAAGAAGGATTTCGTACGTGTTAACCTGTTATTAACTGTCTTTGTCACGCTCGCTTAAATATAATGGGGTCTCGCTCACAGATGCAATGACCGCTTCCTTAGGGATTGTAAACCTTTTACCTGAGACATTAAGGTTTGTTCTTGTTTGCATACTCCGTTACAGAGGAATCGGATTTTGGTTATTGAATTTTCATTTTTTTTTCATTTCTGCCGAGTTACCTAGTAATTGTAACTCTGTATTTATAACTGTTGTAATATAAAATCTCTATAAATAATTTATTATAATAACAATAATAATTAGGCATTTAATAAGTTTGTAATTTTTTTCTCCTTCAAACATTTTATGTAAACCGCCCCTAATACTAAAATGTTTGTGACCACTGTCAGTAGGTAAAGAGGTCATTGTACGAAATTCTTCCTGCCCCACGACTGAACTACATATTATTTATAGCTATACATATTGTTTTTTTTTGTCCTTACTTAATCATTAGTAGCTTAAGGTACTATTCCAACTACTCACGGACAGGTAAACAGAGTGTTAAGTGAATACCTGCGCCAATAGACATGATGACCTCAACGTGGCACCGTGACACAAATTCGACGTCCCAATTGTATTATGCAACGGTTGTCCATTCCTTGCCACTGCAATTATTACATCGTGCTACATGACCGGGGGTATTGGCTCACAAATCGGCCGTCGCTCTATTTTTTTTTGCTTAGATGGGTGGAAGGACTCACAGCCCACCTGGTGCTAAGTGGTGTCTGGAGTCCATAGACATCTACAACGTAAATGCGCCGCCTACCTTGAGATTAAGTTCTAAGGTCTCAGTATAGTTACAACGGCTGCCCCACCCTTCAAACCGAAACGCATTACTGCTTCACGGCAGAAATAGGCAGGGCGGTGGTACCTACCCGTGCGGACTCACAAGATGTCCTACCACCAGTAATTACGCAAATTATAATTTTGTGGGTTTGATTTGCTACCAATACAAATACCAGCCTTGAATACTTGGGAGCAGAGTTCAATTTAGGATAACGTTGGTCATCGTTTCACGGGCACATTTTGGATCGTGGTCAGGGCGGGCGGAGGCTCTGGGCACCTTGTGCCGCGTGCTGTGCTCCAAGCAGTGCCGCGAGGAGGTGCTCGCGCCGTACCTGGCCCGCTGCTATGTGGCCATGCACCACGGCCTCAGGGACGCCGCCACCGCCGCCGCAGTCGTGCTCAACGCCTCCGACATATTCAGGTGACGTCACGCCCGACTTAGGCTTTTTTTTTATTGCTTACATAGGTGGTGTTAAGTGGTTACTGGAGCCCATAGACGTCCACAACGTAAATGCGCCACCCACCTTGAGATATAAGTTCTAAGGCCTAGGTTCTAATAAATTTTCGGGTTTCATTTTTAATACAAGATGTTATTCCTTCACCGTGGAAGTCAATCGTGAACAATTGCTAAGTACGTATTTCATTAGAAAAATTGGCACCCGCCTGAGATTAGAATAGGGCCAAAGGTGTCTCAAGCCCACGTAGCGTCCGTGTGCAATCATTACCATAGCGCCATCTAGTGAGCGCGCGGTGGAAATGGAAATGGAAAGCTGCGCCCACCCAGCGACATAAGTAAAGTCCCCTCTGATTAGGACAATTTATGCAGCAAAGCAGTTATGCGTTCCGGTTTTGAGGGTACGAAAGCTGTCGTATCCTACAATTGAGATTCAAACCTCATGTCTTATAGGTGGTTCACGTGGCGATATGTGTAGGTTCCGATGGCATCATTCTTGATTTTCATAAATGACTCCACACGGGACGGCTTAGAGTTAATGTTGTTCTTTCATTTCAGTACTATTTTATATTAAGAAAAAAAAAAGCAACTATCAGATTATTTTATTTCTAGACTGGATCTAGATGGAGTACTAGTTTTAGTTCCGGACTTTATAAACGCCTTAGACAAGATTCTGTCGGAACGCGAGCCGAAGATCGAATGCGACTCCATAGACAAGCGAGAGCTCCGCAAGGCGGCCATCAGCATCCTGCTGTCTATGGTCGCGTTCCCGTACCACTACAAGGATCTACCAGTACCGGAATTCCCTGGCTGTAATGAATAGTAAGTTATATTAAATAAACTTAATTCATAACAATTACTTTATTATTGTTTGCAGGATTTGGAACATTGTGTATTTAAAATTTCGTGAACCAAGCGTTTTAAGGCATTAAGTCGTATATCTGTGAATTATATTTTTGTGATTGCTAAATATTCACTAATAAAGATCAATGCCGCTAATTTTGGAAAACTATAAAAATATCGATAAAAATAAAAGTCGGATGTGTGTATGTTCTGTGTAGATTTCGATACCGTTGGACCCATCTCAATGAAATTCTTGAGAAATCTTCAGATTGCAGATCCAGTTAAAGTTTGGTAGCGATCGGATTAAAGACACATCAAAAACCGGCCCGCCACGCGCGCCGAGCTTGACCATTAATCAAAATGGCCACTCGAAATTATCTTAAACTCCATCAGAACCGACAAAACGGTTTCGACTAAATACTACAGATAACAATAACAGCAATTTTAACACAGTTCATAATCTTTGCAACTTTAGTTATCTGTGACCACGGAATTTGGCAAGCTGTTGGAATGTCGAGTGTTGTGAATAGTTAGCAAAATGACTTGAGCAAAATACGCAAAATAAATATTGAACAAGAAACAAAAGAAAAATATGTTAAAAGCACACACAAAAAAACCGAAATGTATATTTATTTTGTACGAAGTAGATTTCGACTTTAGATATCTCTGTCACTTCGCTAAAGCGGCACGACACGAGAACCCTCTCACCGTGACCGCCGGTAACTACATTACCGATCCTGCGGACATAATGGAAAGCAGTCGACGTTGCCCAAAACACGTCATTTCGGATCCTGCCGATCCACTGACGGTGCTTTTAGGTACCTCAAGCACCGGTCATCCTTCCCGACGAACCAGTCGCTTGCGTCGAAGGGCTCGACGAGTAAATTAACCCACAGACACAACCCACTGAGTTTCTCGCCGGATCTTCTCAGTGAGTCGTGTTTCCGATCTGGTGGTAGATTCTGCGAAGTACGGCTCTTGCTAGGGTTCGTGTTAGCAACGTCGTCAGGTTTGAGCCCCATGAGCTTACCTGCTAATTAAGGTTACGCTGATATAGCCTCTCAAGGCTATCAGCTTAGGTAGGAAAAAAAAGATATCTCTGAGGTGTTGATGTTGTGATGTGTGTCAGTGCGGGCATGACGCTGGGCGAGCTGACCCGCGGCCGCATCGCCGTGATGTGCGTGTCGGGGGTCCAGGTCGAGTGGTCGAGCGCGCTGGCCGTGCCGCTGCTCAACGCTCTGTACTTGTGCGTGCGGCACAACGCGCTGGCGGCGCCCGCGCAGCCGCTGCCGCCTGACATGCGAGGTACCGCCCCCCCCCCCACCCTGCGCCCGCACCCGCCCCCACCCCCGCAACATCAACCAACCCGCAATACTAAATCAATTAGAATATCAAAGAGTATCAATTTGAAATTATATCGTTGAATATCAATTTGCCACTTGGGGCAGAGCTAAAAAAATAATATAATGAACTATACTTGAGACTTTAGAACTTATATCTCAAGGTGGGTGGTGCATTTACGTTGTAGATGTCTATGGGCTCCAGTAACCACTTAACACCAGGTGGGTTGTGAGCTCGTCAACCCATCTAAGTAATAAAATAAAATAAAAACTTGTGGAATTTCAACACAGATACAGCTTTAAGATCTAAAGTACGCGCGATTTACCTTTTTTAAACTGAAACACAAGCAATTTCATAAATAGCTTGACTAATATACAATGTACGAAACTGAATCGATATCAAATATCACAATCTACGGATTGATCATTTATTTAATTACTGTGAATACATTAACTGTTTCAAGGCGAAACTATAATTATGTTATTAACTACGTTATTAACCATAAGCGAATCTCAAGCAACAAAATTACAGCGCATAGCAAATAGAATATATCAATACGTTCTCCATTTGTTTCCTAAATCCCATCACTGAAATTTTAATTTGCTTTAAATTATTTTTTAACTTCAGTGCTTTGATTATGCACAAGTGAAAGAACCAGCCAGCGAATCAATACCAAGGCATTTAAATGTAGGGCTGTGTGTTAAAGATAAATTTTCAACGCTCTGTATTTAAACCTATAAAAAGAAAATAGTCAACACAACACGCATTGCATACATTTAAATTATCACTATTATTATTTGCGGCGTACATTAAGTAATCGACATAATTATGGCATATACAGAAAACAGCCTTTAGTGAGCTTTGCTGAAAATCTGTGATTGTTGCAACAACAAGTCCGCAGAATATCGCCTCTGCCTTTACAACACTTAACAACACGCTCTTTATTATTTTGCTAATCGATAAATCTTTAACATCGCCAACACTACACGGGAAGTCGAGGACAAAATCACAAGCACTAAGGTCTAATTATTACAGGAACAATCTTAAACCCTTTGATTGTAATGTAGGTCACCGATGCCCTACACGGCGCACTGAAGTACTTATATCGATTTTTATTACTAAAGTATTTTTTTCTGAATGAATTGGCGGAAACTTAAAAATTAGATTTGCAATCTAGTGTGCTCTATGCAATATACTATATTCTTATACTTATACTGTATTCTTCTTTTTCTCTGACAAATGTATTATATTTTTATGTTGTGTATAAATCTGTATAAATATGAACTATTGTGTACGTTTTTGTATGTGATGATATATATATTTATACCGTGTATCTGTTTATATATCTATGTAATGTTATTATCAATTTTGTTATTTTCGCAAAAAGTAATGCACCTACCACAGGACTCTCTACACCACTCTCGGTTGACTGGTAGAGAATGCCTCAGGCATTAAGTCCGCAATTGTACCTTTGTACATGAAGTTGAATAAATACTAAATATATAAGCAGTTTGGATTGCCTAAATTGGCCTTCTTTTGTTTGTTAATTTAGTCAGGTCACTTAGAAGTTGATTCATTCTCAATATTTTCTGATTCGTATCTCTGTACTAAATATTCCGACGTCTTAGTAACTGAAATCTACATAATTACTTCAGTGCGCAACCAGTGACCTACATGGCAGGCAAAGGGTTAACTAAACAGGGTGTTCCAAAGATTAGATTTATTGCTCAACAAATGGACCAGTTAATAAATACAGTCTCATGGGTGGAATCACCACGCACACAGTAAGCTAGTAAGCGATGGAAGCAACGTGTGTGATAAGCGTCGGTGTATAACCGAGGGATGTGTTGTAGCTCGCTCAGAGAGCGGCAGCACGGAGGGGCATTCGCTCGACGACTTCGTGGCGGATGTTAGGGGGCTTGATCCATCCTCGCCTGTTTTCGGTAATTACACACGCATGGTTTTTGTTCAGCATTCATTTTCGATCGGTATTTTGAAATTGTAACGCGATAAACAAAGCTATATGCACACATATATGTATATATCGAGGGGTAAAAGCATTCCCACAGACAGCCTGCTGAGTTTCTCGTCGGATCTTCTCAGTGGGTCGCGTTTCCGATCCGGCGGCAGATTCTGCGAAGCACTGCTCTTGCTAGGGTCGGTGTTAGCAACCCTACGGTTTGAGCCCCGAGAGCTCACCTACACGGTAGGGTAAAGCTGAAGTAACCTCTCTATCAGAATAAGTAGGAAAAAATATATTATGTTTAAGCGAAATTTTATTTAAAACGCGACTTTTATCTTTGTAATTAAAGGTCCGTTGTAATTGGTATTAGGATCAACAATTAGATGTTTTTAATTGAACTTCAATTAAGGTTACCTTATTCAAATAGCTGAAGAAGTTTTATATTATCATTTATTTTCCAACTTTAAACTTTAAATGGCTCTCCTATAAAGTTTCAAAAGTGTCGCTTAACCAAATACCCTTCGATATGTTGTTATATGCGGTGTACGGACGCGTTTGAGCCAGTATGGGATATGGAAACGCGTTAGCTCGTATAGATGCATTTAATGCAATTAAACTTCACCCGTAATTATCGTATAAGGCTTGATGAAATAGCAGTCTCACATTGGATACGATTGTTTGCGCGTGTGAGCAGGACAACTGTATGTTTCAGAGCTTAAAGTACAAAGCTCGTCTTCTTTAGTTAGTTAATTTATTTGTATTGGTTCATTTTAACTGACAGTCGTTCATTAAGAGTACAAAGTATAAGAATGCACCTCCCAAAAGGCGAAATTATCAGCACTAAATTTTACTGTTTTAACATTATGACTGTTAAATGAATAGTTTGTTACGCGTATTATAATATTTCAAAATATCGATCATTGTTAGATTAGATTCCAAAAAGGCAACTAGTCAATTATCTAATAGTTTTTACGCTTTTAATTTTAGTTTTATTAATTGTTTGCTTGCGATTTTTTACGTTCACTAGCCCACAATCACTTAAAGATATATAAAATGTACCTACGAAACGAAAATTTAGTCAAGGTCAATTCTCCCGAAACTTGTGCCTATGCGTTTTAGGGGCAGCACTGGTTGTACGCGCCACCTATCTGGTCTGCCATCGATTGATATCCTCGTGGAAGGGAGAACTTCAGGTTTCTTTAGCTGCTTTAGAACTTCTCTCTGGACTTGCCAAGCTGCATTCCTCTAAACCAGGTAAGCTATACGAAAACACACCCAAAAAAAACATGATTATGGCAAGTTATCTCCGTTACTAAATTAATAGTTATACTTGTGTTTCTTACGCATCCATTCCAGAGTTCATTATCGGTGAGTTGAATTTACATACATCTTTTATTTTTATTTTGAGAGGTTATGCTAGTTTCATCGAACGCGGAGGCGACCTCACGGAGTATCTCAGTCTGGGTGATTTTACTAACACTAGCCCTAGTCAAGGGTAGTGCTTCGCTGAACTCACCTCATACATTCGAAAGTTCACCGGCCAATATATCCTTTAACCTTTAGAATTACAGAGACCCATATCGAAATTTTTGGGTTTCGACTTTAATTCAATAGACTTAGAAGGACCCTTTTTAGCAACTCTTAATCATCAAAAGTATCTTAAAAAGGGACAAACTTATCCATTGGTCTCTTTCACTCCGTCCTACGTCTTTATTCGATGTTTTCCAAAAAACATGTGGCGGTAGCCGTCATACAATACAAGATATTTGACAGTTGCCTGAATCTCGCTTACGACATTTTCAACATAAGCTTGCATATAATATACAAGTTCAGAACAACAACATTCGGGCCGTCGGTCTACTGAGCAATTACACATTAGTGGAAGATCTTCCTTTCGTCATTATACCTGCAAATTGGTGACCGCGACGTAATTTGAACACGGAACCATCTGATCTGGAGTCAGACTGGGCTGTTCCCTCCGTTGTTTACCTACAAAAATTTCTGGGTTGGGTCTATTTAATTCTCATCTCCATGATGCCGTGGAGCTTGACTCAGTCAGTAAGTATATACAGTCGGCATCGTTGCGCCACTTTGAGAAGGCGGAACGACATGAAAACCCTCATGTCGTGGCCGCCGGTAATCACATACAATTACCGGTCCTGTGTACCGAATGATAAACAGTCGACGTCGCGTCATTCTAAACACGTGATTACGGATCCACCCGATCCACTAACGATGATTTTAGGTACTTCAAGCACCATTCACCGTCTTCGCCGAACCCGTTGCTTGCGACGAAGGGCACGGCGAGTAAATTAACCTATAGACACAGCCCACTGAGTTTCTCACCGGCTTTTCTCAGTGGGTCACGTTTCCGATCCGGTATCAGATTTTGCGAAGCTCTGCTTTTGCTAGGGCCAGTGTTAGCAACATTCCCGATTTGAGCCCAGTTAGCTCACCTATTCGCCCGGTTACGCTGACATAGCCTCACAAGGCTATCAGCTTAGGTAGGAAAAAAAACAACATTCGCAACGTCTACCGAGCAATTACACCTCGGTGGAAAATCTTCCTTTTGTCTTTATACTTATAAACTGGTAATCCCGGCGTGATTTGAACACGCAACCTTCTGATCTGGAGTTAGACTGGGCTGTTCCCTCCGTCGTTAACCTACAAAGATTTCTGGGTTGGGTCTGTATAATTCTAAAGGNTCAGCTTAGGTAGGAAAAAAAACAACATTCGCAACGTCTACCGAGCAATTACACCTCGGTGGAAAATCTTCCTTTTGTCTTTATACTTATAAACTGGTAATCCCGGCGTGATTTGAACACGCAACCTTCTGATCTGGAGTTAGACTGGGCTGTTCCCTCCGTCGTTAACCTACAAAGATTTCTGGGTTGGGTCTGTATAATTCTAAAGGAGTGATATATGTACAAGTGGTACAATGTGCGGTTGTTGCGGCGACAGATGCGATCGAGCGCAAGCGCGCGGTGCGCTGGATATGCGACTACATCTCGGTGCAGTGCGGGCGGCCGCCGCAGGCACACTCGCGTGACCTGCACTCATGCGTGGTGGCGGCCTACGGCTGTCTGTCGGCGTGGCTGTGCCCGGCGCTGCTGGCTGACCCCGACTGTCTGGCCACGCTCATGGAGGTCGTCGAGCTGGGCATCTCCGGCACCAAGAGCCAAGGTGAGCTCCTGCGCCCGCATGCCCGCCTGGTACTTTGTTGCGCGGATCTATATATTCATTATCGGATCGTAGGTTCAATTCCCGCATTCGGCAAACATTCGTGTGATGAACAGATTTGTTTGCCCTTTGTCTGCGAGCCTATCATTTATATGTCGAGGGGGGAAAGGCTATTTGGTTTAAACCAAATCTTGGCCTAAGGTGTGTTTTATTTGGTACTAGCTGAGTCCCGCGATGTTACCCGCGGTTATTATCGTACCGCGGGTGACGCCGCGGGGCGAAGCTAGCCTAAGTTACTCCTTATATCATCAGCTACCTAAAAGTGAAAGTACCGTCAAAATCGGTTCAGTCATTCCAGAGATTAGCCGGTATAAACAGACAGATAGACAAAAAAAATGTTATTTTGGTATATCTACTTACGCATTTAGTAAAAAGTGGCTATTTTATTATTACAAACAGACACTCCAATTTTATTTATTTGTATAGATTAGTATCAACAGTTCGATGTTTTTAATTCAAATTTAATTATGTTTACTCCATTCATATAGCTGAATAAGTCTTTTTGTCATAATATTTTATCCAAATTTCAAATTTTAAATTGCCCTTCCGTAACGTTGCAAAAATGTCGCTCAAACCAAATAGCCACCACCTATCGAATATTAGGACACAAAATATCGCGATATCGGTCCTACTTATGTGTATTGCGAAGTGTTCAATCGATGCTGGTTATCGCGGTAGGCAGCGTCTTGGCTCGGCCCCTGGCATTGCTGAAGTCCATGGGTGACGGTAACTCGCCATCAGGTGGGCCGTATGCTCGTCTGCCTACAAGGGCAATAAAAAAAATTGTAAACTTTTACAGCCAAACCTGGTGACCCTCCAATGATGAAAGATGAAAAAGAACTGAAGCCGGTTTCGATGCGGGTCAGGGATGCTGCCGAATCCTTGTTGATGCAGATCTTAGAACAGGTATCCCGATCCGACAGTGGCCACTTTGAGATAGAATTATCTCGTTATTTCTTTCGCTAATGTAATTTACAAACCAGAAGGTAAATTGCCAATTGGTTGACGAAAATTAACTACTTGTGGATAAATACGGATAATTAATGTACTTCAGAAAAACTCTTCCAATCTAATTCTCAAAGTATGTTATAAAAACATAAAAAATATGTATATGCAGTTCAGACGCGATTCCTATACATATGTTTGTCTCTTTTTGGTGTCGGTTTTTCGTTTAATCCATCCAGTTTTTAAATAAGGAACTAAAGGACTTTTTTTAAATGAAGTATATTTAAGCCATATCCTCCATAAATTTAGAGGCTCACGTTAGCGACAAGGCGACCAAGACTATAAAAGAAAATATTTTAAAAAAATTGGTAGAGAGTGACGATGGTTAGCCCCTGTTCGATGCCCATGGCAGCGTCATCCGAAACAGGTGCAAGCCCATTTGGCAATAAAATGTGTTAATGGCACAGCAAGTGGACAACGGCCTCAACGGCAACTGGTGCCGGCTCGACGAGCGCTGGCTGGCGGCGCTGGGGCACGGCAAGCTGCGCCACTTCATCGCCGACGGCAACATCATGCTGTCGCTGCTCGAGGAGCCGCTGGCCAACAGCCAGGAGCCGCAGCCCACGCTGGTCGGTCAGTGCACGTTCCCCACAGACACAGACCACTGAGTTACTGGCCGGATCTTCTCAGTGGGTCGCGTTTCCGAATATCATGGATGTACTCATAATTAACTGCGAAATCTTAAAAATGATACATGCATTGCAGATAGCGCAGACATTCATTAAAATATCCATTGAAAGAGTTGAAGTCTAACATACATTCTTTGTCTTTTAAAACACTGCAAATATGAAAATTAGGTACTTTTTTTATCATGGGATTGCTTAAATGTCTAGTGTTTGTGTGTATATAATTTTCTTTAAAAAATATAAGAATAGAAAATGATTGTTGATTGTTGTTATCAAGTATAGAACTTTCCGAAAATATATTTGGCGCGCAGCGATAGACACTGTGCTTAAACAAATTAATCCTTTTTTGATCACCAGTTTTTTCTGAGATTCAGATTACATAGTGAGCATTCTGTGTTATCTCTCTTCTTCAACTCGTGTCCACCCAATGCTGAGTGTAGGTCCCTTCGAATGCACACCATTCTCTTCGGTCTCTTGCCTTTCTTATCCAGTCTCTACCAACTACTTTGACCATGTCATCGGTCCACCTCGTTGGCTGTCTGCCCACGTTACGACGTCCAGTACGAGGTCTCCACTCCAGTACTTTTGTGCCCGACCGATTGTCAGTGTGACGGCATATGTGGCCGGCCCACTACCACTTTTCCGAACAATCACTTTGGCTATGTCAGTCAAACCAGTTCTGCGAATTTCGGTATTACGTATTTTATCCCGTAGAGAAACGCCTAACATAGCCCGTTCCGTGGCTCTTTGCATGACTTGCATTTTGGTCATAATTTGCTTTGTGAGCGTCCATGTCTCCGCCCCATACACCATCACAGCGAGAACACATTGCTCGAATTAATCGCATCGCTTCAATTTCATAGGTATATGTTATATTCTGTGTTATAGACCTTTTTGATCTGGTTTCAGTGATCATCCGTTGTGCGTGGGGTCGGTACGCGTGGTCGCTGAGCAGCCGGGGCGCGGCGCGGAGTGCGGGGCGCGGCGCGGGCGGCGCGTGCGCTCGGCCCGTGGACACGCGCCCGCCGCGCGCCCCCCCCGCGCCGCACTGCCGCCCGCTGCCGCCTGCGCCGCCCTGCGCGCTGTGAGTGCTACATACCGCGCCCTTATTCGAATATTACTACATATTACAGTGGACCAACTTCCCAACAGAGATACCATACGTCATCAATGCGATACAATTTGTATATTCATGCTTAGTAACGTATTTAATGTACATACAAATACAAAGTAATCAACTTAGTATAGAATCATTGAAATTTTAATGCATTTCCCTCATGCAGTACATTTATAATTAAAAAATCCCGCGAAATCCCCAGAAATCTCCTGAACCCAATAATCAGTTAAGTACTAACAATAAGCTAAACAAAACGCAATGTTATAATACAAAATTATTTTTACGTCACGTCAGCGGGTATCGTCTTTCTGTCTATTTCTTCTGTAAGCAATTATGCTTGTGGGTCCCGTTTGAATTTAAGATTTCGAAATTCCATTCTTCAGGGTACTTTTAGGCTTGTATAGGCTGAGACGGAAGAAAACGAAATTGTTTTAACTTCAAAAACCTAACTTTACACCAGAGCCTTAAAACTATTTCAAAAATTCATAATTCATATTATTATTTTTATTTATATATTAAGGGGTGAATGGTTATTTGGTATAAGCGAAATTTTTGCAACTTTATAAGAGAACCATTTAAAGTTTAAAATTTGCAAAAAATATCATCAAAAAATTCTTCAACTATTTGAATGGAGTAAACTTAATTCAAGTTCAATTAAAAACATCGAATTGTTAATACTGATACCAAATAAAACAGTCTTTTAATTACAAAGATAAATGTGGCGTATTTACCGAAATATCGCTTAAGCCAAATAGTCCCCCTCACCCATCGATATATAAATAAATAAATATAAGTTATGAATTTTTGAAATAGTTTATTATTTTTTTATTGCTTAGATGAGTGGACGAGCTCACAGACCACCTGTTGCTAAGTGGTTACTGGAGCCCATAGACATCTATGACGTAAATGCGCCACCCACCAAGGACCTTAGTTCTAAGGTCTCAGTATAGTTACAACGGCTGCCCCACCCTTCAAACCGAAACGCATTACTGCTTCACGGCAGAAATAGGCAAGGTAGTGGTACCTATCCGTGCGGACTCACAAGAGGTCCTACCACCAGTAATTACGCAAATTAAAATTTTTCGGGTTAGATCTTTATTACACAATGTTATTCCTTCACCGTGGAAGTCAATCGTGAACATTTGTTAAGTACGTATTGGATAAGAAAAATTGTTATCCGCCTGCGGGATTCGAACTTCGGTGCATCGCTACATACGAATGCACCGGACGTCTTATCCTTTAAGCCACGACCTTTAGTTTTATGGCTTTATTAGTATAAAATTAGGTTTTTCAAGTTACAACAATTCCGCTCATGTTTATTATATTCGATCACAGTCGAAATGAAACATAGCAGAATTAGTTTTTCGGAATGTTAACATTAATATACTTAAATGTAAATAGAGATGCTTTAACAAAAACCGACTTCAAATAGAAAAAAAAGATATTCCAAAACAAATTAATATACACTAATAACAATAATCATCGAAATCGGTTGGCGTGATATTGAGTTATTGAGTTATTCGTATATTTGTCGTGCACGTACTTAATGCAAATTTAAGATTTATATGGCTTTCTCGTGGATAACATTACCAGAACTGGACTAAATTGAAATGGGACCACACGGAAAGCGTCAGCTTTCTAATAAAAAAAGAATCAGCAAAATCGATTAACTCAGTTAAAAGTTATGAGGTAACAGACATTAAAAAAACCATACAGTCGAATTGAGAACCTCCTCCTTTTTTGAAGTCTGTTAAAAATAAAAATGCATGTTTTATATTGTAGTGACGCAGCGTTCCCCACGCTGGACGCCGTGCTGCGCCAGCTCGGGGACCCGGAGGCGCCGACCCTGTTCAAGCTGTTAGAGCAGCAGGCCGCCATCGAGAAACGCGTTAAAGAGAGCGAAGATAACGTGGTGAGTACAATGGAATATGACACGTAGTACGGTTCGTACAATTCAGTAGAATTTCATCTAAACAAATAAATAAATAAAACTGAAGTATCTATTGCATATAGATGTTTAAACGGACGGACCTTGCTGAAACAAAAAAAAAACGTTTATAAACTCTATTTAGACCTTAGTTTTCCAACCTTTTTTGTGCCCTGCCTCACTGTTACATTTCTATAATTTTTATGCTCCCTATACATAATTTTTAACATTAAAAAAATACTTGTTAACTTAAGAAACATGAATGATAGATTTTAGGAAGAAATCACTATGAATTTTTTATCAAAACACAGTAAGTAATATTTAAAAATACATAATAAAANTAAACTCTATTTAGACCTTAGTTTTCCAACCTTTTTTGTGCCCTGCCTCACTGTTACATTTCTATAATTTTTATGCTCCCTATACATAATTTTTAACATTAAAAAAATACTTGTTAACTTAAGAAACATGAATGATAGATTTTAGGAAGAAATCACTATGAATTTTTTATCAAAACACAGTAAGTAATATTTAAAAATACATAATAAAAATAACTGAAATTCAAATCCAAATAATTTTAATACAGATTTTCTATATTAATTTAGTTCGATTGCCCCTTAATGCCCCCTTATTGAGGCATTTACGTTATAAGGACTATGTTATAAGGTTGCTTTTATTTTAGCAAAGTTATTAGGGTTCCGTGGAAAAAAAAATAACCCATAAAATCGTGAGTAAAATCCGATTCCAATAAAGAAGTAACTAACGTCAGAGCACGGCCGGTATAAACTAGTACCAATAACATTTAGAATCGTGATCAACAATTCAATGAACATTTTGCATGCAATGTATGAAAATCATCTGACGCGTGGCGTATTGACTCCCCGAGCTGTGTTTGTTTTAGATTGCTGGCAAACTATCAATTTACTAACATGACAAGTATTTAACTTAGTCAGGAATATAAATAAAAATTTCCTGTGTTACTTCAATACCGAATACCTTAATTTGTCATTAGGTACCGGAAGAATATGTTCCTCCGGAGCCGGTCACAGAGTTCCAGACGGCGAGACTGTTCCTCTCGCATTTCGGCTACCTCAACATCGGAGGTGATAAAAAGGTTAGTTTTATAGTCATCTTGTCCACGTAGGTCGGCATTTAAGAGCGATTTTTGCGTGTGAATCCATGCAAGAATCTGACTTTAAGTAGTCTTCAGATTTTATGGACGTCCTAACATTAACGTTATAAGCTCTCCTTCTTTTCTTCTTTTTCTCCACCTCATCTCACTAGGTGGAGTTGGCCAGCTAATTTCTCTCTTCTATCAGCCGTCATCTCTACACTCACTCCTCTCTCTCTCTCATATCGTCATTCACACACTCCATCCATGTCTTCTTCGGTCGACCTCTTCCCCCCCTACCTTCATTACTATTTCCATACATCCTCTTGTCATATCCATCTTTTCTCCATACCACACTAACCGCCCGCTCTTTAATTTGTTAATTACCGGGGCTACTTTCACACTTCCTCTGACATACTCATTCTTTATCTTGTCCATTCTTGTCACTCCACACATCCATTTCAACATTCGCATTTCTGCCGCATGCACTCATAATGCGGCATGTTAATACCGCACGCCTCAACGTTATAAGGTGGAGATTTAATTTTTTATCTTGATTTGGAGGGTAGACGATGGTTGATAGTAGACGACTGGGTGGGACTTTTTGGCGGGAACGCGGGGAGTGAAGTTGTGTGATTTGTTTTATTTTGTCTATTTAGTGTTTCTTCAGGTTTAAATGTGTAATAACGGTGGTTTATTAACTGTTTAATATCTGTGAAAGTGCACAAATGTGGGAAAATGAAACAAAGCTGCTGGACATAACATCTCGGAATCCTCCAAAAAGTTCACTAAAAAAATCTCAGGAAATGATCACCGTTTTACTGAGATTATATTTCATTCCATATCATCTCATCTCTTTTAATTTCATCCCAGCTGATTAATGTCTCAAAATGTCTCTCTTCATTTCATTTCACTCCATATTATGATTTTTCATAAAAATATGAATATAAATTAAAATAAGACATGACTTAAAGGTCTTAGTTACCAAGTCATAAAATCTCTTAAAAAAACGACTGGGTGCTGCGTTGTCCCCCCCGCGTCAACCAGGCCGCCTCTACAACCGTTTCGCAGTGTCATATGCATCGGAATAGAGTGAGTAGGTGTTGAAGTAGTGCTGTGCCAGGGCGGGGCGGCGCGGTTGTGGGCGCTGCGCGCGGGCGGCGCGGGCTGGGCGGCGGCGGTGCGGCGCGTGGACGCGTGCGGCGCGCGGGCGGCGCTCACCGTGCACGTGTTCTGTGCGCGCGCCGGACACACGCGCGCCGCCGACATCCTGCGCAACGCCTCCTGCACCTCCGGCCTGCCCGCCGGCTTCCTCGCCATGCTCAGAGGGTACGCACCCCACTGCACTGTGCATTCTCTTCTTCTGGGACTTCACACATTAATGTATACTTGGAAACATGAGCTGAACGCCTTTACTATACTATACTGAGACCTTAAAACTCATGTCTCACAGTGGGTGGCGGCATTTACGTTATATATGTCTATGGGCTCCGGTAACAGTTGACACCAGGTGAGCGGTGAGCTCGTCCATACATCTACGCAATAAATAAAAAATTCAGCCAATTACTCTCCGCTGTACTTGTCGCTGATTTTAAGGGAACATCGATTTCATGAAACTATGCACGCGCCATCTGTTGTACGTTTGAAGATACTGAAATTTTCTCTGGGGCGTCAACCACAACTGTACCAAGTGTCGGCAAAATCGGATCAATTGTTCAGGAAATTAGAAGACAAACGTTGGCCTTTAGATAAATACTCGTGTATATAAAAATCCTGAAACGTTTAGATTTGGAATACAGCGCCATCTATTAGATAACCCTAGCAAGAGCAGTGCTTCGCAGAACCTACCTACCACCGGATTGAAATTGCGACCCACTGAGAAGATCCGGCGAGAAACTCAGTGGGCTGTGTCTGTGGGTTAATTTACTCACCGAGCCCTTCGTCGAAAGCGACGGGCTTGGCGAGGACGGTGACCGGAGTCATATCTGGTACCTCACAATTTGTGATAATAACGATCTTTTTTTGATATGTAATATTTTAAAAATCAGCCTGGGCAAACCAGTAAGGGTCCGCGGCCACGGCGGCTGGACTGGCCACGTGGACACCAGCTACGACACTCCGCATCTGCAGGATCTGCCGCCAGCCAACAACGTCGGGGAGAAAGCGCCCGCTATATACGACGGGAGGGAGCAGGTACTTTCTAGAATTTACACTCAACTATCAGTCAAGCAGTTCATGGGTTGAGGAATATCAATTCATTGCTTTTTGAAGAGAAACTCTAATGCGACTTCCAACAAGGTTGCGTTAAACGTTTAACGCTCCTGGGGAGGGGGAATAGAAAGAGAGAGCGAGAGTGAATGCGCGGCGCTAGAACGCACGCGCGTAGTGTACTGTTACAGGCCAGCGCGAGCGTTAGCAACGAGTAGCGGCCAATGTTTTAATGAAGTACCTATTTAAATATATAATATTATTATATATCGACATCTTTTTTTTTATTGCTTAGATGGGTAGACGAGCTCACAGCCCACCTGGTGTTAAGTGGTTACTGGAGTCCATGGACATCTACAACGTAAATGCGCCACCCACCTTGAGATATAAGTTCTAAGATCCCAGATGATTAATTTGAGACATTAATCAACTGGGATGAAATTAAATGGAATGAGATGAGATGATATGGGATGAAATATAATCTCAGTAAAATGATGGTCATTTACTAAGATTTTTTCAGTGGACTTTTTGGAGGATCCCGAGAAGTCACGTCCAGCGGCTTTGTTTCATTTTTCCACATTTGTGCGCTTTCACAGATATTAAACAGTTAATAAAGCACCATTATTACACATTTAAACCAGAAGAAACATTAAATAGACAAAATAAAACAAATCACACAACTTCACTCCCCGCGTTCCCGCCAAAAAGTGAGTCCCGACAGAGATCCCCGAATAACCAACACTGGTCGCGCCGGTTCAGGTGCTGTACTGGTCGGACTCCACGAGCGAGATAGCGTTCGTGGTCCCGTCGGGGCACGGGCCGAGCGACGCGCCGCCCGACCGCCGCAGCGACAGCATCAAGTCCGACACCGACGGGTCCTGTACATCCTCGAGGTATACTGCTCCATTGATCTCGCTGGCTTCGGTCTAATGCGTCCGCGTCTTAGGTAGGACTGTTATCGAAAGGCAGATAGACGATTGCAAACAGAGCCCTTCCATTAAGGACCCTCAATCGTTTGGAGTAAGGGATGTCATAGCGTTAAGATACATCGGAGATCATTACAGACACGGGCACTGCATTACTAGTGGAGATGCCCTTCGGACTGGTGGTGGCTGAATCGCAAGTCGGCATACGATTTGTGGGCTTAAGTCAACAGAAAATCAGTGTGAGCTATCAATAAAAACACATTAACTAATATAGAATATGTGGTGCCTATACAGTCTTCGATCCAATCGATAGCTAAGCGTATAAAGAAAACCTATTCATTAACAATTCAAAGGAATTATTTGTTTAATTTTCATTTCCTATTTAAAGAGCAGGATTTTAGCGATTTCTCGCCGGATCTTCTCAGTGGGTCGCGTTTCCGATTCGATGGTAGATTCTGCGAAGCACGGCTCTTGTTGGGTTTAGTATTAGCAACGTCCTCAGGTTTGAGAGCCCCGTGAGCTCACCTACTAGTTCGGTGAATCTAGAATAATCCCTTGAGGTTACTAGAATAGGTAGAAAAAAAAATGATTTTGTGAGTTTTAGTGATGATACCATAACTACGATAATCATGTAATATTTAAAATAAAAAAATAGTTTAAAAAAACTGAAAAAATACGCTTTTATAGAAAATCCAACTAAAAAATAAAAAATAAAATTTTAATAAATAAAAAAAAAGCGTGGTGTGCATGGTATCAGTATATTTTATGAACAGATATGAGTAGAAGGGCTATTTTGATAATATCCTGAAAAGCACCCCACGCTTTTTTACAATTAAATAATTTTTTCTTACACTATTTTTAATTCAAAATATTTATGTGTATGTGTGTATTTTGTTAGTTTTTTTAAACTATTATTTATTTTTCATTTTTTAGTTGAATTTCAATTTTTTTTGTCATCGGTCCCCTTAATAAGTATACTTTCGAGTTAATCCGACGTTTTGAAGGGGGTCAAAATCATGTTCAAAGATTCCGTTACATACATACATACGTCTGAAGCTAATAAAAGCGTATTATTAAGTAAACAAAAATCGTTTGCGTTACCAGGAGCTCAGAGAAGGGAGCGGGCTCGTGCTGGGACGTGTCGAGTGAGACGCACGACAAGCTGCGCGCTCTCTCGCTCGACCTGGACAGGCAGCCCGCCGCCGCGCCCGGTACCGCACCCCACAACATGCACATACATACATACTTTCTATTGTTATACTAGCTGACCCGGCAGACTTCGTATTGCCTACGAAGTCGTAGTGCCTACGAAGGCTGCAAACACACACATAATTATATGTTCACGTCCTTACGGATCCATCAGATCCAATAACCTTTGCATTAGATGCCTTCAGCTCTAATACTAGGGGCAGGCTTAGGGACCCCGGTAACCGTACTCGTCGAACTCGACAAAGAGGTCGACGTGCAACCTAACCCATGCATCAGCCCGCTGAGTTTCTCGCCGGATCTTCTCAGCGGGTCGCGATTCCGATCCGGTAGTAGATTCATTCGCGAAACAATTGCTCTTGAGTTGTTAGGTCTCCTTCGGAGGCGCTCGGGCAGTTGTTAGCAAATCCCACCCCTCTTGGCTGAGCCTTTGCTCGCCCACCTGTCCTGGTGAAACTGGAAAGGCCTTCGGGCCACCAGTAAACTTTCAATCATAAAAAAAAAAAAAAAAATAATTATATGTTACACATCGAAGGAAAAACAAAATTGTTATTTTTATTCAATTCCGAACATTTTCATATTTATCTACCTTTTAAGCCTTCTCTGGACTTCCACAAGTAATTGAAGACCAAAATTAGCCAAATCGGTCCAGTCGTTCTCGAACTTCAGCGAGACTAACGAAAAGCAATTCATTTTTATATATCGACGCTTAAAAGGCAAACGAGATTTAGCGACAATGCGTGAACTTTACAGTAGACTAATTTAAAGTTGAAATACCTGAAGAAAATTTTTTTTTAACGGATCTAGTTGTAGTAAAATCTAGCTAGTAGCTGTAAGATTGAAATGATTTTAATTGACCTAGAAATATATATTTTTTGCGCATCGAATATGGTTATTGCCTATCATTTATGTACAAACTTTTTCACTGGTGGTAGGACCTCTTGTGAGTCCGCGCGGGTAGGAACCACCACCCTGCCTATTTCCGCCGTGAAGCAGTAATGCGTTTCGGTTCGAAGGGTGAGGTTGTAACTATACTGAGACCTTAGAATTTATATCTCAAGATGGGTGGCACATTTACGTTGTAGATGTCTATGAGCTCCAGTAACCACTTAACATCAAGTGGGCTGTGAGCTCGTCCATCCATCTAAGCAATAAAAAAAATTTAATGTCGCTTAGTCACGTTTGCCTTTCAAGCGTCAAGGTTTCAATGAACACAACACAAACGCTACCATACTTCTTGTAATAATAAACACCCTACCTATTTCTGCCGTGAAGCAGTAACGCGTTTCGGTTTGAAGGGCGGGACAGCCGTTGTACTATTAAAAGTGAGACCTTACAACTCATATCTCAAAGTGGGTGGCGGCATTTACGTTGTAGATGTCTATGGGCTCCGGTAACCATTTAACATCAGGTAGGTCGTGAGCTCATCTAAGCAGTAAAAAAAATAAAAAATAAAAAGGAAATGGAGTGAACAGTCACCCATCTTCAGACATAAGTTGTAAGGTCGCACTTTTAATAGTACAACGGCTGTCCCGCCCTTCAAACCGAAACGCGTTACTGCTTCACGACAGAAGTAGGCGGGGCGGTGGTACCTACCCGTGCGGACTCACAAGAGGTCCTACCACTAGTAATTACGCAATTTATAATTTTGCGGGTTTCATTTTTATTACACGATGTTATTCCTTCACCGTGGAAGTCAGTCGTGGACACCGGTGCATCCCTAGATCTCATACACATTCCTTATTCTGAGCTTAATGATTGATGAAAATAAAGAAATTGGAATTGTATTTCAGGTAGTGGACGACGTAACAGAGATTTTACTACGAAAATACTAATTATATGGCTCGAAGACTTCGAGGATCAATTGAATCTACCGATCGGTAAGAATTGGGTTCTCCAATAAGGGGAATCCCCGACTTTGTTGCTACATACTAAATAATCTTATATTTCATTTTGAGAACTGGCAGTCTGTGTTTTGTTCTTAGCTAATGTAATTAATAAAGTTTTTACTCGGTTCGTTTTTAACATTTTGGAAAGTAAAGGGAAAAGTTGAAAAAAATTAATGATCACCAATTTTTTATAAGTAAGTGCACAATATATTCAATTTGGGATATTTAAAAAAATCAAATTGTAAAGTTTACAACTTAAAGTTAGATAATGTTTGATAGATCAAAAAGCAAAAAATTAAGGCAAACATTTTAAGTCCCAGTTTAGACAGTGAGAGCATAATATCGAATAGTGACGTCACTGTTGAAACGTGCAATATAAATGTAAATGTCTTGTACAGAGGAGCTGCTGGGCTACTGCGAGACGGGCGTGTGGTGGCGGCGCGAGGAGGTGTGCGTGGTGTGCGCGTGCGAGGCGCGCAGCGGGCTGGTGCGCGTGTCCGCCGCCGCCGCGCTGCTGGCGCCGCGCCTGCTGCCCCACGTGCTGCGCCAGCAGGCCCTCGCGCACGCGCGTCTGCACACCGACCTGTCAGTACCCCACGCACCGACATTTTTTTACGATTGGAATTTTTTCTGGAAGCCTTTCCAGTTTCACCAGGACAGGCTCAGCCAGGAGGGGTGAGATTTGCTAACAGCTGCCCGAGCGCCTCCGAAGACCTAAGAGTTCAAGAGCAGCTGCTTTGCGATTGAATCTACTACCGGATCGAAATCGCGACTCACTGCGAAGATCCGACGAGGAACTCAGCGGGCTGATGCAAGGGTTATGCTTCGGCAGTACATATACTAAAATTGTAACGATACAGAGAAGATTAGCATGGCTTCTGCGCACCTTAACTCTCGGGACAGTCAGACATACACAAATACATCCGGAACCTCAACGTGGTGTCTCAAATCGGCTACTCGTTGTGATTTCTATGGGCATAACTACATAGCACCAAGTGGGCTGTAAGCTATGTAAAAGAAATGCGGATAGGACAGTGGTACCTACCCGCGCCGGCGTAATATAGCATAACACCGGTGTGTTAACGTTCTCGATAGCGTAAAAGTTAACTCAAATTTGTATGCAGTTGGAACAACGCCCCTAACGGCAAACGTAGGCAAACGTTCCAACTCTATACAAATAAAAGTTAACTTTTACGCTATCGAGAACGTTAAAAATCTCTCACTGAGCACACAGTACAAATGAGTTTTAACTCAACTTACTATTTCATTTCGGACATCCAATACACGTTGTGTTTGTCATCGTTTGTGCTAGAAGGTTGAAGGTTGGTCTCTCGGCGCAGGTACCAGCCGCCTCACGTGAGACGGCGCCACCTCATACAGGAGCTGGCGCAGCAGTTCCGCCAGGACCTCACCGAGCCCGAGCTGCTGGAGTCGCTGTTCAAGAGTCCGTAGTCGCATCGGCTGGACCCTCGCACCGTATCAATACTTACCAAAGCTAAAACTTCAATACTTACGCCAGTTTGGGAACCACATCTATTCTAAGAGAATTCTTCATTAATACTACGACTAGCATGTAGGTCACCGGTGCCCTACGCGGCCCACTCAAGTAATTATGTCAATTTTTGTCACTAGACTTGTCTTGTTTTTGTCACTTGTCTGCCGTGAAGCAGTAATGCGTTTCGGTTTGAAGGGCGGGGCAGCCGTTGTAACTATACTGTGATCTTAGAACTTATATCCCAAGGTGGGTGGCGCATTTACGTTGTAGATATCCATGGGCTCCAGTAACCACTTAACACCAGGTGGGCTCTGAGATCGTCCACCCATCTAAGCAATAAAAAAAATAAAGCGTCTGTATTACCTAATTTGGTCTTCTTTTATTTGTTAATATAATATATTTTAGTCTTTATTATAATACTTAATTAGATTCATCCCCAGTATCTTCGGATTCGTTTTCCTCAAAGTCTACTAGATATTCCGGCGCCTTAGTAACGTATAAATCGAGATAGTCACTTGAGTGCGCCGCGTAGGTCACCGGTGCCCTACGTGGCAAACAAAGAGTTAATTAAGTAGTTCGAAATGTCCTCTTTAATATATTATTACATCGGATAGTTCGTATTTATTCTTCTTGCCTTTTTATCATTGGGCGGCGTCGATACGGGATGTGCGCAAACTTGCAAGTTCATTTTGCTAAAAGATAAAGGAGCTATTGATGGCGTTAGTGGCAAAAAAATCGCTTGAAGCCAACCCTTTGCGTTAGGGGATAGTTACAATTCGTTCGAACAGGGATCGTAATGGCGCTGTAATGTGTCAACATTATACCGCGCTGCCCGACCTCGACGCAGTCCAGGAATAAAACAGTTCGAAGACGGCGAAGCAATAATACTAGTTGAACTCAATGTTCACCAAACAAAAACCATATCGAGGGGAGAAAGGCTATTTAGTTTGAGTTTACTGGTGGTAGGACCTCTTGTGAGTCCGCGCGGGTAGGTACCACCACTCTGCCTATTTCGCGAAGCAGTAATGCGTTTCGGTTTGAAGGGCGGGGCAGCCGTTGTACTGTTAAAAGTGAAACCTTACAACACATGTCTCGAGGTAGGTGGCGGCATTTACGTTGTAAATGTCTATGGGCTCCGGTAACTACTTAACATCAGGTGGCCCGTGAGCTCGTCTACCCACATAAGCAATAGAAAAAAGGATTGTGTGGTTTTATGAAACCACGGTAAAAGTGAAACTTTTTTTCACATTATGTTACACATTATAGATTATATATTTAACTCTGACAAACAACATTTACATTAAACACTGACAAAAACAAACAAAATAGCGTAGAGCACTGGCACAAATGAGTAATAGTCTATACACTACACGGTCAGCCGCTGCGAACTATAGGCGCCGCCATATTGGCCTTGGCTGCTCTGACGAGCGCCTTTCACTTTATCCCTACTCCGCGGCCGACCGTCACGCGACATGCGCGACACACAGACGAAAAAGTTTGAGACGATGTAATAAAATAAAAAAGCGACTTTTTGCTACTTTACAGATAAGCCATTCAAAGTATAAAATTTGGAATAAATATCATAACAAAAAACTTCTTCAGTTATTTGAATAGGGTAAACTTTAATTGAAGTTCAATTAAAAACATCGAATTGTTGATACTGAAACCAAAAACAGACCTTTATTTATTTAATTTTTTTTATTGCCTATATGTATGGACGAACTCACAGCCCACCTGGTGGTAAGTGGTTACTAGAACCCATAGACATCTACAACGTAAATGCGCCACACACCTTGAGGTATAAGTTCTAAGGTCTCAGTATAGTAACAACGGCTGCCCCACCCTTCAAACCGAAACGCATTACTGCTTCACGGCAGAAATAGGCAGGGTGGTGGTACCCACCCGCGCGGACTCACACGAGGTCCTACCAGACCTTGGACCAGTGGACCTTTAGTTCCAAAGATAAATGTCGCGTACCTACCAAGCGAAATGTCGCTTAAACCGAATTTCTTTCCACCGCTCGATATGAACTTTCATTAAATCATTACACACTAGTTGCAGCATTTATCTCTATCAAACTGTTTAATTTCAAGACTGATCGTTTGAATATTTTTGCAATTGTTCATAAATTTTATCACGAATGTACTTATTATTTATTTAATTAAAAGTAAATGTCTTATTTAATTTCGTTGTTTTATTTCGTTTTCCAACACCCGTATTCTGAACATTACCTTAGAACTTCCACGTCTCCTCTGAACCAAATATACAAATAGTCAAATAAGTTTGAAGTCGTCGTGGCCTAAATGATAAGACGTCCGGTGCATTCGTATGTAGCGATGCACCGGTGTTCGAATCCCGCAAACATTATGCAAAACCATAAAGTATTTTTTTACGATTTAGATAGATGAGTAAGATAAGATAATAAGATAATAACTCTTTATTTATATAACACCTTAATATGTACACAGTAAAGTAATAAAACAAAAGTCGGTATATAAATCGGCGGCCTTATCGCTGAAAGCGATCTCTTCCACGCAACCTTGCAGGGAGAGGAATAAGTTAACTGGACGGTGCTATATCTTAATAAACTTACATAAAAATATATACTTAAATACACATGTGAAAAATAAATACCTACCATATAAGATAAACTTACATACGATTAAATACAAATAAATACTAAAAATATACAAGATAAAATAAAAAGAAGTAGGAACTTATACAGTTATATCATAGAAGCAAAGTAGTGCGATTTCAATCTGGACTTGAAAACTTCCGGCGAGGAAGATTGTTTAACGCTTAAGGGTAACGCATTCCATAAACGGACAGCTTCAACCGCAAAGGAATGGTCATAAAATGACGTCCCGTGAGCCGGAAACTTCAGCATTAAATTCTCCGTTGACCTGAGTGAATGAGAGCTTGCAGTATGTAGGAAATCAAAACGCTCCTGAAGGTAGCGCGGGGACGAGGAATTAAACAGGACACTGTAAAGAAGAGACAATATATGAACATTCCGGCGATAACGAATAGGAAGCCACTTGAGCTTAACTCGATACTCAGAGACGTGGTCATATTTGCGTAAACCAAATATAAACCTTATGATAAAATTTTGAAGCCGCTCAAGTTTATTTAGCTGGGCCTCGGTTAGATCAAGNTTTTTTTTTTTTTTTTTTTTTTTTTTTTTTTTTTTTTTTTTTTTTTTTTTCACTCCACATTATAATTTTTCATAAAAATAAGTATTTAACTTAAAATAAGATATGACTTAATGGACTTAGTTACAAGGTCACAAAATCCCCTAAAAAAAATTATTACCTATTCGTCAATAACTAAATAGGTAGGTATGACCAAAACCCCAAAGCGCAAGACATTGTCCATTGAAAACGGCGTTGGATAGGACAGACTGTACAGCGCAGCGGAGTCAACGCAGCATCAATCACGTTTGAGTGGCAGCCGCGTGGCAGGAGAAGACCTGTGTGCTTAGTGTGACTTTTTTAACGTTCTCGATAACGTAAAAGTTAATTGACATTTGTATGGAGTCGGAACGTTTGCTTACGTTTGCCGCTAGGGGCGCTGTTCCAACTGCATATAAATTTAAGTTGTACGCAATCAAGAACGTTACAAAACCCGCACTAAGCACACTGGTCGCCCTGTACACACTTGACGACACACAGTGGACTGCCGACGTGATCTGGGGTGATGTCAAGGAGCCAGCGCTGGACAGGGTCAAGTGACAACTTGTGAGGGCCCTATGTAGCAGCGGGGTACCTTAAGACTACAACAACAACAACATTGACGAACATTAGTGTTTGACATTAAATTACAACAGAATTTAAATTAAAAAGATGGATTTTGATATGTGATAATGACATTTACGCAATATCGATGTAGTCCAAGTCGAGAAATACATAATGCAACTTTTTACTTTTTGAAGAAAATATTAAATACGTGTAGGTGCCTATCTGTTTTTGTTCAATTCAATTTAAAGGAAATTATTTTGAAATTTAATACTTTCCTACTTCTATTATATTACTACATCATTGGCAATTTGATGATTTTTAAGGGATTATATTAAGCTTGTTCAACTAAATAACATTGAAATGATTATGTCAATTTATCATAGTAAGCACCGTAATTGCTTAACTTTGTCTTTTTTGTTTTTAATGTGTGTCTCTTAGTATCTTCGAATTCGTCTTTCCTAGAGTACTAGATATTCCGGCGCCTTAGTAAGAAGATCGAAGACAGAAATCGACATAATTACTTTAGTGCCCCACGTAGGACACCGCTGACCCACACGACAATCAACGTGTCAAATACCCTTTCATCCAAAATGTCCAATTATGTATTTCTAAGTTATTGGCGACTTTAATTGATGTGTTTTAATCTCGAACACAATTTCCAGTTGTATTTCTGAGTCTATACATGTAATTAAATGCAATAACCATAAAGTATTTTTTTACGATTTAGGTAAATTAGATTTCAAAGTAAAAAGCTAAACCTTTTTGCACAAAATATAATTTTACGCAGTGATGTTCTAATTTCTAAATTGACACACTAAACGTAGCTCTTTGGGAATGTTGATCAAATTTACAATAAAACGATATTGTTCGTTTTTTTTCTAAATACTTATATTAGATTTTTTGGTATTTCTTATATATAAAATAATAATTTAAAAAAAATTAAATTTACGTGGTAACTGTCATGTTGATATGCCAAGTGGCTGAGTCAAATTCTGAGGGAACGAAGGGCAGTAACTATGAAAATGTAGCAAATAGCAGCTCCAGTGAGTACAAGATAGCTAACGATATGTACGAAATAATGATGAGAAATCAGTTCGATATCCATGGTAAGTTAAATGTGTATAAGTATGTTGGAAGAAACAAGTATGGTGATAGCATATCGCTTGTATACATAGCTTCGGATTGGTGTTTTTATATATATGTTACGGTAAATGTACACTCTTGGGAAATGTACACTTTTACCGGTAAATGTGCACATTAGCCAAAAACTTAGGTATATGTGAACTGAATATAATGTATATGTACATTTCCCGGCAAATGTGTACTCTTGCCTTCAAGTTTTGGTAAATGTATATTCTTAGCTTCATGTTTTAAGAAAAGTTGGAATACAAATAAATTAATAATGTTGTTGCCGTAAAAAAATATTTATTTAAATAAAGATAATACAAAAGGCTTTAATAATAATGAAAATATTTTTTTATTAAAAAATGCAAATGACAAAACATGCTTTTCTTTCCATATGTCACCTATTTTATATAATATGTCGTAGGTTAGGTTAGGTTAAGCTGTAGTGGTACATTTCCGTTAAGTTGTAGTGGTACATTTCCCTTCTTTGAAATTGTAAATGTTAGTTGAACGCACATTACCCTAACGAGGAGGCGAATGTGCACATTTTCCGGAAAATGTGTACATTTGCCGCAATATCTACTTTTACCGTAACATATATATCGTTCCAATGTGAACTTAAGAACATTAACTATGTTCTTTACAATCTCAGCGAAGTCATCGTGGCCTAAGCGATAAGACGTCCGGTGCATTCGTATCTAGCGATGCACCGGTGTTCGAATCTCAGGCGGGTACCAATTTTTCTAATGAAATATGTACTCAACAAATGTTCACGATTGACTTCCACGGTGAAGGAATAATAACATCGTGTATTAAAAATCAAACCCGCAAAATTATGATTTGCGTAATTACTGGTGGTAGGACCTCTTGTGAGTCCGCGTGGGTAGGTACCACCACCCTGCCTATTACTGCCGTGAAGCAGTAATGCGTTTCGGTTTGAAGGGTGGGGCAGCCGTTGTAACTATACTGAGACCCTTAGAACTTATATCTCAAGGTGGGTGGCGCATTTACGTTGTAGATGTCTATGGGCTCCAGTAACCACTTAACACCAGGTGGGCTGTGAGTTCGTCCACCCATCTAAGAAATAACAAAAAATAAAAATATATCTTCTGGAGTCGTTCGAGGCTTAGAAGTTGCCCGGTGTCTTCGAATCGATCAATACGACGATACATATTGCGTTTCAAATAACGCGGGCTAAGCGAACGCATACCAAAAACGTAACAATTCGTTCAATTTTGTCATGAATTAATAGAAACCCTAATTTTTTGTCATTTGGCGTAGTGGCTAGCGGTAGGTACCGTACCTTGTGAATCCGTACAAGTTCGCATTTTACCTGCTGCTGCAGAGAAGCTGCCATAAGTTTACAAATGAGTTCTAATGAGGCAATACTTACTTAATATCGTCTAATAAAAATCAAAGCCGCAAAAAGTTACGTAATTACTGACGATAGGACGTCGTGTGAACTCGTATGTGTAGGGTACCTACTTCCTATTACTATCACGAAAACACGGGTATTTTTTAATTATTTATTGCTTAAATGGTTGGACGAGCTCACAGCCGACCTGCTATTAAGTGGTTACTACAGCTCATAGACAACTACAACATAAATGCGCCACCCACCTTGAGAAATGAGTTCTAAGGTCTTAGCATAGTTACAACGGCTGCCCCACCCTTCAAACCGAAACGGATTACTGCTTCACGGCAGAAATAGGCAGGTATAAATAATAGGAAGACCGTTATAGTAGGTACACAATTAAGATCTCATGTCTCCAGGTGGGTTGCCGTCTATGAGCTCGAGTATTTAAATAATAATAAAATGATAATGAAAATTTCGTAGGTGACTATCCACACAGAGATCTAGTAATATTATACAAGAACATTGACGTGAATACACCCAATTTCGAGAATAATGTTTTAAGACAAAAATCAAATCAGCGGGTTGAAACCGTCGTACATAACGACGATTTAGATACAGATGACTCGGAAATCAGTGAAATCAACAGTGCCGAAGATCTGCATAACGTATTTATGGCTAATAAAGAAAGGATAGACTTGCTAAACAATACAGCTCTGGATACAAGATTGTGCCACAAACATTCTGATATAGAAATACAGTCTTCGCTTGTCTCTCCTACTGATAGGCAGTTTGCCTTTCGAGATCCCTTCATAAAAGAGCAATTAAAAAACTTTAGTTTAAACTGTGAGGCTACAGAAAGCTCTATTTTACCCGCAACACTACTTGACTACATTTGTTGTAAGCGTCTTGAAGACAATTACAACTTTTATATGGACAACATAATTCGGTACGTGCAACATACAATAGAACAATTAAAACGAATCAGTAATGGAGACTATTTAACTGACAGAGCGAAAGAGAAATGGCGCAATGTGGATGACACTTCAAAGAACGATGAGAATAATAATATGAAAGTCCTAGCGACGTCAACGAGTATTCCTTTAAGGGTCGAGCGTAAAGCTTGCGGAAGTATGTCAAGTTGGGACGATATAGTTCACTCAGAGGTCGACGTGCGCTCTCTATCTAAAATTCTGGAAAAAAAAATCGTTGTTGAAATACCAAAAATTATATGTGGCTCCTTTAAGATTATTAGTAAAACTTGTGCAAATAACTTGTTTATTAGCTGCAACAAACAATCACAATTTCTTGAAGAAGAAGACTCAAGGGTGGACGTGGTACTTAAATTAGAGAGATCGAAATCCGGCCAAGTAATAAGTAATATAAATTCAATTATGCTCCTGCAAATCCCTAAATTCCCAGGTAATTAAAGCCAAAAGTACTTACTCGTTTAAAGAAGAAGACCGTTAAGTAATAAATTTATACTATATTCTTAATGTTACAGAAACATTGGCTTTGACTTACAATAAAAAGGACACGCTTGAATACAAATCACACCACGACGCTCCGAAAGTTGTTGAAGTGGACCAAGTTTTGAATACAGATTGTGAAAATATTGAAAATTCTCGGGAAACTATTGAATCCTCGGATATTGAAAATGAAGATCTAAGTAACGATACTCGATACAGTAAGAATACAAACGATATGAGCGATTCAACTTCAATTTACAGTTCTGTTACCCAATCTATAAGTGATGTGTCTTACAACAAACCATCGACATCTACGAAATCATCTCATAGCTTTTTAATACCTAAAGAATTAATGATATCAATGCGAAATTTGGATATTCAGAGTTTGGCAGAAGAGACCGGAGAAGAATTCCCATCAGATTTTAATTCGACGAATATTAACAAGAAAAGATCCCCAACAAGAGTTAGAATAAAATCGCCTTATGAAAATAAATCTTATGTACTGGAAGAAAAGAAACGTAAACGTTTGCTAGAAATTAGAGAAAAGCGGGAAAAACGGAAAATGGCGATGGGAGAGGGTTGTAAAGTCAATAAGCACAAATACAGTAAAGGTGCTATTATGCCACAGCCATCGAACTCTGTAACTAAACTGTCAATTACTAATAAGTCTTTTTATAACTCTATTTATGGCCATGCTGTCGTATTAGAAAACAATCAACAAAAAGGAAAAAATCTAAAATCATCCCCAAATAACTCCATTTCTAATATTCCCCTTGGTCGTCTTGGTGAGGAACAAGAAATTGCCTTGTTGAGTTCTGAAAGGAATACAAAAAAGTATATAAATAGAAGTTTTTATTTAGACGATACTGAAACTGAAATGATGTACGCGGATACTAAAGCAAAGAACGGAGATGAAAACGAGACAAATTCAACTTATAATACGATTGCCCTTACTAATTTTGTTACAAACTTTAATGTGCTATCAGAAACGAACCTATCTTGTTCATCTATTCCAAATGTAGCAGAAAAATCTGATTCTAGTTATAAGAGCAAAATAAACCAGTAAGTACACAATTTCAACTTTGAAAAATATTTAAGACAAGGACCTTATTTTAAAACCGTTTACTTCTCTTTAGGAACAAGGATTCATTGATCGCACCTCGAAACAATATACCTGTAAAAGATATTCAGATTAAAAATGATGAAGTTAATGCCGTTCCAACAAATAGTCCAAACAGTGTGCATGGATGTGTCGCGGATAGAAAGAAGAGCTCTCCGACATTAGAATGCAGAAGAAGCATTGATAAAATTTACGATTTAATACCAAAGCTAAGCAAAGAGACATCTGAGAAAAAAATTGACGTTTTACTACGAAATGGTAAAAGCGAAAGCTCTACTTTTCAAGAGAGTGACAGTGGAACGAGTCTAAAACATCAAATCACGTCGTCCAATCCTAGCAGTTATAGCCTCCCCAAAAATGAAATTGAAATGGAAATAAAATCACATAAGAACTCTGAGGCTATAATCCCGAGGGTCGTAATAAATTCAAAATCACAACTGCCGAAATATGAGGGAGAAAAATGCAAAAAAAATAAAAAAGTTGTCATCAACCCCGTTTCTACAGTGACAGATAATCCATTAAAAGCAATTTCGCAATTGTTACACGAAATCGAAAACATACAAATAACAAATAAAGATAAAACTGAAACGAAGATGAAGAAGCAGGAGCTAGCGAATCTCAACGTAAAGAACAACGTTCGACAAACTGCCCTCAAGGGACGATCTCGGATTGACCAGCCTATAAAGGTATCGCCTCAACAGAACAGCACTGATAAAGTTGTCAAAGTACAAACTCCAGCGTCAGCATCACGAAGACCTAAACCTCTAACTGAGCTATCAAAAAATCAACCACAAGCTCTTGCAATGGATAAAGGAAAAATTGAGAACTCAGCTAAAAAGAAATTGGTCGATATTATTGATGAAGCCAAAGAAGCTCGAGGTGAAGCCGTTCGAGGTCCACCGAAATTCAACTCGAGATTGAACACTCTTGCTCAACCTAAAAAGTCGTACATACAAGCACATAACGAGGAATACAATACTAAATATGGAAGAAATATAACGGGGGATAGGTTGCACAGATTGGCGGCCACACCAAACGGTACCAAAGAGAGAATACATTCTGCAAATTTGAAGAACAAACCAAGATGTGCAAACATTGAAGGGACTTTATCAGTAGCCGCAAAGGCTCCTTCGGTACCACCTTTAGGTCTGTAAAGGTGAATTATCAAATATGCTTGATAATTTTGTCATTAATATCCTATTGTTGATAATTTGTGTCGTATTTAAGCAGGTCAAACTGTTAGAGCGCGACGATCTACAAGTTGTAGCCCAGAAAATATAGCTCTCCGACAAAATACACATCACAACACACAAGCTTTTCACATAGTCACCGGAAATAAAACTACGTAAGTTTTTAATTACTCAAATACATTAGAAGAAAACATTTCAAAGCCACTATGCCGCTAATACATGGTATGTTATTGCTTAAATTTAAATCTCGCTTAAATTATTTGACAGGAAGAAAATGGGAGACGTCGAATCATACATACATACACATTTTAGAAATTATACCAGAAAATCAGCAACGAAACCGATGATAGCCGAACAAAGATCGCGCGTTCCTCTTGTACCAAAAGACATAGATTTAGGTATGCTCTCTAAGTTTGTTATATATTATGCACAAACCTGCTGCAGGGCAAAGGCTCTAGTTCTCTGTTGATGATGTTTCCATTCGGAATTGCCAATTGTGACAGAACTGTAAACAGTCAAATAGAGGTTTTGATCATTACTGTTATTGACAATGTTATGTGTGTGACTTCAAAAGGCTTCGTCTCAAAATACATTCCTATCTTGTAACTTTTCTTTTGCAGATTCACTAACATCAATGAATAGTCTTGAAGAATCTTCCAAATTGGGTAGTAAGCTCCATCATTTGATTGATGGTATGCTCCATAATTCACCACCAGCCCTTTCCGTCCTCTCTGAAGGTCTAGAGACAAGTTTTATGTCAAAGTCTGATGTTATTTCGTACAATGAGAATAAGGCCATGGTTGACGAAAAAACTTCCTTAGGCTCAGACTACCCCATAGGAGTATTGGAAGATACCAATATTGTTACCGCTGTTGAAAAGGTAGAGAAAAAAGATATTGCTGAAGCTTTTTATACAGTTGAACCGATCAATTCCGGAACACAAGTAGATCTGCTAGAAAAAGAATTGTATAAGCAAATATCTAGCGGAACGTTTAAAAAGAATTTGCGATTGAAGAAACTGACACTAAGTCCCAAACAATCTTTGAAACAAATGATCGTTTTACAAAGCGGTGACGATGGATCACTGGGAGCGGAATCTTTACTTTCCCAATCATTAAAAATGAAAAGTACTGATAAGTCAATCGATTTAAAACTGAAGCCAGTGCTATCAAAATTACAAATAGATTGGGATTGTTTAAGATTTCCCATGAAAATCACAACCATTGGATATGCTTTACCCATATTCAATCATCAACAGTTTTGTTCTGAATTAAAACAGTCTAAATTTATAAAAGGTTGCAGAGAAGCAAAGATTGATAGCATTGTTCGGTTCGATAGTCGGCAGCTTAGTATAGTACAAGGAGCAAACCATCAGAATTTAAAACATCATTGCGATTCCTTAAGCAAGCTTACTGAAAATAATACGCTAATGGATGCTGTAAATCTACACTGTCATGATCGAGACAAAGAAACTTTGCCTGTGTCTTCTGAAGAAATTGAAGATTTATCGAAACGAGATAAAGAACAAATGAAAAATTACATTGATAAAAATATCACATGTCATGCTGTTCAACCATCTTCATCTGTAATACCATTGAATACCTTGACCATAAATAAATTATCTGACGGTAATAATGATACGGAAAAAGCGACTAAGACATCACCTGAAAGAGAAATCAGAGAAGGTGCATCTACAGAAACTGGTATAGTAGATAATACATCATCTCTCGATATATTAGTGAATCTCTTGAATGAGATACAAAAAATTTCTGAATGTCAAACTCACATGACCAAAGATAATAGAGAACATGAATCGAAGGAGTCCGTGAAGAAAACAGATATATCAAACCAACAGGGCTGCGACAAATATTTTGGTAAACAATCTGCTCTGACTAGATTCGTACATCCAAGAGATGTAAAATCGCAACCCAGTATTTACACTTTTTATCTTAATACTGGTAAGTCAGATCGAGACACTGATGATCAAGGTGTCATGGGCGGCGTTGTGCCAAAATCTAATAATAAAAATGACAAAGGTATTATTGTTGATGTAAAGGAATATTGCACTACTTCGCGGCTTACAGACGCTCCATCAATATTTCGCATAGCAACCGATCACGGTACTAACATTACTGAATCCTTCTTTGACATGTTCAGCCAGTCCTCTAATCATTCTTTAATATCTTTTAAAAACAAAGCTGATTCCCAGAAACACATATTTCGAATTCCACTTTCGGATAATACGTGTATAACAACAAACCGAAAAATAAATTCAGTACAACGTAAAAATAAATTGAATCTGAATTTGATTACTAAATGTAATGAATTTAAAATGAATGAAAATACTTCAGTGAGGCAATTAAAAAGTGAAAGCAAAGGGCATAGTGAATTGTTAACAGAAAACGCGATGATGGAATTTGATCCGATGATTAAAATGAAAAGAGATATTTTGGTTACATTTTATTCCATTTTAGCAATTACTGTTTTCGCAGCTCTTTCGTTACCAGAAGTACTAAATGTATAGTAGTTAGCTATGATGCGAGCATTCAGAATGTATTTATTTTATTCATGTATTTATTTTAATTTATTGGAGTAATTCAAGTATTAAAATTATAACCGAAATTTAGTTTTATTGTTATATCTAATGACAAGCATAACTTATGTACGAGCTATGCACACTAAACCTCCGTCCTAAATTGCAATTTAAAAAAACAATAACGTTTAAAGATAGAAAAGATAAACATCCGCCACATGCTACTGAGTACATACTGTTTTAATTTTTTAATGTTAATGTTTGGATGTTTGTTTGTTTTTTAGTAAAGTTGTTAAAAATTGCTTTAAAGCTCTATACATACACTTAATTTGCGCTTTCGGTTCAGAATATATTTTAGCGCGCGATAAAGTTGCGAGCACACAATTTAATTTACTGCGATTTTATTTTTGTTTGTTTTTGACTATTGAGACTCTATTTAAAAAAATACTAGATTTTACCTATGGTTTGACTAGATTTAATGTGGAAAAATCTAGCCTACGGGATCTGTTGACTAGTAGGACTTAAAATTAAATTTCGCGTTTCGTACTTGCATACATGTTTACTGCGAAGAGGGGCCCTTGATGGCATCGCATATCCAAGGAGTTTACACGAGTATTGGAATTGATTGATGATATTGAGGTGGATTTTTCGGGCGATGCCCATTATCGGAGTAATTTAGCTTAAAAAATGTCTGCAAGTCTTCAACAAAGCGAAGTGATACTTCAAGTCTAACATTCACAAACCAAAATTTCGGCCTCATGTGGAATGGTGATTCGTTCGCTGTTTCGCTTCGAAAAGTTCCGATTACTGACTGACTGCGTGGCGTTGGGACTTCGTGTACTTTTCCCGCCTATGGTCAGCGCTCCCATAACCAGTTAGTTCCATTTCCATACTCAATACAGAAGAAGTCTTCCTCCCGATCCACTAACGGTGCTTTTAGGTACTTCAAGCACCGGTCACCGTTCTCGTCGAACCTGTCGCTTGCGACGAAGGGCTCGACGAGTAAATTAACCCTCAGACACAGCCCACTGAGTTTCTCGCCGGATCTTCTTAGTGGGTCGCGTTTCCGATCCGGTGATAAATTCTGCGAAGCACGGCTTATGCTAGGGTTCGTGTTAGCAACGTCGTCAGGTTTAAGCCCCGTGAGCTCACCTACTAGTTAAGGTTACGCTGGAATAGCCTCTCAAGGCTACCAGCTTAGGTAGGAAAAAAAAAGCTCTACGGATTATTGATAACCCCATTCTCGCGGTTCTCTTGGACTCTTTGGATCTACCGAGAGACGTCGTTTCTCTGTGTTTTGTACCGTATTTCCCATAGGGAGGCCTCCAAGGCACTCTTTGAGATGATCACATAATCTCGTTTTTACTAACGCACGGCCCGCCGTCGGAGCAGAGTTTATCCAAATTACCTTGAATCACTGCATTCATGCACAGGGCGTTTCCAGAGATCTTCTCTGCCACGTACCATCCGGATTTGGAATTAATTCCCCTCCACGATGTTTCCCGCGCACTATGACGTGTCCTTCTTCAAACCAGGCTTGCGAGAATACTCAGCGGTAAACAGCGCTTTTGGTCTGCCCCTAGCTTTACTCACGTCCATGGACAATGCTAGCCATTCATCATTAGGTGGAGCCATAGATTATACACTTAATATATTAGAGAGGTGGAGCCATACACTCGCCTGCGTACAAAGATAATAATAAAAAAAGAAAAAAAAATGTCTGATGCCTCTCCACCTAATGCCTGGCCACCGAACGAATTAAAAATAAAAAGTATGGAGGGTAGAGGTAAGGAGAACCGTCTCTGTTGTGAAAAAGTGTCCGATAAAATCTGCTAAATAACGGTGGCGCTACAGTAACGGCCGGGTAAATTTAAAAAAGGCGCTGAAAGTTATTATTAGAATAAAATAGAGAAATAAAAAAGGACGAAAGAACTGTAAGCACTACAAAATCACAAAAAGTATTTTATTTAAACCTGATAAGAAAATGCAATCGATGTCTCCACGTTTTATCACAGCAATAATTTTAGTTTATATTGACCAAATTAGTTTGGGCTACGTAAACATGTGAGGTCTTGTATAATAAATACACTGTCACTAACTACTCTAGTCATTAAATTTATTAAATTTTCTAACTCAGCATACTTCAATCAGTTAACAACTGCTCAATTCATATCATCCAGCGCAATTCTGGAGGATTTTTGAACTGTTATTTACTTAGTACTGGAAGTGGGACACTTTTTCAACTGTCTCCCATATGAGACGGTTCTCCTTACCTCTACCCTCCATAATATAAAGCTAACAAATGTTAAGTGTATAGGTTGAATTAAATTGTACCAAAAACATCGTTATCTTTTTTTTATTGCTTAGATGGGTGGACGAGCTCACAGCCCACCTGTTGTTTAGTGGTTACTAGAGCCCATAGACATCTACAACGCGAATACGGCACCCACCTTGAGATATAATTTCTAAGGTCTTAAGTATAGTTTACAAGGGCTGCCCCATCCTTCAAACCGAAACGCATTACTGCTTCACGGCAGAAATAGGCAGGGTGGTGGTACCTACCCGCGCGGACTCACAAAATGTCCTACCACCAGTAATTATAATTATAATTTTGCGAGTTTGATTTGTATTACACGATGCTATTCTTTCACCGTGGAAGTCAATCGTGAACATTTGTTGAGTACGAACTTCATTAGAAAAATTTGTACCCGGCCTGGGGTTCGAACACCCTGGTGTGTTTCCCCCTGGGGTGTTTCGCTCAACACGAATGCACCGGACGTCTTATCCTTTAGGCCACCACGACTTTGGCAGGGATGCAAGGCGATGTCGTGTGAATTGTTTTAAATTTTTATTTTGCGTTTCCTATCGGTCGTTTATTAGCCGTTTGACACCTATGAACTTATGCACAATTAAGGGAAAAGAAACAAAGCCACTGGAAATGGCTTCTTGTAAAAAGTCTACCGAAATAACCATTATTTCATAGAGAATTTATTCCATTCCATCAGATCTCGATTTATTCAATTTCACCCCAATTGATTGTTTCGAACAACTCAACTTCGTTATGTTTCGCTCAGAGACATTTTTCATGTAAGAAAGAAGTTGGCTTAAAGCTATCGTTACCAGGCTATAAAATCTTACATAAATAAAAAAATGTCCAACTAATAACTTATTATGAATTTAATGCTGAAGTTTCCGGCTCACGGGACGTCATTTTATGACCATTCCTTTGCGGTTGACTCAGTCCGTTTATGGAATGAACCTTTAAGCGTTAAACAATCGTCCTCGCCGGAAATTTTCAAGTCCAGATTGAAATCGCACTACTTTGCTTTTATGATATAACTGTATAAGTTCCTACTTCTTTTGTATTTTATCTTGTATATTTTTAGTATTTATTTGTATTTAATCGTATGTAAGTTTATCTTATATGGTATTTATTTTTCACATGTGTATTTAAGTACATACTTTTATATAAGTTTATTAAGATATAGCACCGTCCAGTTAACTTGTTCCTCTCCCGGCAAGGTTGCTTGGAAGAGATCGCTTTCAGCGATAAGGCTGCCGATTTATATCACCGACTTTTGTTTTATTAGTTTACTCTGTACATTCTTCTCAGTCGTGTCACTCTTGACAGAGTGGTCGTGATCGTCATGTAGTGTTGGAAGGGGTAGACTTGATGCGTCTCACGATGTCGCGCCATCTCTCCCTGCTCGAGGCCATTCTACTGCACTCATTTAGGGGACCTCCCACTGCAGTTTTAATTTGGTCGGTCCACCGCATTGGTGGCCTCCCGCGCGGTCTTGTACCATCAACGCTTCCCTGTACAACGAGGCGTTCTATGGACCGGCCATCTCGTCGCGAAACGTGTCCGAANTTAATTAAACAAAAAATGAGTAATTTCGAAAGAGAACAAACGTATTTTATATAAGAACAATCGAAAATGAATATTTACGAGTAATTAAGGACGAAAAAATATTAAAAATTGCAATCGAGGGGCTAACTTTTAGATATATTTTTAATATTTTTTTTAAAATAAATAAATGGGGAACAAACAATTATTAACAGTGAACAATCAAGAGCAAATGATGAACAAACGAATTAATAGAAAATAAGTAGAAAACAGGAAAAAAAAATTTTTTTGAGGGGCTAACTTCATTCTCCTGGAAACCTATCTATGATAATATCTTAAGTGTATAATCTATGCTAATATTATGACAACTGACAGCACAGGACTTTTTGGCGGGAACGCGAGGAGTGAAGTTGTGTGATTTGTTTTATTTTGTCTATTTGGTGTTTCTTCAGGTTTAAATGTGTAATAATGGTGGTTTATTAACTGTTTAATATCTGTGAAAGTGCACAAATGTGGGAAAATGAAACAAAGCTGCTTGACGTGGCTTCTCGGGTTCCTCCAGAAAGTCCACTGAAAAAATCTCAGTAAATGACCACCATTTTACTGCGATTATATTTCATCCCATATCATTTCATTTCATTAAATTTCATCTCAGTTGATTAATGTCTCAAATTAATCATTTTCATTTCATTTCACTCCATATTATCATTTTTCATAAAATTAAGAATATAAAATAAAATAAGACATGACTTAAAGGTCTTAGTTACCAGGTCATAAAATCTCTTAAAAAAAAAAAACTGACAGCACATGCAATGACATGCATGTGTTTTGGTTGGTTTTGGTTCGCGCTTCTTTGAATTTCGATGTAAAATTTTCATTTACAATAAATGAAGATTTTATAAAATAATGGAAGAAAATAAACAAGATATTATAAGGGTGGGTAAGCTTTAGTCAGTTTTTAATGAATTAGAATATTCGAAATTGCATCCATATTAACTATTATTTTACTGTTAAATTAACATAATAATCTTTTACTTTCATAAATTTGAATTTTATTATCAACAGAAAACCAAAGAGAAGACTATAGCGGCGGATAGCTTGGATAATAATGCTCCTGTACACCAAATAATAGAATTTCTACAAT